ACATTTCTGCACCATCTTTGGATTGTCCATAGATGCTCAACGTTCGCCAGGCCTCAGTCTTACACAACATAATCACTACATTAATAAAGTAAATTGATTTATGGTGTTTCTATCACTTTCAGAACTGCTTCTCCTAAGTGTTTATGTATATCTTGTATTATCACAGAGACGAAAAACCCGATAGGTCAGGAACCTTCTGTACCTCTGTTATAACATTTGCATAACTCATGCTGCAATCTGCTGCTATGTAATCTTTAAAGTGATAAGTACATATGTTAATGTTGCATATACCAATTATGAATATGGATTCAGATGAAAGGTGGCAACAAAACTGAACATAACATAAATACGGCATTTCATTTTACATCTGATAAGTGTAAGACAGGGTAAGCTTATCTGCAGTCAAAGTCTAAGTTAATAAAACACCATTATGAGATGTAACAGTGTGTCACCTATTTCAAGATACAATTATAATCAGTCTAAATAGTTAAAGGGACACATAGTCACCAGAATAACTATAGCTTATTTAATGTGTTCCGGTGAGTAGAATCATTACCTTCAGGCTTTTTGCTGTAAACACTGTCTTTTCAGAGAATAACTTCACTGGCCACTCCTCAGATAGCTGTTAGAGAGCCTTCCTGGGTCATGGCTGCCTAAAATGCATCCAAACATTCAGTGTCTCCTGCCTCTGCATGCAGACACTGAACTTTCCTCATAGAGATTCATTGATTCAATTCATCTCTATGAGGAGATGCTGATTGGCCAGGGCTGTGTTTGAATCATGCTGGCTCTGCCCCTGATCTGCCTCTTTGTCAGTCTCAGCCAATCCTATGGGGAAGCATTGTAATTGGATCAGGCTACCACTTCTGATGACGTCAGCAGGTAGTGGGCAGGTCAAAAGGAAACAGTGACAAAGCAAACAGCTCCAGACTTGAATACAGATAAGATTTTACTATATTTAGGGAGGCATGAGGGGACCAGGGTGGCTAGATGGTGGTTTTAACCCAATAGGGTCAGGAATACATGTTTGTGTTCCTGACCATATAGTGCTACTTTAAATGGAAAACATACAAATATTCGTTAAAAAAAAAATTTCATATCAGTGTTTCTAGGAGTTTTGTTTCTAAGCAAGGTGAGCAAAAAAAAAAAAAGTTCCTTTAACCAACAGAAATCAAACATAAAAGCTGAATTAAAATTTAAATAAACCAGCACTCTAATCTGTCTCTGTACATAGTGTATATATTGTAAAGACAAGCCCAAGCAATATGTCCACTGGTGGATGGAACCTGGTAGGAAAACACAGGTGCCACCATCAATCTTTTATCTCCTTGCATGCCAGAAGTCATGTCGCCTTTGCTAATCAGATCTATGGGACAGACCACATGGTCCTAATCAGAAAAGGCTATGCTTTCTCAGAGAGGTTTCATAGATGTCTGGTGAGAATTTTGAGCGATGGTTTAAGGAGAAAGCCCAAGATAAAGCAGAAATTATTATTCATTGGATTTAAATTTAAGTATCATCAGGTTGTATTATTTTATAATGATATCTAAAAAAAATCACAAGTAACAAATACGTTTTTAATCAAAACATAATAGACCTTTTATGGAGCAAAGTGTTGCAGGAAGATAAAAAATCGTAAGTTGAGTAGGTGTTCTAATTGCCAAATTCGTCTAACGACCAAGGCCGGCGCATCCTATAGGCGACTTAGGCAGTCGCCTGGGCGCACCGGCCCGGGGGGTGCCAGGTTTGGGTGACCGGTAGGAGTGAAGCGCACAGAGGGGACAGCTCTAAGGGAGGGGATGAGAGAGCACTAAGGGACAGAGGGGTAGGGGAGATCATTAAGGAACAATGGAGATCACAAAGGGATAGGACAGGAGGGGAGAGCACTAAGGGACAGGAGAGAAGAGAGAGCACTAAGGGACAGAGGGGTAGGAGAGATCACTAAGGAACAGGGGAGATCACTAAGGGACTGGAGGGAAGGGAATATCACTAAGGGACAGGGGGGCAAGGGAGAGCACTAAGGGACAGGAGGGGAGGAGAGAGCACTAAAAGACAGGAGGAGTGGTGTATCCTGGTTTTGTGCTGCCCTAGGCATGACAAAACTCAGGCACCCCGCCTTCTAAATACACATACACACTCACTGAAAGACACATATACACTCAGTGTCAGACACACACATTCACTGACAGACACACATGCACTAGCTAACAGACATACACACTCACAAAACACTAACAGACACGCATACACTCTCAGTAACAGATACACATACTAACACACTCACTAACAGACACACACTAACACACTCACTAACAGACACACACATAGTAACACACTCACTAACAGACACACACACACACACTAACAGACACACACACTCTCACTAACAGACACACACAGTCACTAACAGAAACACACTCACTAACAGACACGCATACACTCTCACTAACAGAAACGCATACACACTCACTAACAGACATGCATGCACACTAACAGACACACACTAACACACTAACAGACACACACACTAACACACTCACTAACTGACACACACTAACACACTCTCTAACAGACACACACACTAACACACTCACTAACAGACACATACTGACACACACTAACACACTCTCTAACAGACACATACATTACATACACATACACTAGCTAACAGACATACACACTCACAGACAGACACACATACACACTCACTAACAGATATACACACTCACAAAACACTAACAAACACGCATACACTCTCACTAACAGACACACATACTAACACACTGCATTAAATTGCATACACAGAAACACATCTTGCATCCCTTACACACACACACACACACACAGAAAAACACAATGCATCCCTTACACACAAACAGGGGGGGCCATGAGCTGTATAAGGGGCCCCCCAAAAATGGAGCTGCTTCCTGTTTGTTAATTTTTGTGAGCACTGTTACAAATAGTCTCCAGAGAGCATGTTCTACACCAGATTAGTGGAGCCACACTGCAGCCTGAGCCCATCACCATCCTCTTGTCCTCGTCTGGTGGTAAGTAGCCAATCCAAAATATTATTAGTGGCAATAATATCTAATTCACCTCACATTAAAGGGCCACTATAGTCACCAGAACCACTACAGCTTAATGTAGTGGTTCTGGTGTCTATAGCCTGTGCCTGCAGGCTTTTTAATGCAAACACACTGCCTTTTCAGAGAAAAGACACTGTGTGCAGCACTGGCGTTGGCTAATATGGCAGATCATATGGATGGGGCATTGTGATGTCACATGGTGGGCAGAACATATGGGGGAGGTGTCAGATTTTTGTTTGCCTATGGCGGCAAAACCGGCCCTGCTAACGACCATATGCAATTCATTGGTTCGGAAGACCCAACATATTTACTATTAGCCCCTCAACTGCCACACATTTGTAACAGGGCTGGGAGGCCAGGATTCTATTTTATTTATTAACAATCCCTTGCCCATTCTACATTATGTAGAAGAGATAGATGGAACCGATCTTGATTATTAAGGGTTCTTGGACCCCTGCTATAAAACATTAACTCTCACCAGCAGCGCATTGAATGCATGCACTAGGAAAAACCCAGCATGAATTCTATCTGATCCAAAAGATCTATTAAAAATAATAGCTGGACTTCTCTGCTCTTTCATGGTTGTGTCTTAAAGGAAACATGACTCAAGTGAACAGAAAAAGATGCTTTGTAAACTTTTTAGTCAACCTGAATTTTGTAGCAATGCAATGCTTTGTAAGGGTACTTGTCTTTGTATCGCAAATAAAATCATAATCAGGAAAATTAGTTAGTGGGATAAAATGTTGTAAAGGCCAAATTTAACTCAATCGCTAAGTGAAAATAAATGAATGTAATAATTATGTAAATTCATTGCAGCACATCTCTGCGTCAATAACAGGGGCTGACACAATGGCACTTCCTAAAAATATACAGATCTCCAGAAGACACACTGATATTGTCTGTGTTGCTTTAAAGGCGGGGGGATGCAGTCAGTGCTGGTAGTGCAAGATATTGTTTGGGGCCCCCCTCTAGCTCAAGGGTGCCCAAAGTGCAGATTCTTAACTGGGCATCTCCCACAGTGCTTTGCCATCTTGCATTTTATACTTTGTCCATTCTTGCATGTTTGCATGTGTGAGCAGTGTTTGTGTGTTTGAATGTAATCATATTTTAGTATAAAGTACGTGTGTGTGAATGAAGGGGTGTATTTGTGTTTAACTTTGGTATTTGAATGCACTTGCGTGTTTGTATTTACTGTTGCCATATGAATGCTGTGGTATATTTGTTTCTAAAGCTGGACAGGATTATCCTTTGAAATTGTAACCAACATAATTAGGTACGCTCAGTGGATGTTTTAAATACATTTTGCGGTGATAGAATACAATCTTTAAATTTAGTGCACATTGAAGGACTTGATAAAGCCAAGAAAGGCGAAACGCGTAGCGTGATGTCTGACTCTGGACCAGCTGGAACAAAGGAGAGGGTGAAAACAGAGCTGGTAGTTCCGTTGCTTAATGCAGTGATTATTTGGGAGCAGAAATAACTAGAGAGTGGCATGCTTTGTTCCGTCACCCACAAACCTCCACCCCAATTATATTTTTTCACTTCTGCCTGCAAAAGGGGTGACAAGGGAGCAATGGACTTTTTGTATCCAGACTTGTTTTCTTTCTTTTATTTTTCTTTAGGTTTTAACGTCCCCATAGATTTGCACAAACAAACAGAGGAGCGTTTGCATTCATATTTATTGTATTGTTTTTTTCTCGTTAGCATGCATTTATCTTCAAAGGGACAAATGAACACAAATACATTTCTGTGTCAAATTTATGTGTGTAATTGCATGGTAGAGCGAATAAAACGCGGCCTAATGTTTGTTAATAGGTGTCTTTCAACAATTAATAATAAACGTCCATGGTGCTTAAGTGCAATTCCTTTGTATAACCTTTGGCACGAACTCAGGGAGATAAACAAGCAAACGACAGCGATTGTACACACAAGGAACTGCAGACGGCCCCTTGAAGGGTGTACACCTTATTGATCCGACTACACAGGTAGAGACATGTCTTTTTATATCAAGATTTAAGAGTTAAACTGGTTCTAGAATATATAAATATAAGATGTTCTGATCTATTTTAGTTTATCAGCTTGTTTAGATTTAGAATGGCCATATACCTGTTTCAGACATCCTAACGTCCCCACACACCTGCTCTGTAAATTAAAATGTATCTACGCACCAATAGCTTGCAATTTATTCAATCGCTTACAATCTGAAGAATCAACAATGCAAATGGTGAGCTTCCAAGCTGATACAGAAAAATAAAATGCTCTGACATTCATTCTAAATCATTCCTGCTTTTGCCGACAATCAAAAAATGCTTAGGAATAGGAAATATTCCAAGCACTTGCTTAAAGGGGAAATGGCAAAAAAAGTATATACATTCTGACATGTATCATATATTGATCTAAGTTGCTTTTTAATGCTTTTACTGACTATAAACATTCAGTTAAAAGATATGAGGATTTTCCTTCCCTCGTCTAGTCTTTATCCTTTATAATCACAGAAAAGAACACAAATATGAGGGACATGAAATAGCTGCTTTTAACTGAAAAATATGTTGTACAGAAAAAAAAGTCAGAGTAACAAATGTCTAATTTTCCTTATTTTGCACTTTGACCACCAAAGAGTAGAATTGCACAACTAAAGGGAAAAGGTGAATAAAATATGCACAGCAAATATAATTTGCGCAAATAGTGTATTAAGCTATGGTACTTCATTACACTATAACCACTACAATGAGTTATATTATTTATGGTACGTGGAGTATGATAATAATTACAAATGCATTACAAATCGTCACATGTTAAGTGCTCAGGTAAAGTTAACGATGGTTGTATTTTCTGTAACGTGTGTATATAAAGCTATTTTGTACCGTAATACTTAAATACTGTCCAAAAAGCGCATCCCCGGACAGGGCTTGTGGTGCATTGTTATGCCTCCCCCATTCTCTGTGATATTATTTTGGAATGGTTTGAAAAAAATGGGTCAACCAAAACCCAATCCTTCTACATACCTGCTGCTGTTTAGCCTTGGCTGGCAACAATAGACTGCAAGTTTGGGGGATGAGTTAGCTACTGCTTCTGCCTATGATTGGATGACCTCGGACAGATAACACGGAAGGGATTCTTCCATTTTACTCTCAAAACTGCAAAGAGGCCGGGTTTTGGATGTTAGGGAAAGACATGTTTTTTTCAGATCTCTCAAAAGCAATTCGGCAGAAACCAGGTGACGACAGATGATGATGACTGGTAAGGCCATAACCCCAAGAATGAACAGGAGTGTGTATGGTGCTTTAATTTATAACAGTACTCTAGCATGTATTAGGGACCCTTATGCCATCAGTATTGCTCTTACATCTTGTAATGGAGTCCAGTACTCTGGTTGAGTACCACAGTTTATAGTTCCCTCTAGCTGGTGAATATAGCATTGGAGTGATCATAGCTCTTCTCCAAACACTAGACGATACATAGTGAATGATACAGCAACAACAGTTTATTGTCTCCGCGGATGCATATTTAGAGGGACAATGAGAACATCGGGTCATCAACTGTTGCAATAGGTTCCTTCCCTGTACTGTGTCTGGGAGATAATTCAATTATCGAGTGATGACTTTAAACATTTCTAGACAACACAGCACCATATAATAATACGTTAAAAAACGTAGTTTTTCATAAAAGCAAATTAATAAATTATGCATCCCCGGATAGGCCTTGTTTCCCAAGCAACATTCCAAAAAGTGCCAAGATCGGATGTACCCAGCATGAGAAAATGTCTAGTAAAGTTTAACCAGGCTGTGGAGTTCCAGGCTCTCGCAACTAAGTGCCGGTCTTCTAAAACAGGGGCGTTCTGGCTTTAGAGAAAGGGGCTCCCCAGGCTCTCTTTTTTGTAATACGCTGGAATCCAGACACATCTTCATCTTTCCAGCTTTGTGTTTAAGAGATTTTCTGGGAAGCTCCCACCCTACCTGAGCAGAATGCTCTCCCCGGCTGTTCCCACCTCCTATAACCTCCGATCCAGTACAAGCACTTTACTTAGTCTACCTCAATACAAAAAGAAAGCAGCTCGATCCTCCTTTTCCTGCAGAGCACCGCAATTATGGAACGACCTCCCGCACAATTTAAAATATTCCCTAAGCCTAAAGTCCTTTAAGAGATCCCTCTCTACATACCTCAAAACAGAATGCACATGTCATGGTTGATTATATATTTCCTGCCTGTTCTATGTTAAATTTTGTATTTATTGTGTATTAATATTGTTTTTGTATTTTATTGTACCCTAATGTATCAATGCAATGATTTGTGGACCCAGGACATACCTGAAAACGAGAGAAATCTCAATGTATCTTTCCTGGTAAAATATTTTATAAATAATAAAAATAAATGATAATACTACTATAGGGGGAGGGGTGGCACTGCCTTCACTGAGTGGAAGATATCTTACATGGGTAAAGATGTCCTGTATTGTAAGTGCAGACGTGTTTAATTATGTACTTGTATCACAGTTTTTGTGGCTGTCAGGACTAGAACTGGACTGACTGGAAGTATTGCGAAGTACAGTATAGTGTTATTATTATCACGTTGTTGGCTTGTTCTTCTGATTATTAATGTCTCTCTGTGGGGATGCTGATTTCCAATAAAAACAGTGAGTAACAAAACAGCATTGCATCAATAGACAATACAGAATATTACCATATTTTAGCAGTTTGTGTGTTTGTTGCAATCTTTTATTTGACATCACAGAGCTTTTGAGACCATATGGCCTTATATCCTTTAGCGCTGTCAAACAATGATACTTTGCACATAAATTAACACCAGCACTTTACAGGAACCTTGTCCAGATAAGTATTGAACCAAAAATACAAAGATAGGAAGATCTAGGCAGAGAGGAGGAAACTCCTCGTCCCTACACTAAGTCAACCAAAAGAGGAAACCCCATCCTTGATGTAATGCTAAAAATAAAACTTAACCTTTATTGATAAAAAATAAAATAATGCAAACACACAAAAAATATAGATAAAGATAAAAAGTATAAGGAGTGCCACCGCAATCACTGTGGGTGTGGACAATAAAAATGAATCATATTATGTCCTCCAGAACCACTTATGGATAGGTATCAAACAAGGAGGCTAATAACTAAATAGGGTAGGATATGGAGAGGAGAGAGAAAAAGAAAATTAAATAAATAGAGGAAATCCTCTGAGTCACTATAAACAACTCCTAGAGAGGAAAGTGAGAACCTAATAGGCACTGTGGCAGATAGTAACAAAATATCTAGTGCAAGTAGAAACTAAATTGCACCTGTAACAGTAACCCCTATAATGTGGGATAATAAACTGGATATTGTTACCAAAAGAGCCACTGCAGCATAAATGAGACTGTCAAAATAGAAAAAGACTCATATCGTGAACAAGCAAACTCCTTCCCTCCTCACGTATCCCCAAATCCCTTATGCTAGTAACAGCTTGCTAGAACCTAACACTCGTGGCAACACCAATCTAGACTACCTAACGCACGTTTCAGCGCTTCTAATGCACCTTCGTCAGAGGTAAAGTATTGAACCAAGACACCTTTATGTAACATCACACCAGCTGAATTAAAAAAAAAAGAAAAAGGAACCTACACTTTTCACACCATATTCCAAATTGTCCTATCTAGAGTCATTTTCATACTGAGGCGATAAAGATAAACATCCATCAGGCGGTAAAGTTATCCCGTGGCTTTCCGGTGCTGACCATACCCTCTCATAATTACCTAGGCACTAGGCAGTGAATTAGGTACAATGGCGATAAGCCTATCCATCAGGTTTTCATCGTTCATTTACGCAATTATCTCCTGCAAGGAAGAGAGCTCTGTCTGCAGACATTTAGAAGAAATGGCCCTATGGGTACCCAAAGTGATCTTATTGTATAGTTTGTGCTTGTGAGCAAGGAATCCCCTACTCTCCTCCCCCCCCACATTCCCCCAGTGGTTTTGGTAACTAAAGGACCATGGGCGCAGTTGAAAGTGTCTGTGAAAAACACAAAATAGGAGGTTCTGCATAGAGCACCAAAAAGATGCCACCTTAGGACAAGACTACCACATGTGTAGATAGGTGCCTTGGTCTCCAAATATACTCCAACATAGATCCGTGGTTGACTTCCCCATGCAAAATACTTGAGTGATGTATCAACTCATTAATATTTTGCACACTTGTTCCTGGTGAAGTATGCAGATAGATACCCCATATCTCCTTCCATTGAACTTTCTCCAGGGTCCCACCCAAGTCCCATTCCCATGCTGGCAATAACTGAATGATCCCCATTCCAAAAGAGGGAAGAGTAGACCCAAGTGATGAGCCCCTTAACTATTTGCCCCTCGTCAAAAAGCCCTTTCGAAAAAAGGTTAGTTATCTACTGACTGCCCACTTGACCCTTTCATTCCCTGCGTAATCTCTTAGCTGTAGGTGCCTAAAATGATCTTTTACGGTCAGGGGGACCAGCCCTTTAAGGTCGTGAAAAGAGACTACTGAATGATCCCTGTATAACTGGTACATTTATTTATTTATAACATATTTTACCGGGAAAGATACATTGAGATTTCTCTTGTTTTCAAGTATGTCCTGGGTCCACAAATCATTGCATTGTTACAATTAGGGTACAATAAAATACAAAAACAATATTAATACACAATAAATACAAAATTTAACATAGAACAGGCAGGAAATATATAATCAACCATGACAGGTGCATTCTGTTTTGAGGTATGTAGAGAGGGATCTCTTAAAGGACTTTAGGCTTAGGGATGATTTTAAATTGTGCGGGAGGTCGTTCCACAATTGCGGTGCTCTGTAGGAGAAGGAGGATCGGGCTGCTTTCTTTTTGTATTGAGGTAGACTAAGTAAAGTGTTGGTACTGGATCGGAGGTTATAGGAAGTGGGAACAGCTGAGGAAAGCATTGTGTTCAGGTAGGCTGTGAGTTTCCCAGAAAAGCTCTTAAACACAAGGCTGGAAAGATGAAGGGTGCGTCTGGATTGCAGCGACAGCCAGTTTAATTCTTTTAGCATGTCACAATGGTGGGTCCTGTAATTACATTGTAGCACAAATCGACAGAACGAGTTATACAATGTGTTGAGTTTATTAATGTGGGATTGCGATTCAGATGCATATACTACTTCCCCATAATCAATGACAGGCATCAGCATTTGCAGTACAATCTTTTCCTTTACTGTAGGGCTTAGGCAGGCTTTGTTTCTGTACAGGGCACCTAGTTTTGGATAAAGTTTAGATGCAAGCTTTTCTATGTGCAGGCCAAAAGATAGATTGGGCTCTAATATCATACCCAAGTATTTGAAAGAGTGGACTGCGGTCAGTGTGCCATTTGAATTTGATTTGATGGATAGGTGGGAATTGTGTAATTTGTGTAATTTAGGTACTGTTCCAAAGATCATTGTGACAGTTTTGTCAGTGTTCAGGAAGAGTTTGTTTTCTGCGATCCATTTTTCTACCTCTGTAAACTGGTCTTGGAGCACAGCCTCAAGCTGCGGTAGATCGGAATTGCTCGCATAGATTACCGTGTCATCTGCGTACATGTGTACATTTGAGGATTTGCAGACATTAGGCAGATCATTTATAAATAATGTAAATAGTAGGGGGCCGAGAATGGAACCTTGGGGAACACCACACGTGAATGGGAGGGGGAGGGAGTCGCTGTCAGAAATGGACACATATTGCGAGCGATCCGATACATACGATCGAAACCAGTTTAGCGAACGATCACCAATACCTGAGTTTTTGAGTTTGTGCAGTAGAATGACGTGGTCTACTGTGTCAAAGGCCTTAGCAAAATCAAGGAAAATAGCTCCAGTTAGGTCTCCTCGTTCCATGCCAGTTTGGATGTCATTGCAAACTTTTAAGAGGGCAATTGTAGTGGAGTGATTCTGGCGAAAGCCCGATTGATCAGGGGTCAGATAGTTTGATTGTTGGTAGTACTCACATAGTTGCGTATGGACAAATTTTTCTAAGATTTTTGACAATACTGGGAGCAATGATATTGGGCGATAGTTAAAAACCAAAGTAGTGTCACCGCTTTTATGGATAGGCACTACTCTCACAGTCTTGCAAAGTTTGGGTATGTATCCAGACACCAAGGATTCGTTAATTAGAGTTGCGACGGGTTTAGCAATTGCCGGCGCACTGAGCTTCAACAGCATTGCTGGGATTTGATCACGTCCGGACTGGTTTTTTATTTTTAGATTATTAAGATGTTTTTCAATGACACTAACAGGTACAGGTCTAAAAATGAACTTTTCTATATTGGGACTTCGCAAAAATGCATTGGAGACCAGCATTGTCCTATCCCCTAAAGCCCTGTGGAGTCATACCTGTTATCATACACGTGAAAATCCTTGTTCCTGAGAAAGGGTGTCATTGGGGACATTGGGATAGTATGGGCAAATTGTGTTTTAAAGCATCCCATAGTTCTTATGAGAGAAGGATGACCAGGCACCCTTCTAGGAAGGGCTTATCCACCCACATATAAAACTATGGTAGGTAAGAACCCCTAAGGTCTGACTCTAAATCACCCCACTTCCTCTCACCCAGGGAGTGGGGGGTGGGAGGGGTATGCCAAGGAAATAGCTGTGCCAGTTGGGCTGGTCTATAGACCATAACTAGTTTTGATAAACCCATGTTTTAAAAATGTGAAAAATTTTTTTAAAAGGCCAATAAGTGTCACTTTGAAATGCAGAAAGCATCTATAGAGCATGTTTGCCCCGAGTTAAATGCACTCTTTGCAACAAATGAAAGGTCCATAAAAGGTGTTCGAGTTTCTGCTGCTTATCACAGAAGCTTCGTTGTGTGTTCTCAAAGAGCTGTCTGGAGGGATAAAGCCCACCTCATCATGGTGAACCAAGAGTGCTGATGTGTGCTTTTAAACTAAGATTGTCATCGCAATAGCTGGTAATCAGTATTTCTATATTATACCTTTTGATTTTCAGATAAAATTGCATATGTTTCACTTATTAAGCTACCTATAAATAGAATTGGTACCAAACATGCTAGGTGAGGTTTGAGCACGGACAGCAATCTGAATGACGCTTAAACGGCTGAAATGGATATATTTATAACTTTTTATCTTTTCTGATGTATATGCAGCGTCCATCAACTGCTAACATCAAACATGCTCTATAGATGCTTTCTGCATTTCAAAGTGCCACTTAATATGGGCTAAAGCCATAAATAAGTAAACTGAACATATTGGAATGGCCTTCGCTAGAATTTGTATGTTTAGTGATAGATCCTGCGTGTACAATTACTGTATTCTGGGATGGGCATGGGAAAACAAGGCTTTTGATGTTGCTGGCCACGTGCCAGTCTGTACAGGTATTGTTACAGAGATACAATGACAGCCTAGTATAAACGTGGCCATTACAGACATCCTATGCTTCATGAAGTTATTGGTGTGGTTTAAGCTATAAACAAACTTATACCAATAAGTGGAGCGCTCCTAACACAAGTACAGCTTACCAGATGGTATCCCATTCAATGGCGCAGTGTAAGGTACATGTTTAAAAAGATACAAAGGAATACAATATAGTGTAGATGGTATGGAAGGTGTTAATTTGGTAATAGTAGTTATATTAGGTAAATTGAACACTCACATTTCTAGGAGCCTGTATATGAGAACACTGGCTCCGTATGTTAGCTGATGTGCTTATAAGGGTAGCACCGCCCGCCTCCTTCAGTGTGGGGTAATTCTCCAAAACAAAATGATAAAGAGAGCAGACCAATGTGTAGAACGTGCTTAATAAAAACACAATATGGTACAGATAAGTGGTTTGCTCACCTGGTCCTGAGCCTGTAGGTCCCGGCTCTAGGTATGTGCGCTTGGTGTCACTTTAAGTGGGGGTGACACTACCCCTGGGAAGATTCTCCTGAGGTTTCCAAAAGAGGGACTTGAAAGGAATGTAGTAAAAAAATAGTGGATTTATTTAGAACAAAATCAATAAAAACAATAATAGTTAAAAAGTCCTCTTTAAAAGTCCTCTTAGAAATGTGAGTGTTCAATTTACCTAATATAACTACTATTACCAAATTAACACCTTCCATACCATCTACACTATATTGTATTCCTTTGTATCTTTTTAAACATGTACCTTACACTGCGCCATTAAATGGGATACCATCTGGTAAGCTGTACTTGTGTTAGGAGCGCTCCACTTATTGGTATAAGTTTGTTTATAGCTTAAACCACACCAATAACTTCAACCGTATTTTGTGAAATAGAGGATATTTTCACATAAGTGTATTGAGCAGCTTATAAATCACTTCACCTGTTTTAAAGCACTGTACTATACACACTCCTCTGTAAAAGGAGGTAACCTTTGACTGGTATCCTATGCTTCATATTTATCGGTTTATGTTGTCGAGACACTCAAAGCAAAAAAATGGTCCAGGCACAGTGAGCGGCTTATTCACTTAACTGGAACTTGCGGAATATACATAAGGGAATGATAAAATTTAAGGTAAGCATAGCAAATTTGAAAAAAATTGTCACTCTATTTTCAGTTTGCCACAATTCACTGTATGGTTGAATAAAACCTCCTTGGAATCTAAATGCGGTACCAGTGAATTAGACTACGAGATTTGTGGTATGTGAATAAGTTGGTAATGCCGTGGATCTAATGCTATTAGTCCCCCCTTTCTTGGCGAATATCCACTACCTTCTTGCTGTGCGGGGTGTAAAATCCCCCCCCCCTCCAGCTGAACTTTGCCTGATCTGTCTGGGCACTCCCCCCCTTCACCTCCTCATCGCAGATAAATCAGACTTCACCCCCCCTTACACACACACACAGACACACACCCCGAACACAGGAACAAGTGAAGAACATTTACTATTCTCTCCATCAAACAGGTGATTCATTCTTGGCTGTTTTACTATTACACCTGCAGCATACAGCAAGCAGGTACTGGATGCCAGTTTTTTTTTTTTATCTCGCTTGAGAAGAAGGTGATACCCAGCAATTGAGGAGGACACAGAACTGAGTGCAGTGACCAGGTATGTGTCAATGGGTGTCAAGTTGTTACAAAAGAATGTACTTCGAGTTCTTATTCAATAACACCGAGCAATAGTGCAGTGAGGAACAAATTGCAGAAATCAGACTAAACTAGTCAAACTGTGACTATGGCTATGTGAGTTGGAGATTTTTTTTCAAATCAGCTACTTTTTCCCAATAGTTTTAGATTGTAAGCTCTTTCGAGCAGGGTCTTCGTCAACCTATTGTTCCTGTAACTTTTTATAATGATCTTATTTATTGTTAAATGTTCCCCTTTTCTAATAGTGTACGGCGCTACAGAATATGTTGGCGCTATATAAATGCCCAATAATAACAATAATAATATTAATAATCTGTATATGTGAGAGATCAGGGTGGTGCTTTTTTAGCATTTTCATTGTATGTATAAAAGGAGAGGTGGTTATGTAGACAAGTTGGATGGGATATTGTTGGAAGATCAAAGTTTAGGACCTTTTAACCTCTAATGTTATTTTAACTTCTTTCTTCCAGTTTATGTCCATCAATGTGGTGAGGATTTGAGTTAAAATCAAAGAACACTATCAGTTTAATAAATAAATACAAATCATTCTTTTATAAAATCCCTGCTAATGCTATCTATACTATGTTGGGGGTGGGGGACAGGATAAACACTTTCTTTTCTGATTCTGTTGCTATTTGATTGCTAAACCAAGACAAGGTTATTCACTTAAATGAGAATTGTTAGGAATTCAAATTATAGCCCGTAATAGCTGAATTGAAAACATAGCTGGCTTGATGAAGTTTTCCAGTTTTGTTTTTTTCTAACAAAATAATTGGCTTTTAATTCCTGAAACTTTTGTGGATATTCTTGTCAGAGAAAGCTGTTTTAGAATTCAGGGGATAGGATGAGTAATAGTCTGTGAAGCCGAGTGGAGAATGTCCTTTATCTTTCTGTTCAGGAGATAAATATATATGAAGGACATCGAATTTTATAACTTTGTGTTTTCCCAAGATCATTCTCTTAAATTTCTCTATGTATCCCCTGCTTTTGACCCCAATCCCACCGTTTACTCATCCAACTTGCCCATTTTCTTCCCTCTTCTATTCCCCTCCCCCTTTCTTTCTCGGCCTCTCACCCCAACATTCACTTCCTACAAGAATTATTGCTCTGCTTATTAAACCCCGTGATTTACACAGATCCCACAAGTAGGGTAAATTGAAGCATCTGCTCCATTAGGTGTGATAAATGAGATGGTAATAAAAAATAAATAGTTTCAAATTAATTCTTAAATGCATACCCTTTCACAGCCAGAGCAGCCAACACCTAATTCCACAAAGGTGGGTGTAGAACATAAATAAACTGGCTTTCCAAAAATGACAATACGTGGAGCAGTTGGATTAGTTAAATAAAGCTTTCTGGACATGGGATGCCCCAGACAAGAAAGAGCCCTGAAAACTAAGCTAAAATACTTTAATAATAGTGCTCACTCCATGCATTAAAGTGACACAATAGGCACCAAAACAACTTGAGTTTAATAAAGCAGTTTTGGTGTATAGATCATGTCCATGCAGTCTCACTGCTCAATTCTCTGTTATTTAGGAGTTAAATCACTGTGCTTATACAGCCCTAGTCACACCTCCCTGGGTGTGATTTACACAACCTTCCTAAACACTTCCTATAAAGAGACATCTAATGTTTAAACTTCCTTTATTGCACAGTCTGTGTAATTCAGAATTTTGTATCTCTTGCTCTTTTAATAGCCTACCAGAGCCTATAAGAGCCTCCGCGTGTGTGCGAGTGTGATTGAAGTTCTGTATAAACAGAAACAAAAGTGAGTTAACACCTAAATGGCTGGGAACTAAACAGTCAAACTGCAGGGACATGATAGATCCACATCAAGCTAAAGCTGTTTTGCTGTTTAGAATTTCCTTTTAAAAGACATTGAAAACTGAGCTAGACTAAGGCATTAAGATTTCTTTAAAACCAGACGATTCCAGTGTATTAAGAGCTCAATGAAAGTCCATGGAACTCTGAATATAGCTATACATAGACATTTTAGAATTCCTATATATATACACATATAAAAATTTTACCAAATTTCTCAGTTCAAAGAAGACACTTAGGGTTATTTATTATGGAATGAATTGACAGAAATTCACCGAAGTAAAAAATCAAACGTTAGGACCAAGTAGCAGTATGAAAAGATTATTCATGTCACTTATGATTCAGTTCAACTAATAATTTTGTGAATAATCCAAGAGTGTATCAGCCCACGGTATTTCTGTTGCAGAATTATCACGTACTAGGATTTTTTCATGAGTGTCTTCTTTTAGAGATAAAATAAGGTAACCCTCCAAGGAAGATAGAGAGCAGTCTTAGCATTCTTGTGTTATTACTCAAATGACATGGGCGTTCTTATTAATTAGTATTCTCATATTACTAACAAGGGATACTCAAGAGCTCTTTTTTGTGAATTGATGTAAAATGGGATTACATTCCTCTGGAAGCGTGAGTGTAGGGTTACTTAAAATGACAAGTCAGTAGGACTGACCCGATATATAATGCCTTTACTGTCAGGTAGTATCCTTACTGCATCTACCACACATATCTTCTAATAGTCTACCAGTGTGGTAGTCTTACAAATTTTTCTCATCTGCAAGTCTTTATTGTTTTCCATTTTTCCACTTTTTCTAATTCGACACATTCTACCATTCCTCTCCTTTGCTCGGCTTTGACCCCAAGGGAATGTTTATAATCCCCTAGACAATAGGATGCTGTCCGTATGGGTCAGCTGATTTTGGGTATATAAGTAGAGGTCTTTGTTGTTACTATTCAGGAGCAATAGGGGGGGAACATCATGTCGGTGGAACTTCTCCATGGAAGTCCTGAACCTCCGTCGGATGATATCTATGACAACTGGTACATTGATGATCCACAAGAACCTGAAGTTCCACCTGATGAGTAAGTAGGCTCCTTTTTACATCTTTTTGAGAATTCTTCTATTTATATTTTATATCAAATATCTATATGATCAACTGTCCCTTTTTTCTTCTAGAATTATTCCAGATTGTGATCTCACTTTGCCAGATGGAATGTATCATCTCATCCTGGCTCCTGTATCTGTGAGTCCATGTCCCATACAAAGCCATGCAATGTTCCCCCATTTCTTTCACTCCATGTAACCTGTTATTTATAGCCTCCTTATTGTGCAATGAGACTACTTATTATGTTATCCTATTTGTACATGTCATTTTTCTATAAAATTTTAATGTTTACATTTTCTATTTAGCCTTAAGCGTATATGTAAAAGAAATGTACAGTCATCACGCAACACTTGTAGGTTGTTCAAACAGAAACTTGTATTTATTTTTGTCATGTTCTCTGTTTGTACCTGCTTACCTTTGAGAATCTAAAATGAATAGTCCTCTCTATTCCTCAGTTTAACAAGTATTTCATATGCACTTTAAAGGGCATGTAGTGAACAGCCACATAAAAATACATTTGTGCATGAAAAAAAGTTGTATTAGTGAATTTTCCTTATTTCCTACTAATCTATATTGTGAAATCTTTGGCATAAATAATAGAATAAAAATTATAGTAAACAATTTGTTTTCATAAGAACCATTTGTTCAATTGAGAGTTTGGTTCTTTCGAATATCATCCATGGAAAATATTAAGGAAATGATTTGGAGGCACAAAAAAGGGAGAGAAAATGGACTGATCAATGTACTGCAAAATATATAGATAATATAAATAAATTACCACTATTTGTTTCACAGATCAAGTAAGAGAAAAAGTTACCGATAGAGAGAAAAAGAGAAGGACCAGTAAAATAACACATTTAAAAATATATATATATATATATAAAATATAGATTTTTTTTTCTTGCATCTCCTTTTGCCCCCTCCAATGGTCACTTCTCACTTGATATGTAAATAAAATCAACATTTAGTGGCTGTCTCCAAGCTGTCAATCACCTTTTTTTCCAATTAATCATCTCTTTTTTTGGCGACATGGGCGGGAACCTGAATACTATGTCAAACAACATACAAACATGTTCAGCCATCATACTAGTCTCAATTGTACATCTGTATGGTGCGTCAAAGATACAGAATTTGGCCGAAACAACTTATCAGCTCTAAATTCGGACGAATTACAACTAGGCCGAAACCGAATGTTCAAGTCTAATAGATAGTAAAAAGCTTACTACCACATATGGTGAAAGATTTACTACCACATATGGTGAAAGACTTACTGCCACATACAGTATAAGCATTACTACCGCATATATTGAATGCCTTACTACTATATGAAGTTAAACCACTACTAACTGAAATTTGGTAAAAGAGGCAGGGACCTTTTCAGGGTTTATCTATTATTTTTTTAAGTGGAGCTTCTAACTTTTATTGGCCCATATCCATCTCCTTTTTAATACATTTACTTACACCCTTATTGCCATGATCTCTATTGCTCCAAATAGAAATATTCAATATGTTATTACTACTGTTCCATAACAACTCTATAGCATTCTTCTGTTCTCTTTATTTTGGTAGCTCTGCGCTATTCTGTTGCTCTCGTTTTTGGTTCAACGCAAAAGACTCTGCAAATCCTGTTGTTGGGGGCTACCAGGTCTTCTAAGGTACATCCCACCACCCCTACACCCAATCTGACTTCCAAACATTTTCACAATGCACTTGGCTTTCTCCATCACCCATTGTGAAAGTCTGAGTTAGTGATAACATTCCTAGTCTAAATTGTCCTGCTCTGTGTCCCATCTACAGCCCCTTGAACCTCCTGGAGGATTCTGGGAACAGGTGGATTCCATGTGCCGTTTTTGGTTTGCTCTTTTCATCCCTGTGCCGCTTGTTGTTGGACAGCACAACCCTTGACTTCTTGCCAGAGATTTGTAATGCACACCAAGGTAAGCCTAGAATTTCATTAGAAGCTGCACGGGATCCCTTGGAGTGCAAGTGTGAAACCCTTTCATTTCAGAATTTCTTTGTATAACTAACAGGATCAGTGTAGCTGGGTCATATTCTGCTTTGATTTAGTTTAAACCTGTTCTCGTGACCCAACAACAGGCCAAATAAAAGGATATATCTACAATGCACCATGTTTAAGTTATAGTAAATGGAGCACTGATTAGCTCACCTGATGTAAAGTAGGGAGTTAATGAAAGCCTGTCCTGTTGTGGGATGGAGAACAAATCAGGAGTACAGTGCTCTGTGAGACCTGGAATTGGATACAATCAAACTTACTGTCATATCTAAAGGTCAAGTTAAGAGAGAACTCTGAGAGCTACATGGAACCATTACATACACAGTCACATCTGTATTTGTTCCTTTTCCAGTTTATATGGCTCTGTTAGACTCTCACCCAGTCTCTGTTCCTTCAAAAGATAATAAAAAAACACACTTTTGTTAGGAAAACATATCTTTCCCTCCTCGCACCTTGGGAGCCCACCCTGCTTCCTCTCCTGTAACTGTCTTTCAAAGAACTAACCCTTCACTGTAAACTATTCCACTAACCTACATTTCCCGTACATGACATACATCCTTACCTCTGTGCCACTTTACGCCATTCCCCCAAGAATGTAGCTGGTTTGAACAGGGCCTTCAGCACCCTCTGTTTCTGTGTGCCCATGTACCTATTGTAAAAAGCTACTGAATTTGTTGGCGCTTTATAAATAATAATAATATCATAGATACAGAACTTACTATCAGCCTTTTCTCACCACAGTGGTAATAGTTCCCACCTCTTTCAGTACTATATGTTGGATTATGGCCTTAAATTAATCTTTAGTTAGCACCAGCTCTAGTGACTTTGCTCTTTTTCCCCACTTACAGCTCTGTGGAAAATCCTGGCCCTTTTCTATTACCCTGCCCTGTATTATCCCCTGTTGGCATGTAACAGTTTGGAACGGGTAGTTGGGTATCTAGTGGGGACCATCCTATCGTGGCTACACTGTGGGGCCCTGATCTGGCAGAAAATAGATTGTCCACAGACACCAAAGGTAAGAACTACAGACACAAGGCATGGATGGGATTTTGACCTACACGAATGTTGTGAAAAAATTATGTTAGATACATTGAAGAAGGACTTTGGGGTGACTTAACACAGCTCTTCCAGCGTTTCATTGACATCCAATGTTAGACGGAGTCACACTCATAATATAGATGTAACGGCACCCTCAGCATAAAAGGGTTAAACCGCTGTTTAGTAGATCTTCCCTTCCAGAGACACAGGCACAGCTACTGCAGAACACCAATCCGCCGAACAGGAAACCATATGAATGCCATAAACAGCCGAACCAGAACCATACGAATGCTGTAAACAGCTGAATAGGAAAAACCATACAAATAGGTTTACACTCCTAGCAGTCAAACTGGAACAGCATACAATAATAACAGCATGGCTTTTCTGCCCAAAACCAGTTCCACAGAGTCTTCTATCCTGGAGATAATTGGGAAGTAATCCAATTATCTCCAAGGACAGAGGCAAAACTCCATTGAACACATGGCAGCAAAAGACAATAAAAAACATAAAAACATATAACTGTGCAGCCATTGCACAAAACAGGTACATTCAACATATCCCATTCCCCAGATAGCTCAGATCTGAGCGCACATTATTACTGAATGGTGCTCAGAGCACACACACATACAGTTCAATTGCCATGGAGCCAAAGTCTTTCCCATAGTCTTTCATTATACGAATGGGCTCCATGGCATAGCTATCTGGGGTATCACTGCTCAAACAGGGCCAGCACTGAATGACCCGGCTTTCGTGTCTCCGCAGGGGAAAATCAAGCGTTTCAACATGGGGCCATAGTCTAAAGGCAGCAGGCGGGCAACCAGGCTCCTCCAATGCACAGTGGCAAGATTGGTCTCGTCACAATAGATATATCATTTTTTGTATTTTTAGTGTGGCTTAAGGTGGTGGGAAGAGTGCTGGGACTTTTCAAACTGCTCTCTAATGGTTTTTAGAATGGTTTGTACAGAAATGGGTGAAGATGCCCATTATAGGCTGTAGTCAGTGTGTGGTGCTTAGAGCACTTCTTTAAACGAGTTACAATGAGAAAAAGCGACCAGAAAAACATTAGAAAAAAATCAAAAGAAAAAGTTATTCAAAGTTATTAAAAACATGAGAAAGTAAATTATGATGAACCACTGTAAAGGGAACGCAGTTATATCTGTCAAAGAGATTCCTTTTGAGTCATCCAGTCGATTACGTGACTTACTAACACCTTGCTCACTCTCTGCTTTGCCCCAGTTCTACAGATACTACTCCCTGCTCGCCACCTTGCCGCAGATTGGCTGTCTGCTCGTGCTCAGTGCTGTGTATCCTGCTTTACTCCTGTACAAATTGAGAAAACCACGCCGCAGTGATCAGGTACTGAAAGACTGGCATTGTCCACCTTGTGCGCTTCCCCTATTATTTTTACAGTAATATCCGGAACGTCTGTCTGCTCAGTATAAAAGGGGTGTTTTCACAAGTTGCAAAGGCTGTCCTGGCTTTGTTTTACCAAGCTCCGGGAATTAATGGCAGAAGGGATTAGTGGCGCATGTTAGGGCAGCTAAATACCAGCATTGTACACAGCAGTTAGTTAATTATTTAACTCTATATGTTACTTTCATTCTACCATTATATCGATGATCATGTGTATAAGGCATTACCCACAGTATTCCCAGTGCTGCGCGGTTTATAGATATGCAGGATGAAGACATCGATACAATGTATACAGCTCTGATAGTGAGAGGAATGCTGGCTCTGCACACAGTGTACTCAGCTTGGCATGTAATAGGTTTGGCAGTGTGTGTTGGCAATACTGAATGCCCACTGTCTGCCCAGCTCATTGTATGATGGTTTAGCAGCGAGTGTGTTGGGAATGATAATTTATTTTAAAGAGTGCTATGGAATATGGGATGCATTATATATATACATTCCCATATATAAGCAATAATGATGGCAGTGCCCTTAGTATGCTTGGTGCTCAGATAGAAGCTTTAGCAGCATGTTACCCGGTCTGAAATTGTCCATGAATAAAATAACATTGAGCTGTGTGTAGTGGAATGGAAATGTTGTATAGCGGTGGTTCCCAAACTTTTTAGGTTCACGGGGCCCTTAATATTTCAATATTTTTCCAAGGCACCCCAAGTCAAAATTTCTAGGTTGTATATCTGTATAGCGCTGCAGCATTTATTGGCGCTATAGTGTAATGTACAGTGTTGGTGTTTGAAGGGGTGCTTGTATATAGTTTTAGTGTTTTAATACAGGGGTGTGTTTGTATGTGATGTTTGCGTTTGATTGCAGGGTTATGTCTGAACGTAATGTTCACTTTTAAATGTGGATGTACATTTATGGCTGCTTGGATGTATGTACGTACACTACCACATACATACATACATACATACAAACTTACACAGATATTAATGCACATTAACACACAGATACATATAAATACACAACACATACAGACAAATTCATATATACACATACACACATAGATTCACACCGACATATACACACATGCACCTTGATATACACAAACATTGATACATGCACACACCATGACACAGATACACACACTGACACACCCTGACACACAGATGCACATACACAGATGTGCACACACACACAGACACACACACTGACACAGAAGCACAGTGACATATATATATATATATATATATATATATATACACACACACAGATGCACACTCTGGCACACATACACTCACAAACATTCTAACACACACTCATGTATACACATACACACACTCATACACCCACCCACACACACACACACACACACACTCACACACACACACACATGTATACACATACACCTACTCACACACACACACATACACACAAGTGATATTTTTTTTTTATATCTACAGCCACACTCCTGTTATCTTACCTTCTGTGTCCAGAAGGGTGGCTTGGAGTCCTGCTGCTGGTGGGAGTGAGGGGCCTGGAGCTCTTCGTGCTCTCCCCTCTCTGGAGCTCTCCCTTCATACTGCGGCTGCCCCCATTACCTCCGCGCTGTCTCCCTGCATGATGCTGGGAGGAAGTGACAAGCTGCCACTTCCAGCCCGCCAACATTACAGGGGCCCGGTCGCAATCTTAAAGGCACCCGACCGGGCCCCTGTTCAGCAGTAATTCCTCAGCACATAGTTTGGGAACCGCTGTTGTATAGGTTTCAGGAAGGTTTATTGATATCTATTGGTAAATTGGTACTGTCTATAGTATACCATGTTTTGTGTAGGCTAACATTTTCTATTTTATACCATGTTCTGTGCATAGCAATAAGGTATATCTCTGTGTTTTAAAAAACCAATATGGTCTATTCCTGGCAGGGATAGGCAACATTCGGCACTCCAGATGTTGTGGATTACATCTCCGAGAATGCTCTTACAGCCATAATGCTGGCAAAGCATCATGAAAAATGTATTCCACAACATCTGGAGTGTCAAAGGTTGCCCACCACTCTGTTGTGTACCCTATTCTCTGTATAGCAGGAAGATATATCTGTTTATGAGTAAGGCTGATATGTAGCTTAAAGGACCACTATAGTGCCAGGAAAACATACTCGTTTTCCTGGCACTGTAGTGCCCTGAGGGTGCCCCCTCCTCCATACCGACGTCATCGGCTGAATGCGCATGCGCGGCATGAGCCACAAGCGCATTCAGCCAGTTCATAGGAAAGCATTTACAATGCTTTCCTATGGACGCTGGCGTCTTCTCACTGTGATTTTCACAGTGAGAAGCACGCAAGCGCCTCTAGCGGCTGTCAAGAGACAGCCACCGGAGGCTGGATTAACCATATTATAAACATAGCCGTTTCTCTGAAACGGCTATGTTTATAAAAAAAAGGGTTAAACCTAGCTGGACCTGGCACCCAGACCACTTCATTAAGCTGAAGTGGTCTGGGTGCCTATAGTGGTCCTTTAACCCACTGTGTGTAGCTGGACGATCGATCCACGTGTGATGCTTGATAGATACTGACTGTAGTGTGTTCTGTAGCTGGATGGTTTCTATGTATGATAAACTAGTGTTGGGATGATGTAACTGCCTATAGCATACCCTGCTGTGTGTCTGCTAGGATGGTGCATCCTTAAGTGCGTTAAAAATACTGATTCTGTCTTTAGTGTGCCCTGCTATGTGTAAGGACAAACATCAGACTTCTTTGAGCTTGAAATAGTTATACTATCCATAGTGTACACGGCACTACACTGTGTAATGTGAATAGTCTTTCAGACTGTGTGTGCTTAAAGTACCGATACTGCCTATAGTGTGCTCTGCTCTGTTTAAATAGGATGGCTTATCAGACTGTGTGTGCTAAAAGTACCGATACTGCCTATAGTGTGCTCTGCTCTGTGTAAATAGAATGGCTTATCAGACTGTGTGTGCTTACAGTACCGATACTGCCTATAGTGTGCTCTGCTCTGTTTAAATAGGATGGCTTATCAGACTGTGTGTGCTAAAAGTACCGATACTGCCTATAGTGTGCTCTGCTCTGTGTAAATAGAATGGCTTATCAGACTGTGTGTGCTTACAGTACCGATACTGCCTATAGTGTGCTCTGCTCTGTTTAAATAGGATGGCTTATCAGACTGTGTGTGCTAAAAGTACCGATACTGCCTATAGTGTGCTCTGCTCTGTGTAAATAGGATGGCTTATCAGATTGTGTGTGCTTAGAGTACCGATACTGCCTATAGTGTGCTCTGCTCTGTTTAAATAGAATGGCTTATCAGACTGTGTGTGCTTAAAGTACCAATACTACCTATAGTGTGCTCTGCTCTGTTTAAATAAGATGGCTTATCAGACTGTGTGTGCTTGAAGTGCTAACACTATATATAGTGTACCCTGCACTATGTAAAGGGAATGACCTATTAGAAGGCAGTTGCTTGACGTGCCTGTAAAGTACCCTGCGCTGTGTTAAAGGCACAGTTTAGGCACCATAACAACTTAACTTAAATTAAGTTGTTATGGTGCCTGGAGTGTTGCTTTAGGGCAATGGTTTATTGGACTGTCTGTGCTTGTCATCTCTGCTCTGTACATAGGATGGTGGTTTATCAGACTGTACTAGAAACCTTGATATTGACAATAATGTATCCTGCTTTGTGTACAGCAGGGCATTAAAGAATTAATCTATGATTGCTACTTCCTGCAGCTACCTATAGTGAGCGTATCACAGTGTGTATCATGCTGTCCGCTTCTACCCAGCTCTGTTACTGCATTGTAAAATATACAGCGTTGCTGTTGCACCTGCTCCTAGCATAACTAAAGCCATATATATAATGTGACCTGTTGTTGAGGTCCAGTCGCACAGCTTTTGCCTGTGGATATGTTGGCATAATGGCATGCGGCACGTGAGTCTTTGCTGGCAGTAGTCCACTCCACTTCAGATGTTACCTAACTCCTGTCCTCGTATGGGGGGAAAATTCCATGGAAGGTGGGTGTTAGAGTGATCCGCTGAAAAGATCCATTGTCCCAAAAATCTTTCCCATGTGACTAATCAGCCTGGTTTCCCTGACGACTTGTCCTTATCCAACGAGGACTTTATCTGATTAATTATCAGGTGATGGGAATATTATTGAATTGAGTATGTACTCACACATATGTATATGCATAATGGTTTATATAACTGCAAGACTATGTGCTTCTGATCGGATCTGGAAAAATAACGAGACGCTTAATGTTCCAGAAAAATTAACCCCTTAATCCAGAGTTACTCATGCAAAGCTATGTAGACGTTTTTTAGCCATTCTTTGAATTCCCTGCCCTTGCAGTCAGTAAACTAGACAGACATACTTCATCATAAAATCCAGCTGGTGTCTGGATCGAATCCCACTTAGATTAAAGTAGATATGTTTATCAGAGGCTATCGTCATACGGACTTATTCATTGTACTGGGGAATTACACAATTAATTTTATTGGAATTAGAACACAAAAAAAAATTTAAAAAATTGCAGAGCTTATAAAAAAGATTGGCAGCAAACCAAGATGCTGGCGCTCAGTACCAGATTAGAACTAAATACTACAATATGAACTTCTACATTTAAATGTATTTTTCAGACCTCACATACATAGATTTGTTAAATATAGAGAATAACTAAAAAATAAAATAATACAAATTCTGAAAAGGGATAGTTTCCCTTTTAGGTGCTGAAGTATTATTTAGTTTGTAGTATTTGATGAACCATCCATAATATATAATATAATAAAAGCTGCCTATCATTAATTCATCATTAACCCACCCACACTCTCAAATAATATCCTCATCTTCTGCGAAAGGCCCTTAAACAATACAGAATAAATAAAAGTCTTGCTATACTACAATATATATATATATATTCTTGCTCCATTCTATGAGTGCTATTGTTAAAGGACCACTATAGTGCCCTGAGGGTGCCCCCACACTCAGGGTCCCCCTCCCGCCGGGCTGGATGGAGAGGAAGGGGTTAAACTCACCTCTTTCTCCACTGCTGGGCGGGGAGCTCTCCTCCTCTTCTCCTCCTCTTCGGCTGAATGCGCATGCGCGGCAGGAGCTGCGCGCGCATTCGGCCAGTCTCATAGGAAAGCATTCTCAATGAAAATCACAGTGAGAAGCACGCAAGTGCCTCTAGCGGCTGTCAAGAGACAGCCACTGGAGGTTAGATTAACCCTAACATAAACATAGCAATGCTATGTTTATTTAAAAAAAGGGTTAACCCTTGCTGGACCTGGCACCCAGACCACTTCATTAAGCTGAAGTGGTCTGGGTGCCTATAATGGTCCTTTAAGGTTTTCGCAGATTAAATCTAAATTACAAACTTTAAGAAAAAATAACTGCTCTGGAAAAATGTGCTAACTCAACTTGGCTATTTTAGCCTCAATTTTATCCAATTTAGGCCTCAGTTCAACATTTTTTAATAAGCTTTTCAATATTTTCCAAAATTATTTAATATTTAGATTTTTTTTAATATATATTTATTTCTTTATATTTTATATATTTTTGATATGTCAGTATTATGAAGAAATAATTTTAAAAGGCTTTTCAATAATATTAAATTTATTTAAAAAGCTTATCTAACAATATTAAACCAAGGCCTTAATTTCCTAAAGTTTGGAGTTAAGTAAATAAATCTGTCAACGCATTGGATTAACTTTTTGTTCTTTGTATTTAACCTTTTGTAGTGTCTTCCTGAACTGGGTGCGTGCCTCAGATACAACACAGACAGACAATACAGATTCTTTCCATTTTCCCACATGTTTACACAGTTCTGGAGCTGAATACTAACATTTAGGATATGTCAGGCTATCTAAGTGCTATACTTTTTTGATATCGGAAAAAACAACAGATCAAACAAAAAGCAGCATTACAAAAAACACTGTTTTTACCACAATACAACTAGACTTGCTTACAAACATAATTTTCTGTTTGGACATTTCAGACATGAATTGGAAAACTATAATCAGGAAGGAAACGTAAAAATTTTAAATAATCTACCAAAAAGATGATATTTTAAGGGGAATCCTGGATTATATAGATATATATACAAAACACTGTTTTAGGAATCCTATGACATTTTGTAGTCCAGAAAAAAAAGAGGCAATTCTGCCAACAAAGCCTTTAGTTCTCAATCATCTCTTTATATATTGAGGAAATTGGTTTACCGAATTTACTGTGCTGACATAGGTACAGTAAGTATGGTACGCTTGTGTGACTTCCCTTCATTATGTATTAAAAGAGTAAATGGAGGAAAGTAGCCCCTCAGAGCCCACCATAGGTACAGAGTGTAATAGGTAACCCTTAACAGGCTCCACGGGTAAAAAGCGTAATAGGTAACCCCTCACTCACAGTACCCCGCAGGAAAAGAGTGTAATAGGTAACCCCTCACACAGTACCCCACATGTAAAGAGAGTAATAGGTAACCCCTCACAGTACCCCGCAGGAAAAGAGTGTAATAGGTAACCCCTCACAGGTAAAGAGCTTAATAGGTAACCCCTCACAGCCCCCCACATGTAAAGAGTGTAATAGGTAACCCCTCACACAGTACTCCACATGTAAAGAGAGTAATAGGTAACCCCTCACAGTACCCCACATGTAAAGAGTGTAATAGGTAACCCCTCACACAGTACTCCACATGTAAAGAGAGTAATAGGTAACCCCTCACAGTACCCCACATGTAAAGAGAGTAATAGGTAACCCCTCACAGTACCCCACATGTAAAGAGCATAATATGTAACCCCTCACAGTCCTCCACATGTAAAGAGAGTAATAGGTTACCCCTCACAGTACCCCACAGATAAAGAGCATAATAAGTAACCCCTTACAGAACCCCACAGGTAAAGATCGTAATAGGTAACCCCTCACAGTACCCCAAAGGTAAAGCGAGTAATAGATAAAATAGATAACGCCTCCCATTTCCCCACCGGTAAAGAGCGTACACTCATAGTGCCCACAGGTATAAAGCATAATCCCTTAAAGCATGGGTGTCCAACCTTCAGGCTTTCATGGGCCACATTGGGTGCAGAGGAATTGTCTTGAGCCACACATACAATCTTTAATATAATTCATTTATATAATAAAACTAAAACAGAAATTTTCTTAACTGTATTTAGTAGTTAACTCCCTTATTTGTTATCCTTATATTTTATTGCCATATTTAAGGAAACCATATTAGGGAGCTATCTACTAAGCACAAACACATGTATATACATTTGCACACATAACCACAGATATACACATACACACAATCACAGACCTATACATACACTTACACACATCATCACAGACACACACACATACAATCACAGACCTATACGCACAATCACAAATATATACACACACAATCACAGACCCATACACACACACACACACAATCACAGACCTATACACATGTACACACACAGACATACACAATCACAAACCCACACACACATACAATCATAGATCTATACACACAATCACATACATACACACACACACACACACAATCACAGACCTATACACACAATCACATACCTATACACAGTCACAAACATACACACACATAATCACAGATGTACACACACAATCACAGATACACACACATACAATCACAGACACACATATACACACAATCACAGATATAAACACACACAATCACATATCCACACACACATACAATCACAGACCTATACACACAGTCACATACATAAATACAATCATAGACATATACACACATATCACAGACCCACAACACACACACATACAATCAAAGACCTATACACACATAATCACATACACACACATGCAATCACAGACTTATATGCACATACAATAACAGACATATACAATCACAGACATATACACACACACACACACACACATAATCACAGATGTAGACACACACGCACACATTCTTTCCGATCACTATCTATTTTTTTAACTGATAGAATTAAATTGAGGCCTATATTTGCAACAACTTTAGAGTTCCCACACCTCTTGAGAGAATAAAAGGAGCATGGAAAGATGAGGAGTGCTTACAGCTCAGGAATTTATACAGAAACTGGACATATTTTTCAAATGCAGTGAATTAAATTAGGAAATGCTCCACTTCCGGTTTCCTATACAGCTTTTATACAGTGTTCTGTAAATACTCCCATGGTTGTCCCTTCACATGAGGCAGACATCATTCTGACAGACCGGTCCATTAACAGGCAGATCCAACCTCCAGTGAGCTAGGAGTGATTAGATTAGAATTTCATTAGGGGCAGACTGAGCACTCGCACAAATTGGTCAAGGACCCGAGCAATGAAAAAAAAAATGAATTACCATACCTACAACATATAGAATACCACTCTCTGTCCATATGCACAGCTCATGTAACCCCCATATTCACACATCCTGACACTGTACACGAACACAGTATATGGTTAAATGCAAACACTCATTCTACACACAGGCACACAATACAATACACATGCACAAATACAAACATTCACTCTTTATACACATGCAATCAAACGTGTAATAAAGACAAAAAAAATGATATGTGAAATTTACTTAAATTGAAACTCCAGGTATCATTATAACTTATTGCCTTTATGTAGGTTATGGTAAAAATAGCTTCATAGTATCTAATTCCCTTCCAACTACAATTTCCCCCGACTCTATAAGTATTTATACTGAACGTTCAAGCACAGCATGCGCGCAATGAGTTCCTGTTATCTCTAACAGGATCTATCATAGGTTTCTGAGATAACCAGTAGTGTGATATTTATACTATGCTTCATGGGGCTTATGGGCCTTCAGAGAGCACTGGTCCTATTTTAGCCGGGCTCCCAAATTGCTGTCAGTCTGTCATTGTACTGTTCCATGAATGCTGAAGGTGTGCAATCATTTACAAATTATATGTGCATGGAGCACATTTAGAAACGTTAACAACAAAGCTGAATATGGAGTCAGAAGGCTAACAGGATGATGTGAGTTACTTATAGGCTGGAAAGGGGTGCAAAACTAAGGAGAGAGTGAGAATTTGGGTGCATATGTGTTGTTTGCTTGTTGTATAAAGAGGAGTCGTCCCTTCCTGAGATATGTATGTTTTATTATTATTATTATTATTTTATTATTTATATAGCGCCATCAGATTCCGTAATGCTGTACAAAGGGTGGACTAACAGACATTTAATTGTAACCAGACAACTCGACGTACAGGAACAGAGAGGTGGAGGGCCCTGCTCAATGTTTGTTATATTATCTTAACTTATCCCTATATTCAACAAATTTCTGTTTGTCACTTCTGAATATGAAATGGAATGTAGAAATCCACGGTGCTCTATTTACCTCTATTCTGGAACTGGGCGCCTCCATCTTAGTTCCCTGTCAGTTATTATCATAAGCTCTGCCATTTGCACCTGGCAGTCAGCGTTCAGAGAGCATGAAAAGAGGAGAAATAAAAACAATGTATCTCTTTCTCACCCCTCGATGCAGCGTGTGCCTTGGCTGTGCCAGACTGAAATAGAATATGATGCGGTGTGGTAAATTTTAACACACATTTAGAAAAAAAGTCAACACAATGTGGCAATTTTCAATATTTTATTCAGCTGGTTCCCCTTTAACGTATGGGACAACTGGATAGAATTAAAAAAAAAAAACTAAATTAGTTTGAGATTTAATATTCTGCCATTTCAACAAGTTGCATTAATTGATTTTATTGCAATTCCCATTGCTCAGCCATTGACAGAGATGAGTCGTATTGTACTAATAGCAAGAAAGATACCCAGGGTGAGGAGGACTAGTTGAACGCTTTCCTTTCTCTGGCCGTGTTCCATACCATCAGTCAATGGCTGCTTCAAGAAAATGTCAATTGAACACTGATTGCAGATACCGCTTGATTGGCCTTACTTAATGATCACTGCAAAGGAAAAGTCTAACGCTCAATTGATTTTGAAACTTGCCTCAATCACAGCGTGCATGCCATAGATTGCACCAGATAATCATTTTCTACAGAGAATTAGCTTTTCTTCTGTGTTAGGGAATATAACCTACCAATGTATGTTTGTTCATTTAATTTATCGGTATCGGATGTTATAAAACCATAGGGGACTTTAAGAGACATATTAGCTAGATTTGACACAGTCCACTTTCAATGCATTAAATATTAAAATATTATTTAATGTTTCAAATAATTGTCTGAAGATTTTTAAAAAAAATACACATTAGGGTTTATTTAGCAAGTTACAAATTGATATGGATCGCAATCTGAATACAAAATTGTAGGCAGAGATAGATGATCTGGAAAAATCCTCAGCGTGGTTACTTAGTTCTGTGAATAACCCCCACCCCTCCATTGTACAGCACTACAGAATTTGCTGGCACTATATAAATAATAAAATAATATTAATAATAATAATAATAATAATAATAATAATAATACCCATGGTTGTAAATATCCAATGCTCTTGTCCATTTCTTACCACCAGGGGGTGCTACGTGATATCTATATATATATGCATCTAACGCTATACCTAGAATATTGTAACTGGCAGACAGTGATAATAATGTATTATTTACAGTATTGTTTTAGAAAACATGTATGTGGTTTTTTACTTTAATTTTTTTAAGTCGTGTGATGGAACTAATATGAGTATTAATAGGATGGAATTAATATGACAAAATACAGGTTCGTTGGCACAGGCTCATAGATAGATTGATGTACTTTGAAAATGCTGTTGCCATCAGCTTTCAGTGGTTAATTGGGATGTGATGATATAGAACACTGACAACCACTATCTGAAAGAAAGTTGGCAAAATTGCAACATTGCAGTATTGGTACCAGGGTACCACTGACCTTTGTCTCTGGGGTTCACTAGATGTACTTATTACACTAAGTGTCTATGCCCCATGGTCCAAACATACTGGTCCATTTAGAAAATAGATCATGCTTACAATTTTTTAAATGTACAGTATATGTGTGGAGAGCTGGTGGACAAGTTAGTTAGATAGTCTGCTTGAGTCATGAAATCTGAGTTTTTATTACAAAAAACAAGGGGAAAAAATATTGATAAAAATATGACCAAATGGATCTAACCTGGGACTCACTATCACTCCCAATTTATCCTTTTCCATAATCCATTGAGTGAGAGTGAAAGGTAATGGTGTTCTGCATGCTTCACTTAGATGTGTTACAGAGGACACTCCCTTGTACAGATATAGGGATTAGAGTTGAGCGAACCCAAACTGGAAAGTTCGGGTTCTTACCGAACATTACGGTTTTTGGACCCCGGACCCAAACACGGACATTTCACTCTATGTTCGGGTTGGAGTTGGGTGTTTGGCGATTTAATGGCGCATTATGAAAGGCTGCAGGGCAGCCAATCAACAAGCGTTTGACTCGTGTGCCCTTAGAAGCCATGACAGCCATGCCTACTAATGGCATGGCTGTGATTGGCCAGTGCAGCATGTGACGCAGCCTCTATATATAAGCTGGAGTCACGTAGCGCCGCATGTCACATGAGCTCTTATTAGTGTAGGGAGAGGATGCTGCATCTGTGAGGGACAGATTAGTAAATAATTCTGGTGTTGAATCTGCAAACTACAGCGATTATTTTTGTGGGTGCTATACTACATTTTTGTACCCTGCCCTGAGCCCAGTGCCACAGAGAGTGCAGTGCACTTCTGGTAGCTCAGTGGGCAACATCTAGGCATTTTTAAATACTGCAATTTTTTCGGTGCTAAATAGTACATCTGCGTACTGCATTTCTTGCAGTCTAATAAAACCCTTAAATACTACTGTTACATTGCAGTTTGACTAATTCACATTTCTTTGGTGCTAAATAGTACATTAGTGTCGTGCACTTCATTTCTGAGAGTCAAATAGAACCGTCAAATACTGTGGTTACAGCACAGTTTTAAAAATTCCAATTTTTTTTGGTGCTAAATAGTACATTTGGGGTGTGCACTTCATATCTGGTGTATGTGTGCAACACTGGCTGGTTACCGCTTCTCAAGAAAGTCTAAAGACAAATACATGTTGCCTATGGTGCAGGTATTATAGAAGGCAAGACTGAGACAAATCATTTGGGTTACAGTTGCCTGTTGACATGTTAATTATCTTAGACCATTAAAATTCAATAATCAATGAAAAAACACACTAAGTGTCATACAAAAATATGTATTATAGACAAGTTAAAAGCAAGTCATGCTATAACAAAATTAAACAAGTTTTAAAATATGTATGGGCCAACCAGTGGCTGTAAAAACTAAGTTTTACTGGTTACATTCATGACTACACACTCCAGTGAACATGACTTTCATGTAGTGTGTTCTTTTTAAAAAAAAAATCATACAGCATCCTTTCATGTGCAGAGCGGCAAGGAGGGCATAAGAGGGCATAAGAGGGAGCAGGGTGCAAAAGTGGAGCGGCCGTCCCCTAGCGCTCGTCGGCATGTATTAGCTCTAGAGTTACCACAGTTATCCAAGTAACAGATGGAGCGATCAAAGGAACCATAACTGATATAATGAGCCATTCGCAGTTTCAAAGTCAGGGCAGCAGTCCGGTGACCAGGACCCAGACACTGTCTGGGTGGCGGTCGGACGACCAGGACCCAGTATGCCTGATGTTGAAGTTAGGAGTCATAGTGTGGAATGGATTAGCAGGGTCTGGTCAGTGGGGGATCCGGGGGCAAGCAATTGTCAACCCCCCCCCCCCGAGAAAACCGAGGGTCCCCCTCTCCCCTGCTGGCTAATGCAGGGCTGGCACTGTCTTAGTGCCAGCCCTGCAATGTGCCTTCAAGGACCAGAGGGGAGAGAGGACCCGGGAGCTCAGCCTGCAGCTCCTCCGGGTTCTACTCTCGTGAGCACGGAGTGTTGCCGCGGTTACCACGGCAACGCTCCAACTCTCACAAGAGTGAACTCTAGCCCTGGAGCTGCGGGCTAGAGTTCACTCCTACCACTGGGACCACCATTGATTCCCCACCGGACCACAAGGGATCCAGAAATGTCCCCCCTCCTCCCTCAGTAAAGGTAAGAAGTGAGGGGGGGACATAATGAACATTTGTTTTAATTACATTTAAATAATAAATAAAATAAAAAAACTTATAGGGGGGCTTTTAATAGTTTTAATATTTTAATATAAAATGTGTTGTTTTAAAAAATTTTTTAATTAATATGTATGTATAGGGGCAGTGTGTGTGTGTGAGGGGGCAATGTGTGCGATAAGAAGGGTAGGGCTTTTTTATAATAACACACATTGCTCCCCCCCACACACACATACAATGCCCCCCATACACACACACTGCCCCCATTCACACACACTGCCCCCATACACACTCATTGTCCCCATACACACTGCCCCCAAACACACACTGCCCCCAAACACACACTGCCCCCATACACACACCCTGCCCCCCATACACACACACTGCCCCATACACACACACTGCCCCATACACACATTGCCCCACACATACACTGCCCCTCCATACACACACATTGCCCCACACTCACACATACACTGCAATCCTCACACACACACACTGCAAATGTCACACACAAAAACTGACCCACACATACACTGCCCCCTAACACACACACACTGCACCCCTGACATATACTGCCGCCCTCACTCACACACTGCAACCTTCACACACTGCAACCTTCACACACACACACACACACACACTGTCCCCCTCACACACACACTGCACCCCTTACACATTGCACCACTCACACAAACCACTGCCCCAATGCCCTACTACAGCCCCATTTCCCAGCAGACCTCAGGTAAGTTGTCAAACTATTCTTAAACGGTTTGACTACTTACTCTGGGAGGGGGTCCCGGCACTATTGACACCATAACCGCTACACTGAGCTGTACTGGTTATTGTGTCTGGATTATTTCTTTAAATAATCTACAAGTGCCCCTCCCGAGATCAGGCTCTGGATCCACTACTGGGTCTGGTGCAGGGTAAGCGCACGCCCCCTGGTGTTGAGCACCAGAGTTTGTGCGGCCAAATACCAGGACCCTGATGCAGCTTCAGTAAAAAGAGTACTGGATACCAGAAGCCATCACCAGACTGTTCCGCAACTTGAAACAGGATGTGACATTCATGCTTTCGGCGTTCTCACCCTGCTGTTGCTCGCCTGTCTGCACCGCAGCGTAACTTCGGCCTTCCCGCTCACCGCCTCATATGCGACGTGCCCACAAAGTGGAACTCCACCTTGCACATGCTGGAGAGACTGTGCAAGCAGCAGCAGGCGATAGTGGAGTTTCAGCTGCAGCACGCACGGGTCAGTCGCTCTGCACCAGACTTGCCCTCCAATTGATCCTAGTTAAAGGATTTAAAGTGGACTCATTACAATTACAGGGCCTCGAAAGAGTCCTGTATTGTTATTTGTCGTCACTACCTCCCCGCATCGAGTGGGTAATTTGCTCACCTGCTGCCTTCCTTGGATGTGGTAGCCGTTTCTCAGACTCCCTCTCCTGAATCGAACCCTGATTCCCCATTCCCCATACAGCATGGTAGGCACAGAAAGTAGCATAGAAAGTTGATAGGGCAGACATCTGAATGCGTTGTCGCCGTCACAGGGACGTGCGATTGGCCCGAGGTTCTCTAGAGTCACCAAAGTGCCTGCGCAATGACTGTCGAGTTGCCCACATTCTAACTTGTGCTGATTACTGGGTGGCCACCCTGCTGGATCCCCATTACAAGGACAACGTGCCATCCTTAATTCCCTCACTGGAGCGTGATCGGAAGATGCGCGACTACAAGCGCATGCTGGTAGACGCGCTGCTGAGGGCATTCCCAACTGACACCAAGGGCTCAGTGGAAGCACAAGGCGAAGGCAGAGGAGGAGGAAGAGGTCGCCAACGCAGCTGGGGCACCGCCAGCACCTCAGAAGGCAGGGTTAGCATGGCCAAAATGTGGAAAAGCTTTGTCAGCACGCCACAACAACCAGCACCACCATCTGATATGGAACGTCTTAGCAGGAGGCAGCATTTCAGCAACATGGTGGAACAGTACATGTGCACACGCCTACACGTACTGACTGATGGGTCTGCCCCATTCAACTTCTGGGTCTCCAAATTGGGCACATGGCCTGAGCTTGCCCTTTATGCCTTGGAGGTGCAGGCCTGCCCTGCAGCCAGTGAATTGTCTGAACGTGTGTTTAGCACAGCAGGGGGTGTTATCACAGACAAGCGCAGCTGCCTGTCCACAGCCAACGTGGACATGCTCACGTTTATTAAAAATGAACCAGGCATGCATCCCACCAGACTTGTCTGTACCTTGTGCAGAATAGACATTTATATTGGCCTCACCCAGCCATTGTTATACTCAAGTGCACTTATTCTTTGTTTTCTTTTTTTATATGTCCCAATATTTTGGGGGCTACCCCAATTTAAAAAAAAAACCAAACAAAAAAACAAACAAATAGAAAACAGTGTTGGCTACCTCCTCCACCGCCACTTCCACCTACACCGCCACGGTCACCGCCTCCTCAACCTCCTACTCCACATCCACCTCCTCCTCCTAGAGCAGGGTGCAAAAGCGGAGCAGCCATCCCCTAGACAGTACGCCTGCTACTGCCCACCGAACCCAGGGAATGAGCACACCCAAGGCTCCTCCTGCTTCCTCTTCTGCTGCTGTCTCGGCCTCTTCCTCCACCTCAGGAGTGACAGTGGCACCTGCCACCCCGCAAACAGACGATGTGGCAGCAATGCCACCACGTCCGCCACCGTCCCCAAGCATCTCCACACTGTCCCATGGAAGCGTTCAGCTGTCCATCTCTCAAACACTGGAGAGAAAGAGGAAGTACCCTCCTACCCACCCGCGATCCTTGGCCCTGAATGCCAGCATTTCAAAATTCCTGGCCTTTGAAATGCTGTCATTCCGTCAGGTGGAGACGGACAGTTTTAAAAACCTGATTGTGTTATTGGACTGCAAGAAATGCACCGCAGGCAGCAAATGTTTCTTTTTTTTATATGTCCCAATATTTTGGGGGCTACCCCAATTTAAAAAAAACAAAAACAAATAAAAAACAGTGTTGGCTACCTCCTCCACCGCCGCTTCCACTTACACCGCCACGGTCACAGCCTCCTCAACCTCCTACTCCACATCCACCTCCTCCTCCTAGAGCAGGGTGCAAAAGCGGAGCAGCCATCCCCTAGACTGCCTACCGCACCCAGGGAACGAGCACACCAATGCCAGCTCCAAGGAGTTCCCTGGCGTGGCAGTTCTTCAGACGATGTGCTGATGACAAGACACTAGTGGTTTGCACGCTGTGCAATCAGAGCCTGAAGCAAGGCATAAACATTCTAGACCTGAGCACAACCTGCATGACCAGGCATCTACATGGAAAGCACGAGCTGCAGTGGAGTAAGCACCTCAAAAACCAAGAAAGCTCTCAGGCTCCTCCTGCTTCCTCTTCTGCTGCTGTCTCGGCCTCTTCCTCCACCTCTGGAGTGACAGTGGCACCTGCCACCCCACAAACAGACAATGTGGCAGCAATGCCACCACATCCGCCACCGTCCCCAAGCATCTCCACACTGTCCCATGGAAGCGTTCAGCTGTCCATCTCCCAAACACTGGAGAGAAAGAGGAAGTACCCTCCTACCAACCCGCGATCCTTGGCCCTGAATGCCAGCATTTCAAAATTCTGGGCCTTTGAAATGCTGTCATTCCGTCAGGTGGAGACGGACAGTTTTAAAAACCTGATGGTGTTATTGGACTGCAAGAAATGCACCGCAGGCCGCAAATGTTTCTTTTTTTTATATGTCCCAATATTTTGGGGGCTACCAGAATATTAAAAAAACAAAAATAAAAACAAAAAAACAAATAAAAAACAGTGTTGGCTACCTCCTCCACCGCCGCTTCCACCTACACCGCCACGGTCACCACCTCCTCAACCTATGGGTCACTTAGTATAAACTATGTACACAATAGCAGAGGCTTGTGAAGGCCTTTTCTCCATGCATCAGGAGTTGAGCTCAGTTTGAACAATGAAAGAGAATACCCTGCACTCCAACCCTCTCTCAAATGGATAATTCTGGTGATCCTCCTGACATGCTTTAGATTTTGATTTATGTTCTTCCAAAGCTAAACTCAGAGATTCCATCTAGTGCTATTTTATGGCTCAGCTGTATTTTTAATTTGTATGTATTTTATGTTATTTTAAGTGATTTCCCTATCCACATTTGTTTGCAGGGCACTTGTCCTACTCTTACCCCCATTTTACTTCCTTTTGCAGCCCTCTAGCCCTTTCCAGGACTTTTTTAGAGGCATTTTAGTGTCCAAAAGTTCGGGTCCCCGTTGACTTCAATGGGGTTCAGGTTCGGGGTCAAGTTCAGATCAAGTTCGAGTCCGAATTCGAACTTTTTGACGAAGTTTGGCCGAACTCGACGAACCCGAACATCCAGGTGTCCGCTCAACTCTAATAGGGATGAATGTATTGAGCCAGGGAGATTGGACAGATAACATCCTCTATTATGTAAATTCCACCTTTAAGAACTTCATGGGAGTACAACACAGTATATTGGAAAATGCTATGAAGCCTCAGAGGAATAAAGGAATAAAGGGTGGACATTTACTGAAAATAATAACTTCATATATGTGTTTTTATGTGAAAAGGTTTTTAAAGACTTGAGCTAAGGGCGGTGGTGCAATACCTTGCCGTTGAGTTGAGTTATGGGCCCATAACCATCAGTAAGTTGAGTAGTGCTTTATTTCTCAAGCTCAGTCTCTAACCCTCCCAGAATTGCCTGTTGAAGTTCCAGTTTGAAGACAAATTGCTGTATTTTCACGTCAGAAATGTATGGGCATTGCTAGAGACATTGCAATAATGTAGCCCCAATTACCCCACATAACACAACTACTTGGCTGTAACAACTTCATAGTAAGCAGTAATTGTAAGTTGACACGTGCTCAATTATATATTTTGAAGGACATCTTTAAAAATGTTTCTTCCCGTAGATATTTGTTATTGTCAAGGATTGCATCCCACCAGCCTACGCATATGAGATTCCAGATTCAGTAGAGTAGATATTCAAGATTCTAAACAGGATGTAGTGTGAGTTGGTGAAGTCATCAGCAGTGTTTGCATGTCAAAGGATGCAGTTATAGAAAGTAATCCAAGAACATATGAGTATTTCTAAGTTATGTAATGGCTAAAGGCAAGTATTTCTCAAAGCTGTACGGCGTGATTGATAAGATAGCATGATAGTTATCATCAAGACATTATGTAACAAATTGATAACCTAAGGCATACAAGTGACCAGGCCTCTCTTTAGAGCTACTATCTTGGAAGAAGGGAATTTTTTGCCAACTTACAATCTCCACCAATGAATGGACTGAAATATTGCAAACAATTGTGATGGTTAAAGTAAATGAGAACTTATTAGCTTCATTTTGAAAACAGGGGCACCCAGGTAAGTGTCAGACTATTCACAATTAATTTGACCCCTTATCACAGGAAGGCACTGGGTGACTCCTGGCACACATATAAAGGGCTGCAGTGGTTTTGGTGTTTACAAATATCCTCAATATGTATTCAAAATATTAAAGCAGGAATACTTCCGCAAATAATGATTTTTATGAATTTGTCTCTCTGTCTTTCTTTTTTAGAAAACGCACAGAAATTATTACCTGAAATATCTCAGCAGACTTTTGAATAGGAAACCATCTAATGGCAGGTTAGTTAAGCATTCTTTCAACAGAAATCTGTGAATGGGAATTATCAAATATTTGCATTTCGTTTCCACCTTGTCATGTACAGTCAGGGCCGTCTTTAATATTGACTGGACACTGGGCAACCATTTGCTTTGGGCCCCTGGACTCTGCCCCCTGCCAGACATACTAACACACATACACAGAGACATACACTGACAGACATACTGACACACACAAACACAAAGATAAAGCACCGCGCCCACAGCAGCAGTAGCTTAGTATCCAACAGCTTAAAATACATAGTAAAAACAATGAGAACGTTACCTGCGCTCTGGCCTAAATCCCCATGTACATTTAGACAAAATGGAGGCTCTTTAGTTTTATTCCAATGGCCATTTGAATACATAAGCTCACCTGCCACGTCAAGGCAAGTCTCAAGAGGTGAGTCCTACACTAGCCATTAGATATGCTGATATCAGCCAAGAATCTCCAATGAGACAGGAAGGGCTATTTTATAAACCCTTTCACATTTAACCCTTTATAGGGCTTCTACACATACAATAAACTTTGCTGGTATCAGGCAAAGTGTAAACATCTCTAATGAGACATGAAGGGGTGTTTTATAAACCCCTACAAACTTAACCCTGAATAGGGCCATAACACATACAAATCACCTTGCTGATATCAGCTAAAAGGCAAATTTCTCTGATGAGACAGGAAGGGGTGCTGCCCCTACATACTTATAAACTCTTAATAAGACAAACGTGGGGAGGCTGGCAGCAATGTAACATAGCTGTGTGATACAAAATTCATATACAAACACAAATATAAAGCACCGCGCTTACAGCAGCAGTAACTTCGTATCCAACAGCTTAAAATACATAGTAAAAACAAAGAGAACGTTACCTGCGCTCTGGCCTAAATCCCCATGTACATTTAAACAGAATGGAGGCTCTTTAGTTTTATTCTAATGGCCATTTGAATACATAAGCTCACCTGCCACGTTAAGGTAAGCCTCAATAGGTGAGTCCTACACTAGCCATTAGATATGCTGATATCAGCCAAGAATCTCCTATGAGACAGGAAGGGCTATTTTATAGCCTTATTATTAAGAGTTTATAAGTGTGTTTATTGTCTTATTAAGAGTTTATAAGTATGTAGGGGCAGCACCCCTTCCTGTCTCATCAGAGAAATTTGCCTTTTAGCTCATACCAGCAAGGTGATTTGTATGTGTTATAGCCCTATTCAGGGTTAAGTATGTAGGGGTTTATAAAACACCCCTTCATGTCTCATTAGAGATGTTTACACTTTGTCTGATACCAGCAAAGTTTATTGTATGTGCAGAAGCCCTATATAGGGTTAAATGTGAAAGGGTTTATAAAATAGCCCTTCCTGTCTCATTGGAGATGAGTAACTGGGCCCGGGGCAGCTGCCCCGTTTTCCCCGCGTTAAAGACGGCCCTGTGTACAGCATCTACAGAGCATTCCATTATGAACCCTAATACACATCATTGTTTCATTAATAAGATCCTTCCCAGACATCTTCTCAAATAATAGTCTGGAGCTCTTCTCTATTAGCCATTCCTTTTCCAGAGATATTTTTTTTTTAAAACAGTACCTTCAAAAGATCTTCTCGATTAGACATACATCTCCCAGAGACTTTCATTAAAAATAATTCCCATCCAACATATCTTTTTAAATAACCATCCCCTTCGCCCCAAGACTGCCAAATTATCACTGACATATTGTTCTGCAACATTTATTACTTATGGTTTCCTCATGAACTGTGCCAAATCCTAAAATAGTTTACCTTCGATCTGGCTACTAATGTCAATCTAATGCTTTGTCTTTCTCCTTTCCACAGTAAGAACCTCGGCACTCCTGGGTCTCAGGTGTTTCGCACTATCTTCTCCTATCTGTATCCTCCAAACACAGGTATCTTGCTGTACTTTGCCATACGAGAACAGAGGGGAACAAACATTGGCATCAGATATAGATTTGCCTTGTGCACATGGCTTGACAGTCTATAGAGCATTGTTGTGTCAGTTGTGCCACGTGTCCCATGTTAAAAGACCTCTATGTTCCTTCTATCTTCCTAGATGTTTGCTTGTCGTTAAAACCAGTCCTTGCAGTAACCGCATCGATGTTGTCTGGATATCAGGTAAAAGTGCAGAATCCAAAAACAAATCCTGAAACATACATTAGTTGTTGCTAAAAACTGCACTGTGAACTTTTCTCAAGCTGAAAGAGATAAGAGCTTTAGCCCCATCATTTCACCCTGTCTGTAGGTGGCGCTGCTCCTGTTGGTGGTATTTCTTCCCACTGTGCAGAAGATCCGCAAGAGCATTAATGAAGAATTTATCCTTGTGCTGGCTGGTTTTGGTTTGAATGTTGATGAGAATAAAACAGCGGCAGTGGAGTTCATTGTGTATTACATATGGGTTGTGGAAGGTAAGGAAGGAGAATTAGGGGGACGATTGCTTTGGCTATGTTTTTTTGGGGGGGTTTCCTGTTCTGAGGACCTTGTGTTGTGGCACACACTTTGATGCTAATACTGAGCACCTTGATATTCTTCTATCCCACAGTGTGTTACATTGCGGCAATGGTTCTGTCCTGCATTGTCACTGTCACAATGCTACTGAGATCCCTGGTCAAACACAGGTATGTGCTTCCAACAGGGGAGTTTATTCCTACATAACCAATAGGGATAACCACTTCCTAAGTACAAAAGCAGGGGGATCCACTTTTAGATCATAAACCTGACCCCCAGTCTGCAACCAGAAACCTACATGCAATTATAAACTACAACTTCAAATTTCAAACATACAATCTACGTTCACAAACTTGTGTTGTCAAGCCACGTAGTCTGATGGATTCCACCTAATAAAGGTCTTCATTATATGGAGATTCACTTTGTCTTGGAATTGTTAATGCCCAATTCATGTAAATGTTAATGTAATTATTTATTTTCTGTATTGGATCTTGCCAGTAGTGTCCTTTCTAACACTCTGATAAAATGTAATGTGTTTAGTCTTTGCGTTCCGACACGTACTGCTCATCATTGAATTATGAGCTAAGGCCTGAATTCCCCTAGAACTCTTTCTCCACCACATTCTTCTCCATTTCTCGTGTTCCATCCTGTTCTCTTCCCCAGGTGGGCCCTGCAGTCTCTCTGTGCCGGGCAGTCATCCTTGGTGTTCCTGGACTCACGTTCCCCAAGTCCTTCTCCTTCAGTGCTTTCTAGTTGGATGGGTCATATCAGCTACCAGGCTGCATTCACCTGTATAGGTATTTTTGTATTTCATTGCATGGAAAAATTGTTGTAAAAAACAATCCAGTCCAACTATCTCTATAGAGATTCCATTGATGCATATTTGGCGTGGCCAACAAATAGCTACCTAGTTGTAGTGTACTTACAAGTCCCATGATGCTTTGCAAGCCTGCAGTCTCGACAGATTAAAGGACCACTCTAGGCACCCAGACCACTTCAGCTTAATGAAGTGGTCTGGGTGCCAGGTCCAGCTAGGGTTAACCCATTTTTTCATAAACATAGCAGTTTCAGAGAAACTGCTATGTTTATGAATGGTTAAGCCTTCCCCCTAATCCTCTAGTGGCTGTCTCATTGACAGCCACTAGAGGCGCTTGCGTGCTTCTCACTGTGATTTTCACAGTGAGAGCACGCCAGCGTCCATAGGAAAACATTATGAATGCTTTCCTATGTGACCGGCTGAATGCGCGCGCAGCTCTTGCCGCGCGTGCGCATTCAGCCGACGGGGAGGAGAAGAGGAGGATCGGAGGAGGAGAGCTCTCCGCCCAGCGCTGGAAAAAGGTAAGTTTTAACCCCTTTTCCAGAGCCGGGCGGGAGGGGGACCCTGAGGGTGGGGGCACCCTCAGGGCACTATAGTGCCAGGAAAATGAGTATGTTTTCCTGGCACTATAGTGGTCCTTTAAGCTACTGTATTCTGTGATGTAACAGCACTGGATTTTGGTGTCAAATATTTTGTAAACCACACTAGATATATATGACATTATGTGAAATTGCCGTGAGGGTTCTGGAGACATCATAATAAACCACAAGACAGAAAATCAGTTAGTTTAAAAGTCTTCAGAAAACTTCAAGTGGATTTTTTGCCCTAATACCCACTTGACCTTGACCGATACATTTTTAAAATTACATTATTTTTTTTAAATTAGAGTTAGTGTTAAGGTAGTGTAGGGCTCAATGTTTAGTTTTTGGGTACTCTGGGGGGTTAATGTTTAAAGTTAATGTAGTGATTAACATTTAGTGCAGTGTAGGGGTTAATATTTAGTGATAGCGTATGGGTTAATGTTTAGTTAGTGCAGTGTAGGGGTTAATATTTAGTGATGTGTTAGTGTTAATGTTCAGTTAGTGCATTGTAGGGGTTAATATCTAGTGATGGTGTTAATGTTTAGTTAGTGCAGTGTAGGGGTTAATATTTAGTGATGGCATATGGGTTAATGTTTGGGTAGTGCAGTGTAGGGGTTAATATTTAGTTATGTGTTAGTGTTAATGTTCAGTTAGTGCATTGTAGGGGTTAATATCTAGTGATGGTGTTAATGTTTAGTTAGTGCAGTGTAGGGGTTAATATTTAGTGATGGCATATGTTTTAATGTTTGGATAGTGCAGTGTAGGGGTTAATATTTAGTTATGTGTTAGTGTTAATGTTCAGTTAGTGCATTGTAGGGGTTGATATCTAGTGATGGTGTTAATTTTTAGTTAGTGCAGTGTAGGGTTAATATTTAGTGATGGCGTATGGGTTAATGTTTAGTTAGTGCAGTGTAGGGGTTAATATTTAGTGATGTGTTAGTGTTAATGTTCAGTTAGTGCATTGTAGGGGTTAATATCTAGTGATGGTGTTACTGTTTAGCTAGTGCAGTGTAGGGGTTAATATTTAGTGATGGCGTATGGGTTAATGTTTAGTTAGTGCAGTGTAGGGGTTAATATTTAGTGATGGCGTATGGGTTAATGTTTAGTTAGTGCAGTGAAGGGGTTAATATTTAGTGATAGCGTATGGGTTAATGTTTAGTTAGTGCAGTGTAGGGGTTAATATTTAGTAATAGCGTATGGGTTAATGTTTAGTTAGTGCAGTGTAGGGGTTAATATTTAGTGACAGTGTATGGGTTATTGTTTAGTTAGTGCAGTGGAGGGGTTAATATTTAGTGATAGCGTATGGGTTAATGTTTAGCTAGTGCAGTGTAGGGGTTAATATTTAGTAATAGCGTATGGGTTAATGTTTAGTTAGTGCAGTGTAGGGGTTAATATTTAGTGACAGTGTATGGGTTAATGTTTAGTTAGTGCATTGTAGGGGTTAATATTTAGTGATGGCGTATGGGTTAATGTTTAGTTAGTGCAGTGTAGGGGTTAATATTTAGTAATAGCGTATGGGTTAATGTTTAGTTAGTGCAGTGTAGGGGTTAATATTTAGTGACAGTGTATGGGTTAATGTGCAGTGTAGTGTGGGGATTAATGTATAATATACTGTAGTGTATGTGTTAATGTTTAGTTAGTGCAGTGTATACTGTGGTGTATGGGTTAATGTTTAGTTAGTGCAGTGTATACTGTAGTGTATGGGTTAATGTGCAGTGTAGTGTGGGGGTTAATGTATAATATACTGTAGTGTATGGGTTAATGTTTAGTTAGTGCAGTGTATACTGTAGTGTATGGGTTAATGTTTAGTGTAGTGGGGGGGTTAATGTATAATATACTGTAGTGTATGGGTTAATGTTTAGTGTAGTGGTGGGGTTAATGTATAATATACTGTAGTGTATGGGTTAATGTGCAGTGTAGTGTGGGGGTTAATGTATAATATACTGTAGTGTATGGGTTAATGTGCAGTGTAGTGTGGGGGTTAATGTATAATATACGGTAGTGTATGGGTTAATGTGCAGTGTAGTGGGGGGGTTAATGTATAATATACTGTAGTGTATGGGTTAATGTGCAGTGTAGTGTGTTAGGGTAGTGTAGGGTTGCAGAAGGTCTTCCCTGTAAAGGCAGCACTGCTGCCTGAAGTTAGTGTGAGTTATGGTCCTAGTTGGCAGCTATTTCAGCTCCCATGTTTAAAATGGCAGCTAGTGTTGTAGTCTAAAACATACTGGAAAATGTATGTCATTTTCCTGCCGCAGATTAGGGCCTTGTGACTGAATGAAAATGATCCAACATTGGATATTATTAGATTTGTTTTATTATTATATATATCTTTTATATTATATTTTAAGAGATAAAGTATGAGAACTGTAAAAATATTTCTCCTTTTTTCCCCTTCCAGGTCTCATCATTCAGATTGTCGTGTTATTCGTTGCTCATGTCTGTGTTACATTTCTGATTGTTATTCCCATTGTTTATGGCAAGTTTCAGATTATCCTCCATTTCTTGAAAATGAGTTGGTGAGTTTCCTGCAGCCTGTGACATAAACCTTTATCACTAGCATTCTATTTAGCAGCATTGAAACCCCCGTTTTAGAGAAGGAATAGTAAGAAAAGATATGTACTAACAGTGTGCAATATCAGTGATACATTTGGTATCAATTAACAAACAAAAAAAAGTATACTTTCTCTTTTTTTGGATATTGGATTTAACATATGTAACATTCGTTAGCTACAATTTTAGAAGAAAGATGCCTATAGCTCCCTTTCACAGCAACTACAAAGTGTAGTTGCAAGCACATTTTATGACTGCTACTGCAGAATACGAATAGAGTGACAGGTGTCACTCAGTTCAGATGCCAAGGACCAGGTAACAGACCCAACATATAAGAGTCATGTAGTAGGAGGTAGCATCTCCAAGCAGGGCCAATGAAATCTGAAGGAGGTGGGTAGGTATCATGAACTGGGAGATGGGTATTCCATTAGTGTCTTACCTTAACAGGTCCTAAAATGATTAAATATATCATTTACCAGTGTGCAAAAATTACATATTCATCATTTTAGGAGCTGTTACATGTTAAGATGAACCTGGATGATATATACCGGGCACTGTACATGGCTAATGTTCTCTATATAACGTCCTACTGATGTTTTTCCCCATTTCGATTAAAGAGTTTCTTTACATAAATTAAGGTGCCTGACATTTAGAAATTCACTTTCATATTGACGAAGCAAGGCCTAGATATAATTCATAAAAGGTCTGTCCTCAAACCTTTACATGAATCAATATAAAAGTGGCTATATGTTATGTTAGCATGTCAGAATGGCTCGGGAGTTTTTAAAAATACATTTATTACTCAGCAGCAATGAATCTCATTATGCTTCAGGGCCACATTTAACCTCTATCCACTTATCATATGTTTTCTACCATTTACAAAACACAATTCATCAGTTTAAAAAGAGGTATAATGAGCAGCCAGTCACAAAGAGGGATATGGTACATGTTGTAAAATACAAAACATAAAGTATACTATGCCATGCACCACTGCGATAATGAACCAACTAAAAAGACTTTAGATGATACATAAAATTAAACCAGAAGGATAATTCCGAACTCGAAATTTCTACTATATGGGGCTGGTGTGCCCATGAATGGACATTTTGAGCCCTGATTTAACCCCTTAAGGGCACATGACATGCGTGACCTGTCATGATTCCCTTTTATTCCAGAAGTGCGGTCCTTAAAGGGTTAAATAATAAAAATATAAAATATATATATCAAAAAAATCACTGGTTAAATGTGATGTGGAAATATAAGCCATTGTTTATTCAGTACCACGCTGGTTATTGGTCCCTGTTAAAGGCTAAATTTTATCACAAGAGAATTTGGAATCTCTGGTAACTGAGTAGCAGTTCCCCAATTATCTTCTAAGACAATACTGCTATTTAGTTACCAAAGATAAACATATCTCGTATGCTACATCATCTGAAGTTAGGAACAACCTCAGAGTAAGACCAGATCTAGGTTGCTATGGTGCACTCAACAATCTCTTGTTACATTAAGAGCAAGAAAAGTATCACATTGAAACTTATATATAATACTCTTACAGTTACTTATTAACATCCGAGGCGATGTAGCATGATTGAAGTTGTATATCTGAGAGCTAATGTGTACATTACTGGAGAGGGGGTAACAATACCCACAATATGGATCCAGCATAAGGCATAACAGTAAAATTGACCAAGTCAGTTAGGCTAAAAAAATGTGTCCTTCTCTTCCTTAGGCCTTATTGGCTACTTCTGTTCCTGGTGACTGTATTGCAATATGTTTGCTCAAGATTTCTATTCTTAGAAGGACATCCGTCTCAGACTACCAATAGGTATTTATATTCATGTGTGTGTATATATACACATACTTACCTTTGTTGGTTTAATAGGTGATTTTCCTGTTTATTTAGCATTATTCCACACCTGTCCTTTAAATCTGTTGGTTTTAGTGTTTTTTTATCATTGATTTGAATGGAGAACAGCTCGTTAATCTGTGACTTGCCAAAGCAAGATCTATAATGACAGGCCATTGAGGAGCTATAGATATATTATCACACAATCACATATTGACATGAAGAACAAGATTCCAGTCTTCTATTCCAACACTCTGCATCACTATACATGAAGGTACAAGTCACCATGGATTAAATGCCCGTCTCACTTTCTTAAAACTGATAGATGAGTCAGATAGGGTAGAGTGTGCTGGAGACATCTGGAATCCTTATCTTAATCTCATATGTGAAAACACTCTAATTCCACTTTTCAGTCGATAACACTTAAAACCAAAAATAGACAGACGATCCGTGCAAGAATCAGACAGTTTTCACTCCGACTAAACCTACCTTATAAGTAGGTGTTCATACCAAGTTCGACATTAGAATGAAGACTAGTGAGCAAGTTTAGAGGATGGGTAGGGTGTTCCTCGTTAAATCCCTGGGTATCAATACAGAAATGTTTCCATGCGCATCCTGCTATGAAATTCTTTCAATTTCCAAAATATTGAAATGGTTTAAAAGAAGTTATTTCGAGTATTATTTGCATGACATGCACTGCACACTATTTTGGAAGCTACCTACAGCAAAAGACAACAGGTAATGGTTTAAGAAGTAGCTGAACACTGCACAAATGTATACTGGATATGCTAAAACAAACACATTCTCCACTCAGTAACTGTTGTAGATAGCAAAAGAGGCATAGGAAACACATAATGATGCCTTAAAGGGATACTCTAAGAACGAAAACACCTTTAGCTTAAAGGGAGCCTGTAGTCACAAGAAGAACTACAGCTTAATGTCCCTGTCCCTGCAGGCCTTTTAACTCAGACGGCCACTAGAGTTCCTTCTTGGATCATTGCTGATGTTCAGCATCTCCACGCTCTGCATGGAGGTGCTAAACGCTCCCCAAATTGGATTGTCTGAGATAGTCAAATTTGATTATCTCAGCCATGGAGGCAAAGCAGGCCGCAAATCACCTTTTTAAGGGCAAGCAAGGGGGGCAAGACACCTAAGCATGTTTGTATTCCTGACACTATAGTATTCCTTTCATGAAGCAGTTTTGGTGTATAGATTATGCTTCTGTGTTCATTTCTCTGCCATTTAGAGTTATATCACTTTGTTTTTGTTTCTGTGGCCTTTTGTCACACCTCCCCAGGTTGTGACTCACACTGCCAACATGCAAAAACTGTTACAGTTTCAATTAGATATGACAGCACAGTGTGCTTACTTTAGAAGTTTTCATCTCCTGGTTTGTTAATTGAACTTTAAACACACACAGCAGGCTGCTGCGGGCTCTAACAGGCTATTAACGATACATGAAATAAGATATTCTAAATTAAACAGAATGTGCAATCATGAAGTTTAACCCCTTAGCGACTGCGGACGTACAGGGTACGTCAAACAAAAAACGATCGTTAACGACCGCTGACGTACCATTTATGTCCACGGCACATTTGTGCGGTGGGAGGGATCTTGATCGCTTCCAGACGCTCTAAGGGTATTGCAGGGATATAAGTATCCTGCATTATCCCACCTCACTGCCGGGCCACTGGGTAAACACCTCCCCCGGAGCGATCACTTCCGTGTTGCTCCATGTGGCGCCCAGCAGTGAGGCAGAGCATCGGATGCCATCAGGCATTCTTCCCATACTCTGCTTGTGTGCTGAGTGCCTTGAGGAATAAAATATTTTTTTTAAATGTAAAAAAATAAATATTAAGCCCTACTTCCCTTCCTACCTCTCCCTCCCCCTCTCTCTCCTTCCATTCCCATTCACTTACCCAAACGCCGCTGTTCCCCCGACGACGATTGGTCTTTTTCTCCGTCTGGGGGGACTGTCTGACAGCCCAGACAGTCCCCCCTCGGCTAAATAGGACCCCATGGGCCATGTGATCTTTATATTTTTTTAGCTTGTCGGTTCGGTCTATCTTCAGTGTAAACCAATTAGACATATTGGACACCACAATACTGTAATAATTTCAAAACAGATTGATTTTGGTCCATATACTATTACAATTAATATTTCTTCCATGATTAGATCACGAGTGATACTTATATCACTATCTCCATTCTCGTAATTAACGATTTAGCATGACGTCATCAGCATTCTGGTAGAACAATCAGACCAAAGGGTGAGTCATTTAAACTCAAAAGCCTGGGGCATGGGTTCCCCCTTGAAGAGCCGCTTACAGGCGAAACGCGCGTCAGGGCTCAGTGTTAAACTCCTACCCTGCTGACAGATATTGCCTCTCCAGATTGATATTTGAGAATTGAGAAATACGTTTGAAGGGGCATTATCTATACACCGAAAACCACTCCATTAAGCTAAAGTTGTTTTGGTGCTTATAGTTTCCCTCGAACTTATTAGTTCCTTTAAAAATACATTTTTGCTGCTTATTTTGTTTCATGTTGCTTGATATGGCAAGTATGCAACTGACCCCACTTTCCTTCAAAGCAGTGTCGGTGTCTGTGTGTGTGTGTGTCTGTGCATGTGTCTGTGTATGTTTATGTATGTCTCTATGCACCTTATTAACATTTCCCATTGAAGAGTTTTTAAAATGTTTTATAATATGCCTTTTATGATGCCTATTACAAAAAAAAACATTGATTGTGATAATGGTGCAATTAAATAGTAGGCTTATATTCACACACATGCACACTGATCCATTTCCATCTCTTTTTTTGTCTCTCAGGAAAAGCCTCTTTCTGCTCACTTACCTATTGCTCCCAGTGAACGTCCTTCGAGGGGGTTTGGTGTCAATTGCCAGACTTCTGGTCTCCGCTATCTTTAATTTAATCCATTTTTGCCGGATGGACCTGAGTCTGTTACAGCACAGTGTGCAGGGCTGGGATCCAGGTAATGACTGCTTCTTTAATTCGTGTAATTTATTGTAATTTCATTACAAATAATCCACTGGAATTAACTCTGGACCCACTGAAACTTGTATACAAACTTTGGTGTGATTTGTCAATTCTATTAATTTTTCTGCGACTTTGTAATTTTTTTTCAAATTGATTGCTGCATAAACTTGTGGGATTTACTATGAAGAAAACTTTTTGATCACTTGTAGAACATTCTAAATACAATCAATATAATGACAGAATTAAGCTGTCACTTTTCAGAACATTTTGATAAATTTTCCCCACTGTGTCAATATCTGTCAGTGTGACAATATGTTAAACATCTAGATTAGATCATAGACAGAGAGACAGACAGATATGTTCTAACTAGGTCTGTCGTTACAGTCTATATGGGGGTGTTCTTACTGCATTATCCGTGTTGTTTAGATGCAAGTTAAACAAACATTGGAATACATTTTTTCATTATCAAGACTAATATGTAAATTATGACCCCCCACCAAATCACTGCTTATAAATTAGATCCAAGATAAAATATTTATGGATACATTTTTGGCAATGGTCCACCGCACTTTCCGTAAACCTTGGACCCTCAGTAGCTGTTTTATGTTATGCAGTTTTATGAAAATATTTTAGCTGGCCGGGAAAGTCAACTTTGTTGGTCTTTATTTTTTAGGCACCCTTCTTTTGCATTTTGCTTTATTGTTTATTTTTTATTCTTCTTCTAGAATGTTGTTTGTTTTAAACTGGTATGTTTTGGTCGGATTGTGTATGTGACCTCTCCTGATGATGCTGAAGTGTCTTATGGTGCTTCTCTAAAATGAGTTTCTCAATGTATTTTTTTTTTTACCTGTGTGTTAAATAAATAATTGTAAAAAAAAAAACCACAGAGACATATTTCTTTATTCCTGATAATATATGTTGACTCTATTTATTCTTACAGGCTATAGGAACTATTGTAACTTCTTGATGCTGGAGGTCAGCGAATGTCACCCACTGGTCAGAGCTTTCTGTCTGCTCCTGAAACCTCAGCAAGGGAAGCATCCCGACCTGGAGGAGGGTAAGTGACCGGTCTTTAAACAGTATATTAAAAAGATAGCAATAAAACACAAAAACAAGTGCCGAAAAGCTAACAAATAAGAGGGAGTAAAAATGTTGGACTGATAAAAGAGAATACAAAATTAACAATAAAAAAGGATGGCGTGGTCTGGACATAGACGGGAGCAGTTGGATGTCTGCAAAACTCCCGCCATTAACTCGGCAATTACCAACCCAACGGCGATTACTTACTCTGATTTTGGCAGTAATCACAGCAGCCAACCTACCACAATATGGGGAAATAGGCTAAAAAGCTCAAGACACTCGCGGGGGACGGCTCCGGAGAATCAATAAATTGAAAGAATCAATACATTTTTTATATGTATCAGTATGTTTACATCCTATGTATGGAAAATATAGGATGGTATGGTTAATCCATACTGAATCAAATGTATTGATTCTTTCTAGAGACACTATCACATTGTGACTTTTATTTATATTGTTGCTATTTTTTCTTTATGCAAGTTGTTATCCTTGTTTTTTTTTAAATTTTATTATTTATTTCAAGATAGCTCCTGGTGTTACCACTATAGTATTTTAGTGGGGTTGATTTCTATTTAGAAACAGTGTATATCTGTGTCTGCCCTGATCTTGAGGAGGGTAGGAGGCTGGTGTGTATACACAGTATGTGTATCTGCCCTGCAGGGATAATACTAGTCTAGGGGCAAAAAGACCTTCAGCCCAAGGGTCAATGGGTTACTGTAGGCACTTTAACAACTTAATTTTATTGAAGTTGTTCTAGTGCCTGCAGCCCTGACCCCGCTCTCGTACTGCCCCAAAATCCTTTAGTTTAGTAATTAGAAGGTTTGAAGGCATGGCTTCAAGTCACACCTCCAAGCCCTCTGGGTACGAGAGCCGGGAATCTTACTCCATTACATACCGTGCCATCACGCATGCATATGCAGTGGCATCATGGTCGGCCGTAGAGAATCATTGTACACAATCATTCTCTATGGCAGAATCTTAGGCCCATCATGGCAAGCACTGCACATGTGCCTAAGGTCCCTAATGCTCCTCTATGAGGAGCACTGGACTGGCCCGTCATCCTGGAGGGACGAACAACTGAGAAAGAGGTAGCGCCAGCGCTGAGGAATACTCAGAACTGGAGAGAAGGTGAGTAATTTGTTTTATTTTAATTTTCATTTTTTACATTTTTTAATTTACTTTATAAGGGGAATCAGGGCTGTAGCATTAGGAATACAGATATGTGTTACTAGCACTAAAGTGTACCTTTAATGTTATGGCTCCTCCCACATATAGTGACCAGAAACTCTCCTAAAACCAGCCCTATACCATACCCTAAGTCCAACCTTAAACACTAGCATGTTCTATAAATTACATGGTTGCATCAAATATTTAAATAAATTCAGAGTATTATATAAACATATACTCATAAACTGCACATGTTCTGTATTAAACAAACTAAAGTGGTTATGGTACCAGGAGTGTTCAGGTGCCTGGTGCACCATTTAATGGTTTGATCTTTTACCTAGAGTGTGCCGGGTGCCACTCTCCACCTTTCTGCAGCCTCTATGAAAGTTGGAAACTCCTGCTGGTAGCTTCTGGTAGTTCTTCTTAACTAAGCCCTACAGTGCAGCTGATCAGTCTCAGCCAATAAGCTAATTGGTTAGAAGTCACATTAATAACAAATCCAGCAGGGAATTCCTGTGGCATGCTGAAGTGGTTATGGTACTAAGCAACAAAAACCTACAGCTGAATGTAGTAGTTTTAATGTAAAAAAAACCCGTCCCTGTATGTTCAGTGTTTACATTTGTCCCTAATGGCTTTCACTCACACATCCACTACAAGTACTTCAAATTACTATTTCTATTGCAGATGCTATTTCTCTATCAATATTGCATGACACTCAGAGCTAACAAACACATAGAGCCAAAATTAGAACTTGTGCTTTTAAGTAGCCCACCAAAGGCCCCAGATTAGGTAACCCTACAGTAACGATCCTGCTGCCTTGACCTGGATGGTGGTAGAAGATGACTGTGTGCATATACAGTATGTGTGTCTGCCCTGGATGCTGGTAGTAGATGACTGTGTACATATACAGTATGCGTGTCTGCCCTGGATGCTGGTAGTAGATGACTGTGTGTATATACAGTATGTGTGTCTGCCCTGGATGGTAGTAGTAGATGACTGTGTGTATATACAGTATGTGTGTCTGCCCTGGATGGTAGTAGTAGATGAGAGTGTGTATATACAGTATGTGTGTCTGCCCTAACCTGGATGGTAGTAGTAGATGAGAGTGTGTATATACAGTATGTGTGTCTGCTCTGACCTGGATGGTAGTAGTAGATGAGAGTGTGTATATACAGTATGTGTGTCTGCTCTGACCTGGATGGTGGTTGGAGATGAGAGTGTGTATATACAGTATGTGTGTCTGCCCTGACCTGGATGGTGGTTGGAGATTAGAGTGTGTAAATACAGTATGTGTGTCTGCCCTGGATGGTAGTAGTAGATGACTGTGTGTATATACAGTATGTGTGTCTGATCTGACCTGGATGGTGGTTGGAGATGAGAATGTGTATATTCAGTATGTGTGTCTGTCCTAACCTGGATGGTAGTAGTAGATGAGAGTGTGTATATACAGAATGTGTGTCTGCTCTGCCCTGGATGGTGGTTGTAGATGAGAGTGTGTATATACAGTATGTGTTTCTGCCCTGACCTGAATGGTAGTAGTAGATGAGAGTGTGTATATACAGTATGTGTGTCTGCTTTGATCTAGATGGTGGTTGAAGATGAGTGTGTGTGTATATAGTATGTTGCCTGCCCTGATCTGGATGGTGGTAGGAGATGATTGTGCGTATATATAGTATGTTGCCTGCCCTGATCTGGATGGTGGTAGTAGATGAGAATGTGTATATACAGTAAGTGTACCTGCCCTTACCTGGATGGGGGCAATAGATGAGAGTGTGTATATACAGTATGTGCCCTGACCTGGATGGTGGTAGTATATGAGTGTGTATATACAGTATGTGCCCTGACCTGGATGGTGGTAGTATATGAGTGTGTATATACAGTATGTGCCCTGACCTGGATAGTGGTAGTATATGAGTGTGTATATACAGAAAGTGTGTCTGCCCTGACCTGGAGGGCAGTAAATGACAGGTGGGTATATGCTGTATGTAAGAGAGAGCTATATGGCTATTGACTTAATTGGATCAATATACAGTTGAATTTCCAGCAGAGGCTCTTCTTCATTTAAATTGAATTGTTTATTCATAGTGGTTTAACTCTCCATAATAAATATATAAACTGTGAAAATGTCATATCCAAATACAGTACAATACAATTGTGCACTAAATGATAATGTCCCATCTTGCTCCATATTGCATTTCCTCTTACATATAAAACTACTTTTATGGCTTTCTATAACATTGATGCAATAGTTCACATACTCTTTCCCTGTAAACTCAAAACGTGTGCTTCCACAAAACATACAATTTAAACATAGTGCCTATAACTAGAGACATATTATTTTCATTAGCCCTTCATTCACTTTGTATGTTCTACATCAGGAGTAGGCAACCTTCGGCAGTTCAGGTGTTGTGGACTACATCTCCCCTGATGCTTTGCCAGAATTATAGCTGTATGCACATTATGGGATATTAAGCCCATAACATCTGCAGTGCCAAAGGTTGCATACCCCTGTTCCAGATTCTCTTGATTTTATTGCCCCTGTCTTTTGTTGCTTTCCTCCCAAGTTCATCATATCATTTGACCACATACTTCTTTTTTTAAACTCTTTCCAGGAATTCACCTGATGCCTCCCGATGGCCGATCTCATAAGGGTGGACGATCACAACTAGCTCGGGCTCGCTGGAATCTTGCTTACACCCTTATCCATAACCCCTCTCTCCATTCTCAGAGAATTCCTACATGTTCCAATGGAACACCTCGTTTGCAACCCACGTAGCATCTGATACACCAGATACCTTCCAGTGACATAGTCTACCTCTCCCCTCCTACACACACCCAAAACACGCTGCTGAGCAGGATGGGGTACTGTGGGAGCTGGCTATTCCCTTTATTTTTGTAGTTTAGTAAAATATTCAGAACTCTGACTCTACTGAATTTTCCTTTATATCAAACATCACCCTGTTATTTTCTAATTTTATCAATCACATTGCTGTCTGTCATTTAAAAAAAAATCTTTCTTCTAATTTTTCTTTTATTTCTGAACCCAAGGTGATTGATATTCTTTGAGAGCTATCAGATTGAAATCAAAGGTATTTCCAAGATGTACTGAGTGCCTTGGCAAACATAGGTCATGGTGCACTTAAAGCACCTGCTCTGCTAACGTACTGGTATCATCTTCCACGTTTTTGTAAAACGAACGTTTGTATTTTAGAGAATCTATGCCTCAATATAATTTCCATAAGTCTTTATTGCACTTAGTATTAATAATATCTATAATATCATCATTTGTATCTTCTTTATCCCTTCCTAGGACTCTTTCTTCACTTTTAACCCATTCATCTCCTCCCTGTTTATTTCACCTGTTCTCGGCCTAATCCTTGTTTAGCAGATTCTTTACGAATCACTCTGTATAACTTATGTGCAGATAGAGCTAACAATGTTATGTGATGTTATATAAATATATACCAGGATACAGAATGAGATTAGGGAATAAACCCCAATGTCACCTGAAACCTGGCCAAATGGGATCCCTAGAAAATGCCTTATTTATTACCACTGAACTGCCAAACAAATTAGCATAGATATAGCCAAAGATATTGACCCTACAATCACTGCTGAATTTCCTCTTTCCGAAACCATAATCAAGAGAAGTTTCTCCTGCTCCTCCCGCAGCCATCCTGAAGCCTGATAGTTGGAAAAGGATGTGATGCCTGCTGTATGGTTATGCAAACGACAACTATAAACTATGTCCTTTTTGATAGGAGTCACAAAAATGTTCCTGTTGTCCATGAATTGTAGCATCACCTCAATCTCCTTAGAATGACGTGTCATGAAGTCTTGGTCTCCAGCCTTCTTGCAGAGGAACAAGGCCTTGTCCAGCAAGGGGTCATTACTCTGAATTTGTAAAGGTGCTCTGCATTGGAAATCGGGCAATTTTTCTAGTGAGACACCTGACAGCTCCTTGGGAAACGAACATGCAATCTCTTTTTTTTTGTCAATGGTGACCATGGATTTCCCTAGCCAATCCTTAAGCCAAAATAAAGAGCAAGAGCAGTTAAATGGGTTATTGTAAAGACTGAGGTGAGATAATGATGTCAATGAGTCAAAAAGCCCTTCTGGAAGAGATAGTATCTTGTTGCTACTGAGCTGTAGAGATCGGAGACTTTTAGATGTAATGAACGTATTTGCTGGAAGAGTCACCAGATTATTATTGTTGAGAATCAGGACCTGAAGTTCGTGGAGGGCTGGGAGATCACTCCAGGGAAAATCCAAGAGTTGGTTATGACTGAGGTCGATGCTCATTAGCTTTGACATGCCTTTGAAAGTTCCAGGTTGAATACTGGTGATCTGGTTATATGCTAACCACAGGGACTTGACCATTATGGTAGCGGCAAAGGATGAAGTGTTTAGGGTGCTGATGGAGTTGGCAGAGAGGCTAATTTGGCTGATGTTGAAAGGGAGGCCTGTTGGTACCGAATCTAGACCTCGGTAAGAACAATCTGCAGAAGGATGGGCAGAATTGGTGACACAGTTGCAGTGGACTGGGCAAGAATTGCTTGGCACTAGGCATAGGTACCAAACAGAACCAAATAATATATGGAAGTTCGCCATGATCCTATTCATCCCTAAAAAGAAGATATTATTGTTAATAGCATGTTTCTCCCTTAGGAAGGGCAATGACTGACTTTAAAAAAGGAATTAGTGGGATGCGATAAAAATATTCGTGCCTGAGATTTTTTTATACAAAGTTTTGGCAAATGGATGGGCACTTCCTGGCATTAGAAGATGTTACGATAGATTGCTATTTTCTAGATATCAACTTGCGATTAATCTTTTGTTTAGTTTATGTATCTCTCTGTCCTCACTCCTGGTGTTGTAGCAGTGAGAATCTAGAATTTCTTCCAGCCTCTGATCACACAATTATCTCACATGATTTAGCCGAATGCCGTGCAACTGGAAAGGACTCCAAACATTGCTTCCATCACTGTCACAATTCTTTCTATTAGATTTTCTATGTATTTTTTATGGATCCTAACTCAATGACCCTTCTTTAACACTTACTCAAAAACAATACTTTTCCTATCTCTGTCCCTCACTTCATCGTCTCTGTATTTTAATTAGTGTTTACATAACTTTCTTTTCTCCCTCTTAATCTCTAACATTTCCTGTTTTATACTTGATCTTTTTTCCTTAATTCTTCTATAACTTCCATATTGGTTTACTTACCTCAGTCTTCCCTTTTCCCTTGTTATCACGCAGACTGTGTAAAAAATGCTCAGACCCTCTTCTTTTTTTTTCTTTCTAACTAACTCCCTCCTTCCTGCTTCCTCTACAGACTTCGTAGAGATCCAAAAATAATAGCATTACAAGCCAAATTCCGTCCTACAGCTAGAGAACTGACCCACAATCCCTTGCTGCTCTTAGTAATCTCTCATACTTGAACCATCTGGTGTCAGTTTCACTTATTTTTATTATTGGATCAATTTTTTCCAATGGGTGGACAGGGAATAATAATAAAAACTATATTGATCAACGGTAAAGAAGGATGATGAAGATAAACAATCCCTAGTAACATGTCATTTTTAAATGTCTTGTTAGGTTCAGCTTTCGGGGCTTATGTAATCCACGCTCCTTTTAAAAAAAAAGACAACAAACTAAATTTTATTTAATTTTTTTAACATTTTTATTTAAAGTTGTATATTTCTGCAGGCATATACATTTTCCAAGTGCTGAAATATGGATCACTAATTAAGGATAATTTGTTGCAGAATCCTTATTGTACTGAAAGCATAGGCAGTGTTGTTGCTGTTATTTTGGAAGTACATAGCAGGTGGATTCAGCGTCACGCTTGTAGGCTTGCGCAGTGCATTTTGTTAGAGTGCGCAGTGAGATTGTTTTGCTTTTTTTAAATTTTGGTTTTAAGGAATGCCAAATGATAGCTAAGCTGTCAGGATTAAACACTAAACTATGAAAGGGGCAATTGGGGCAAAAATAACTGTTTTAGGAAAACATTTTTAATTCAGTCATCATCACAACTCGTCTAATTTAGCCTGGAATTTCTAATTTGGATTTTAATTCAGTGCGGATTGAAGGTAAACATGCATATTTTATTGTTCTCATTGGCATCAAAATTTGTCTCTAAGCAAATAATGAGCTATTTTGAATAAACAAGTGAAGTATAAATATGAACCACAATAGGGGATTGAGTGGACAACTGCATAAATCATTAGGGTAGTGCCTGAGTCCAATGATATACAGTTTGTCCTATAACGATACCGAGACCCGTTTTAGCAGCAAATGTTATGCTTCATACTGTCCCACTTGTTTATTACTGGGGATTATTTATAAAATAGTTTTCATGAGAAAACTGATTAGAAATGGTAATTGACCAAAATAGGCATCAGTCTACCAGATGCCTGGAAATAGAAAAGTGATCTAATTTGTATATTAATAAAAAGTGATCGCATATGTTTAATTTTTCATTTAGTTTTCAGAAATCTTGTTGCAGAGGATGAATAAATATGTGTCAGAAGTGCAATTTTAAAAAAACAACAATAATGTATTGCACTTTAATTATAGGCACATTATAAGATTATAAGATTATAAAATATAACAATGTTATCTTTAGAGGTACACCTAGCTTACTTGGCACCTTTGGCCTGGAACTGAGCCTTGGCACCCACCTCTAACCCCAGTAATGATACATTTTAGAGTAAACGTATGATTTATGAGCAGGCAAAATAATTCTGAAATTATGTACAACAGGGTGCCCAAAAGGTTAATCTCCAGATGATGTAGAACTACAACTCACATCATGCTTTGCATGGCTTTAGAATGCATTCAGAATGGCAAAGCATCATGGGAGTTGTGGTTTTAAAACATCTTGGGATCTACCTTTTGGGCACCCCTGATCTATATTTACTTTCATGTGATATAAAAAAAGTGTGCATTGGATGTTAATTTAAAGAGACAGGATGGTGATACACTCCTACTGAAATAGCAATGGACATGGGACCTTTATTTTTTATTAACCTTAATGAACAATGTTACAGGGTGCTAGAAAGATTTGTAATAAATAAGATCATAGTAAAATTCAATTCAAAATCTAATTTGAACCATTGTCACTTTTTAGCTACATCAGTATCCCTTATGATTTTGAAGAAGCTCTCCCACTTCTTGGGACGTAATTATCTTTAAATCTAGACAGCCATTGCTTTAGGGTGTGAAACATTGTCTGTCACTGAAATTGTGTCACATTCAAAAGGTGTTAGATTTGATTTTTTTTTTTTTTATATGCGACAGAGCTATCATTGTGTGATACAACTACATATGTACCCATTAAAAACATTGAGTCGATCAGTTTAATGGGAGTTACCTGGACAGTCTTAAAAAGGGTGATGGTGAGTTTTACCAAGGGCTGCATTACAATCCCGCGTTGGTAACTGGTCAATAACATTTCCTGACTCATAGCTGGTATTGTTTGACAGCTATCAATGCAATCACAATGCAAATTTCACAAACATTTTTTTTTAGCCAATAACACCACCAATGTCAAAAATTGTATTGTCATAAAACTCAGATTACATACTGATTTCATGGTTAATCTCGCAATGCTGAGCTTGATAGGTCCATGTTACAATGTTATCAACAAAACTACTTGACACCTTTTGAGAGGATCTCGATTGCATCACAGGTTAAAGGTCACAAAGAGCCAAGTGCATTGATACTGCCAATAGGTGACAACTGTGGCATTAACCTATTATATAATCCAAATGAACAGTTCCATGTGTGTACGTTTCTTTAAGGTACTAATTCCTCTTTGGCTTGAGTGTCATCACTGAAACTTGCCATCTTAATGTCATCCTGTCAAACTCTATGGATACCTGGGATTGTGATCACATCCACATCACTAATGACTCATTGATAGATGTTTACATTTTGATACATATCTGATATGAGATCGCGATTTCCCTACAAATGTTTTTCAAACATTTTAAAGCATTTGTAAGCGCATACAATGGGCGAAGACAATGAAAAGAAACAGATGTGAAACTTAGGCTATACTTTGCTGCAGAACAACATCTTATGTCTACACTCCAGGACGTCCGAAAGATGTACAGCTTTAAAATGACCACAAATACCTTGGCCATTGTATGACCATGCAGAGTATGGTCATACAATACCAACATGGTTCCTTCACCACGTTAAACCCTTAGCAACATATATTGAGGGCTGAAGGCATCATTTGGCTTTCTCTTGAAGCAAACCCATAGGATGCAGAATGCAGGGTGAAAGTGACTCATTAAAACCATATTACTTTTCCCATTGCTCCACGGTCTGGGGTTTTTAGATCCAAACTCCGGATTATGTGACATGGATGCCAGCAGAGTCCCAATGTCACCCATGCAATTAATATCAGGTTTGTGGAACTCTGTATTTGTTGACACTTGCAAATCAATGTGCTAATAGTCAGACCTCTTTTATAACGGACATATTTAGCTAATAGAAAACATTCAATCTTGCTAAGCTTTGCAGCTGCATTTGTAATCCTGTTTTACTTTCTTCAAAGTTAATGACTCGTTTTGAACAGTTTCTGTTAATTTACACTTTTCACCTTCAGTACTTAGTTTTGCATTAGCTTCATGAAACTATCAAAGAATAAACTATACATAAGGAGAAAGCTATTCTGGCATCATCAGATGACTGGAATAAGAGAGGGATGGCAGTAACTTTATCAAGTAGGTTACATAGTTACATAGTTGAAAAGAGACTTGCGTCCATCAAGTTCAGCCTTCCTCACATATGTTTTTGCTGTTGATCCAAAAGAAGGCAGAAAACCTAGTCTGCAGTGCTTCCAATTTTGCAACAAAGCAGCTATTACCCCACTAATTAGAAATTATATCCCTGTATGTTATGTTTTTGCAAGTATTTATCCAATTGCAGTTTAAACATCTGTATGGACTCTGATAAAACCACCTCTTCAGGCAGAGAATTCCACATCCTTATTGCTCTTACTGTAAAAAAAACTTTTTCTTTGCCTTAGACGGAATCTCCTTTCTTCCAGCCTAAATGTGTGACCTCGTGTCCTATGTGTAGCCCTGTTTATAAACAGATTTCCAGATAATGGTTTGTACTGGCCCCGAATATATTTTTATAAAGTTATCATATCCCCTCTGAGGCGCCGTTTTTCCAAACTAAAAAAGATTTAAATTTTTTAACCTTTTTAAGGTGAATATGGCCATGCCACCGAGATGCCAGGTAATACCGAAACTGCTTTTGCCATCTCTCGCTTGATCTGACAAAGTTTTAGCAAGTTTAAAATGACTGCAGTAAGTGACTTCAATTTGAGCATTTTGCTTTTTGATGGATAATTGAAATTGCCATGGAAACAGTGGGTTTAATTCTTATCCTTCCACACTCCCATCTGTCACTCATTGTTTTCTAATACTCATTTGTCATATAGTCAATTTGACTTTCAGAATCCCACTTTAAAGCTATCATTACATCATTTCCACTGCTCACTGTAAACTAGCAATATTTAACCTTTACATTTCCAGCTGAAATCAACTATTTTTTCTATATCGCCCATACAGCCGAAAGACTGCATATTACGAATATTTTATGTCTGCAGCAGTTTATCTAGATAATGTAGAAAAATTACAATTTACATTAACTAAAGAAATTGTTTTATGTTGTTCATAGCTTATAACACTGAGCCTGCAATATGATGTTGTTTGTTAAATATAATGAGAGTTATACAGAAAGACATTTGAATATTGCATGTTTTTAATCTAGTCATCTAGAAAGCTCTGTTTAATTGTGCGTACAGATCGCTAACAAAGACGTTTTGCTGGGTGATTTATCTCAATAAATCACTGGGTACTTACTACTCACAGAAAAGATTTTGAGATTAGAGCCCATTTTTGTTCCATATGCCTCGGCTTAATTTACAATGTTGTTATTTTAATTAGCACAGTGGGCTGCTATGGCTAATATTTATTTAACAGCCTCATTAATGTCGCTATTTTGCAACTGATTTCCATCAGAAAAAAATAAAAAAATTTAAATGCACAAAAAATAATATTAAAAGAAAATACATAGATATTTTTGTTAATATGGTTTTAAAGGATTTATGCTAAATTAAAATTATACAAATATATCTACACATACCAGTAGTGATTTATTATGTTTTATTAGAATCTTAGCCCAATTAATACAAATGGGTCTCATAGCGTGTGTGAATGTAAGGTAAGTTAAGGTAAACTTACGGTAGTTGTAGATCTGTAAGGGATATTGATATTATATGTTGCCAGAACAATTAGAACAGTGTATGTGTATGTCAAGAGTAAAGTGCCAATTTACCATGTTATGTATTGCCAAACACATCTAACTAGTTCTAGTTACATAGTTAAATTGGCTGAAAAGAGACACGTGTCCATCATGTTCAGCCTTTCTCAGATCTGTTTTTGCAGTTGATCCAAAAGAAGGAAAAAAACTCAGTGTTCCAATTTTGCAACAAACTAGGAAAAAAAATTCCTTCTCAACCCCAGAATGGCAGTTAGATTTATCATTGGATCAGGAAGCGATTGCCCCACAAATGAAAAATTATAACCCTGGATGTTATGCTTTTGCAAGTGTGTATCCAGTTGCTGTTTAAATAACTGAACAGACTCTGATAAAACCATTTCTTCAGGCAGAGAATTCCACACCCTTATTGTTCTTACTGTAAAAAAACCTTTTCTTTTGCCTTAGACAAAATCTTCTTTCTTCCAGTCTAAACGCGTGACCACATGTCCTGTTTATGAATAGATTTCCAGACAATGGTGTGTATTGGCCCTGAATATATTTGTGTAATGCTATAGAAACCTAGCTTGCTTACTTCAATAGATGCTTTGCTCAAGAAGTCAACTTGGAAGTAACTTACCACAGCAGAACTATCAAGGCATTTTGAATTCGATTTGGTGGGTTGAGTTTTAATTTCTCCTGAGCACCATCTCGATTTTGCTGGTAGGTGTGAGGTAAGACAGCAGAGACCAGATCCTCTGCCAGGACAGCCGCTCAGAGTCATATGTTTCTCGCACTAATCATATGTCTAACACTGTAATAAAAGGGACACCACACCCTGCCCGGAGTGGTTACACTCAGTCTAGTAAAAAAAAAATCAATCATCACCATGCTATAAATACAAAGAAAGTAGGAGGGTTTCTTAAAAAATATTTCATTTGGGGTAGTGAACTGGGGGAAATGGTTTTAGTGCGATGGAAGGAAAGAGGTACGGTGATAAATAAAAGAAGAAAAACAATGACCTAGAGGAAAATTTCGAAAACCCACTTCAACTACTGCAGATCTCTAAATATCTGAAGGCAATGTCGTAGTTACTCAATATCAACTTGTATCTGGTTATTGAAGAAGGCACAAAGAGGTAGAAGATGCTCAGCAGTGGAACTCACCCACTAGACATCATAACAACTGAGGGTCATCCCACATTTCAGAAGATGTTGAATACATGTTTCATGTGACCTCCTCCCATCAGCAATAACCTTCTGTTATAGCTCTCCCTTTACTTTCTGTACCTCTAGCTATCATGCCTGTATGTTTATTTTATTAAAAGCGAATAGAAGTTGGGTTTGCTCTGTATAGGATCTATATAAGTCCATATATAGGTAGGCTATGGATTAAGAAGTAGCCGTGACATAGGTACATATGGGACAAGAGTGACATTGCACCCATACATACACACACACATACAAACATGACCCATATACACATAAACGCCCTTGTACTCACACATACAGCTACCCTTAAATGGAAATATGTCAGAACCAACCCATCAATCACTCTGCAATGTAAAGTTCTGGTGACAATGTTGATATGACAGAAATAGTTGAACAGGGCTAAATAAAATATCCTTAGAAGGAAAAGGGGTGTAATGAAGGATAACAACATGAATTTTGTCAGTTATTGAATTTATGAATACTACTTAACAAAAGGCAAAAATAAGAGATATTTGGGAATGGCTGGGTTAATTTAGACACAGCATTTTTTTCTTTGTAACGAAGCCTACCAGCAGTGTATATCCTATATATAACATATAGAATACGGACAATTCCGAGTTTGAAGGTTCTATCTCACAGGACACCAGCTGAGCCATTTACATGGGGCTGGTAGTGTGTCAGAGGGCCTGCAGCTGAATAAGGATCACGTTCGCTCAATCTATAAACTGCACACAATTGGCACAGTGTGTGTAAGTGGAAACGAGCTGATATTATATGCAAATTATAATTTCCCTTCAAATTAACACTTTTCCATGTCTCTTTTTTAACCCCTCTCTGTATGGTAACCTACCCTTCCCTCCCCCCTTCCATTTCATCACTCTATTTGCTCCAGCTGTCAGATTGAGGTCAGACAATAATCACACCTCCGATAAAAGCTTTTCCCTGTATCACAGCGTGGGGGAGATGGGAAGAGATGGAAGTGTAAGGAGGGTGAGACTTGTGCGCAGTGACATTCAGAGAGTCTGAGGTTACACATCAGAGAACCAGACACTTTAAAGAGACTGAGGACCACTACCCAGATGGCAATCTGCATGAGCGAGCCTCTTGGATGCACCACGCATCTTGCTCGACTCCCTGGGTTACTCTCTAAAATGTGAATTGTCAAAAATCCAAAATGAATTTCACATGCCCAACTAAATATTTCGCAAACTAAGTTTTCTTTTTACGGTTTAACTATTTTGGCTTAAATTTTAAATTCACTCTGTTTTCAAACAATTCCCAAAAATTCACATTATAGTAAATAAACATTACAGACATCAACAGTCTTCCTTACAGCGTCAAAGCACGTGGCGAGCAGCGAATGTGATGGCCGTAGGTGCAGAAAAATCTAGGGCGGCCATCACTGCAGCAGAATCATTTATTGGGTAATTCAATTTTTTCTGAAATAGTAGTACATAGCTGACATGTCCTTTCGGTAGAGGTTGTACGTGAATTTCAGGACTAATTTTTAAACTAAATAAATAAATTATCATTTACACACATTCTTTTTCTCAATGTGCACTTATGTATCTGTGTTTAATGAGTAAAGTGTTCATTATTCAATTTCCAATGATCTGTTTTCATTTTACTTTAAACATATTTTCAGCAGTGTCTCTTTAAATCTACCATACACTGTATGGAACATGGCATAATATGCTGGATCTTTAAAAAAAATTGAAAAAAACTGTCACGTTCATATGAATTCATTCTTTTTGAGCGTGTTGCCTGTGAAGGAATAATTGCACTTGCTTGAGAAGTGCGGTGAAAAGCTGGGAGGGCGGCTGTAGACTGCGTCTCTGTGCTGATGGCAGCAATAATCCGATGTGTGAAGAAGGAAATTGTCAGAGCTGGGACGTCAAGCAGAAACATTTTTCTATCTGGATGAAATCACAACCTGTAGTATGTCCAGCGGAGAGGGAGAGGGGGAGAGGCAAGGAGGGAAACCAAAGATTGGAAGGAAAATAAGAATGGTTTGAGAAGGACAGCGGAGGAATGCAGGGAGCAAATATAAATTTGGGGGGACCAGAGAGAGAAGGATTGGAATAAGATATAAAAGGGCTAAATGAAATATATAAGCCAAGGTCATGACAAGTATAGGAAAATATTTTTGGACCCTCCTCCACATATATATACGTAAATGGGTACTCTAAGCACCATAACCACTTCAGTGATTTTAAGTGATCTGCACATACATAGGTTAACTGTTTGGCTACGGGAAGTGTAACTCCACTTTGCCAAAGTTCGGAGCTGGCTAATGTCAGAAAGGGTTAGTGTAACCAAAACCAGTGGTTTAATTAAATGTGTGTATACACACATAGAATGCAGCATTATCTGTGTTGTTTAGATTTAGCAGAGATCTATTCCCCTATTTTTAGGTGTGCTTCTATTTAACATGCAAGTGCCACTTCAATGTGACATCACATTCTATTTATTTCTAACAGAACTCACTCCCAACGCAAACAACTACCACTTTCCTGTTGTACACCTGGAATAGGAGGGTAGTGCAGCGTTCCAAAAAAAAAAAAAAAATATCAATCTGATTTACAATTCTCCTTCTTTTTATCTTCATACAACATGCACAAACTAGTGAGAAACCTAACTAGGTGTAAAGCAAGGAATATGTACTAACAGGTTAGCACACCATCCCACATCATCTAACTAACCGTCACCTTGCTTGCACTAATTTATATTCTCTAATGACCCGTTAAGTACTGCAGGCAAGAGTATAATCCTAACTCAAAGCACTGAAAGAGCTGCTGAACATATTAAAAATATAGAAAACTTTTTGGGCTCCCCTGGACTTCCACCTAAATCAAGGGAATGGCTTGCCTTTCTTCTATCACTCTATGTGTCCCACGTCTCTTGTTTAAATACTGTGTCCTCAATAACAATTGGCCAGAGCATATAAATCTTCTGGTCCCTATACTGATGGACCATATATGGTACAAGCCCTGATCCTGTACGTCCATAAAATCGTAGAGTAACAAGGGTTTTTCCAAATGAATTATTAACAGTTTGGTACCCATGACATTTAATATAATCCTGATCCCTGATTTCTGACCTTATAATACTTTGTCGCTATCTAGTCTGCTCCTTGTGTTTGAATCTATTTTTTATTATTTTCCTCAGTGCACCAGTTTTCCAGTTAAAATACATGAGTAAATGTAGGGACTACTTTCCCTTATGTAAATCAATCAAGCTGACAAAACTTGACAATGGGTAGAGCTTAAATGGACACTGTAGTACACAGAACAACTACAGCTTATTGTATTTGTTCTGGTGAGTTTAGTCAGTCCCTGCAGGATTTTTGCAGTAAATACTGTATTTTACATTACCTCCAGTGGCCATCCCTCGGATACCACACCCACCATCCCTCGGATGGCCACTAGAGGTGCTTCCTGGAGCAGGGTTGAAACACTGAACTTTCCTCATAGAGATGCATTGATTCAATAATAAATAAAAGTGGCAAGGGTGGAGTAAAAAATTGGAGTACTGAATTTAAAAATACATTATGGGGCTTATTTAAACCATTAAATCCATAAATCTGTGTAACCTGTAGCTTTGAATTTTTTTTTTATAAGAGAGGATATTCCTTGCCTTTTCCCTGAGCGCAGTTTCCTATAAACTTATAAATACTTACAGAAATCTTGAGTGTCCAGCAATGTCAAATCACATTCATGAGTTCTCACCTTTTGCCCATGATAATATGCTCTGAAAATTAAAAAAAGTTCCAACACAACATAAAAAAGTAAACATAAAAATAGGCCACATACAAAAATATTATTACAAATTCCCTGGAATCACATAGCAATTTATGTATAAAATATACAGCCTGTCCTGGCCTACGCTGTGAATCTTTGAGTGATACATTTTAAACTCAAAGTTAAACACAAAATTGCATGTCAAAACATAGTCAGATAAGTGACATAAAAGGTCATGGGCTGTTTTTAAGGACATTGATGCTTTTTTAACCACCAGCTGCTTGAAGGAGCTATTGATTTACTACACTTACTTTCACTCCCTTGATAAGAATATGAATTACATGTGTGGGTACCACGAGTTAACTTAATAATAAAATAGAGCTCCGCCGGGTCCTCTCTCCCTCCCCAGCCGGCGGCCGCTTGTTAGTGATAGTGGGCAGGTGAGGGAGATCTTAGATCTCCCCACCAACCCGTCATGGAATGCGGCAGGGCCGGCGTTCGGATAGCGCGGGCCTTGCATGGACCGGCAGGGGACACCCCTGTGATTTCCCATGCCGGTCTAGGCCCATGGCCATCGCGGCCCACTGGGCATTTGCCCAATGGCCAGTCCAGGCCTGCTTGGGACCTTCAGACCCATTATTATAGTATTTTAGCTGTATTCAGGATAGGTGTTGGGCTACTTTGGACACTCATCCACCATTTTAGTGGGTGTGGTATCTGAATTGTTAGCTTCAAGGAACATCTGACTTATCATTATAACAGGGAATGGTATTTGGATCGGGAAATGTGGCATTTCCTGGACCATCATTATTTAAATTACCTCTCCATTCTGTAGACATCATTGGCACACATTCAATATATTTAACGTCTACGAATTTAAAAAACTGCTGTACTTAGATCCAGGGCTTTGTGGTTCCCTATCTTTAGAAAATGCAGATTTTAGGCAAAATTAAGTGAACATTCTAAAACGTACCAATTTATCCGGTTTAGCTACCTTTGTCTGAAATGTATACTTCACTTGTTAATTTTCCATATTTCCCAGTTTAGTGAGTAGTAAGAAGATAGTGGAGTCGGCTTGACAATGGGAATAAATAGGGATAGAAGCAGTTGGCCAAGAGAAGAAATGAAATATACTACTACATTTCATTTATTATAGAATTTTATTGAATAATCACATTCCTGCTTAATGTTTCCATTAACAAATATGGCACAACTATAAACAACTTACTGATAAAAAAGACACATTAATTAAGAAAGTAATGAAAAGTAAACTATAAAACTAAAGGATGATAAGATGAATTAAGAGGTTCAAGTAGAGATATGCAGTTTTTTTGTGGTGGGGGTTTTATGAGGCATATGGTGGAGTACTAGCTAGAGGCTGTATGGCGCAATAGGAGGAGTTATAGAAAAAATAAGTATAGAGAAATGGGAACGAACTACACATAGAGAGAAATTTTATGGAGGAACAGGATGATGAAATACAAGGAAAGGTGATATAGAGTAATATGAGATATAGGGAGAGGTTCTATGGAGTAATAGGAGGAGTTATAGAGAGAGGTTATATGGAGTAATAGGAGGAGTTATAGGGAGAGGTTATATGGAGTAATAGGAGGAGTTATAGGGAGAGGTTATATGGAGTAATAGGAGGAGATATAGGGAGAGGTTATATGGAGTAATAGGAGGAGTTATAGGGAGAGGTTATATGGAGTAATAGGAGGAGTTATAGGGAGAGGTTATATGGAGTAATAGGAGGAGTTTATAGGGAGAGGTTATATGGAGTAATAGGAGGAGTTATAGGGAGAGGTTATATGGAGTAATAGGAGATGTTATAGAGAGAGGTTATATGGAGTAATAGGAGGAGTTATAGGGAGAGGTTATATGGAGTAATAGGAGGAGTTATAGAGAGGTTATATGGAGTAATAGGAGGAGTTATAGGGAGAGGTTATATGGAGTAATAGGAGGAGTTATAGAGAGGTTATATGGAGTAATAGGAGGAGTTATAGGGAGAGGTTATATGGAGTAATAGGAGGAGTTATAGAGAGAGGTTATATGGAGTAATAGGAGGAGTTATAGAGAGAGGTTATATGGAGTAATAGGAGGAGTTATAGGGAGAGGTTATATGGAGTAATAGGAGGAGTTATAGAGAGAGGTTATATGGAGTAATAGGAGGAGTTATAGAGAGAGGTTATATGGAGTATAGGAGGAGTTATAGGGAGAGGTTATATGGAGTAATAGGAGAGTTATAGAGAGAGGTTATATGGAGTAATAGGAGGAGTTATAGGGAGAGGTATATAGAGAGGAGGAATAGGGAGAGGTTATGGAGTAATAGGAGGAGTTATAGAGAGGTTATATGGAGTAATAGGAGGAGTTATAGGGAGAGGTTATATGGAGTAATAGTTATAGAGAGAGGTTATATGGAGTAATAGGAGGAGTTATAGGGAGAGGATATATAGAGTAATAGGAGGAGTTATAGGGAGAGGTTATATGGAGTAATAGGAGGAGTTATAGAGAGGTTATATGGAGTAATAGGAGAGTTATAGAGAGAGGTTATATGGAGTAATAGGAGGAGTTATAGGGAGAGGTTATATGGAGTAATAGGAGAGAGTTATAGAGAGAGGTTATATGGAGTAATAGGAGGAGTTATAGGAGAGAGGTTATATGGAGTAATAGGAGGAGTTATAGAGAGAGGTTATATGGAGTAATAGGAGGAGTTATAGAGAGAGGTTATATGGAGTAATAGGAGGAGTTATGGGAGAGGTTATATGGAGTAATAGGAGGAGTTATAGGGAGAGGTTATATGGAGTAATAGGAGGAGTTATATGGAGAGGTTATATGGAGTAATAGGAGGAGTTATAGGGAGAGGTTATATGGAGTAATAGGAGGAGTTATAGGGAGAGGTTATATGGAGTAATAGGAGGAGTTATAGAGAGAGGTTATATGGAGTAATAGGAGGAGTTATAGGGAGAGGTTATATGGAGTAATAGGAGGAGTTATAGAGAGAGGTTATATGGAGTAATAGGAGGAGTTATAGGGAGAGGTTATATGGAGTAATAGGAGGAGTTATAGGGAAAGGTTATATGGAGTAATAGGAGGAGTTATATGGAGAGGTTATTTGGAATAATAGGAGGAGTTATAGGGAGAGGTTATATGGAGTAATAGGAGGAGTTATAGGGAAAGGTTATATGGAGTTATAGGAGGAGTTATAGGGAGAGGTTATATGGAGTAATAGGAGGAGTTATATGGAGATGGTATGTGTAGTAATAGGATGAGCTATAGGGAAAGATTATATACAACATTAGTTTGAGTTATGAAAAGGAACTGCATGAATTGTAAGGTGTAAAAAGAAATGACCCACTATTCCCTGAATAATGACAATTTCTATTCATAATAATTTAACCAATTAAAGAAGAAGCCACATTCACAATCCTTTAATTGTATTCTCCACCACCCCCATCCCACAATAAAATACACTTAGATTTTATACAAGTTAAATCCACAATAACCTCTTTTCTTCTGAAGACAAGTAGGAATGGACACATTTCAAACACAAATAGAAAGCAATAGACCATGATTATGTACAGTATAATACATGTGTGTGTGAGAGAGAGAGCGTGGTTGAATATGTACATTTGTGTATGATTCTATAACTATATTACTTTGTTCTTAATTCCTTAACATCATATCAGAACATTTTGCCTCGATTTTACAATTCTGCTTCTACTTCCTGGCAGTGTGTAGGGAATTATCTTCTGTGTGTAATAAAGAATGCAATAACAGGCTCGGATGGGGTTATTTACTAAACAGTGAATTAGAAATGTCTAAGCCATATTAGTCGTAATATATTAGTATTAATTTTGATTTTCAGGTCATTACCAGTATCTCTTTAGTAAATAAATCCCTAGAAAAATCACAGGCAAATAATGAACCAAGTATAGTACAGCCAGACTACATTTTTGGTTTTACATCTTGCTATGTTTTAAATCTTTTGCTTAATTCTTATATCTTGCATAACATTAATTGTAACTAAAAAATTGTATTAAAAAAATGAAGTAACAAGATGTATGTGTGCTAAAGACATGGACAGGGATATCAACCAGTTCTCATAATAATTAAACAATGAATCAATTTAATGTTTGCCATTTATATTCAATTTGTGCAGTTTCTATATACACCTGTGTGCGTTAGAGTATATACATATATGAGTACACAGCGTTTATTATGGGTATGTGCATCTGTACACATGCAAAGGTTGATTCACTAAAGACGGAATTCCAAAATTAAGGACACATTTTCTCATTTTGTTTTCATTCTAAGCTCACCCTAGCTCACTCTGTAGTGAATAAACCCTTCTGATAGATGTAATTATTCTCATTTATGGCAGAAACATAATCTGCCGGACCTCACAGACAGTGATTCATATCAAGCATTAAGTTGCTATTTAACAATTCAATTTCAGCAATATCTTCACTATAATTTAAATAGAAATTATGTGACTCCCATGCTTGCCTATGAATGGTTACATTTCCTACTTCCACTCATTTAAGATTTTTTATTTTTTTTGAAATGTAAAAAAAAAATTTGGGGCGGTGTTTTTTTTATTTTTATTGTTCTTAGAAAATATTAATTTTATAATAAAAAACAGAATCGCTTGTGCTTGTTATTCTTCTTGAATAGAAAGGGTGCGATAGTGCTCGAGTACAGTTACTGACTCCATAACAGAGTATAACAGGCCTGTTATGTTCCCAAGGGGACAGAATATGGGTCTCCGAGATGATATGGATTAGAGCAGACACACAGCAGGGCTCCATTCACCATATCCCACCCCCTTCATAATCCTTCTGTCTTAATGCAATAAGGAACCCTTGGGATTTCCATAAACCTTATTTTCTCATTGTCAGCGATGACACAGGAGGATGTGCAGTGATCAGAAGATTAACTAGTGAGTCAATGTATCCACTACTATTGTTTAACTCCTTCAGGACTGAACACCTGCTAATGTGAGCTTCGCCACAAAGAGGACTTGCCCGTGCCACAACAAGAGGCTCTGGTGACAAGAGGCAGAAGGTGCAACCAAACAATGGTTGTGGTAGCCAGGTGAGCAAGTGAGCTGACACACAAAGGGGGAGATTTATCAAAGCAAACAGGTGCTAGTCTGGATTCTATCTTTTAGATTTTGCCTTGATAAGCCTCCCTTAAATTTCCAGCTCTTAAATAGAGTCCGCGCATGCTCAAATAGCTGTAGAAGCACCCTTTCACAGGCAGAAATGGCCAGTTATAGTCTTCCATGTGTGCATGCGCATTTAATGACATGCTCATTCTGTGTAGCCAGATAAATTACACCAGATAAACATCTGACACTTTATAAACAGGGTTCCAAATCAGGACTGTGCCACTAGATTGAGGAGTGATGGGAGGAGGCATGGGACTACGATCAGTCAAATTGCTTGTTATTGTCACAGTCCCAGCATGTCATTGATCGCGAAGGCCATAAATATATCTCAGATCATATCATCTTTTTACGTTTTTTAATACACCTTTACTAATAAATTACTAGGTTAAGGCTCATGGGTCTGATTTTCTTCACCAGTGTTAATAGCTTGTATTACAAAAATTATACTAACAAATCAACAGTTGCTATTAATTTAGAAATTAATGGACATTACATTTCAATGGCAGTATACTGATACATTAGACAGTTCAGAGCCTTCAGTAACAAATTATTACAAATTACTAAATACTTGTTCACCCAATGTAAAATAAGAAATATCGGCACATTTACATAAGACTACGCAGCTACAAACAATGATTGCAATAATTGTCTTTGCTGATTGGTCCACTACAATATTAATATTCAGTTTACGTATACCCTTCACGTGTATGTATATACAGGTACACAACGTTTAGCACACTGCTAAAAACTGCACTTGGTTACATAGATATGTACAGTACACACGTACACACATACAAAGATATCGAGAACACCACTGTTCTGCGAAAGAACATGTGCAGCCAGTAGAAATGCAAAGGCATTTCCTTGTGCACAGTTATACGTATATGTATGTATATATATATGGATATATCAAAAGTAGAAACATCTAAACACCTGTAAGATGCATAAAGTTAAATGATCAACACGGCAACTTTAAAGATGGTGGAATAGGGGTTGAGTAAATACTCCCATATACCCATTGCTCTATTAGATAGAGTCAGAAACAGAGGGATCTTATAAAAACAGGCTGCAATCGCCTATAAATAATACTTATGGTGGAACGTATGTTTGTGCTAAAAACCATAAAACATAAAAGGTCTTATGATCATTTTAACCAGTTACTGTGAACACTGGTGTTGCTTGGATATGAAGACTTTCTAGCTGAGATTATATAATATAGTTAAGGTTCTATTTTCATTCCCCTTCTGACCTAAAATTGGGACAAACTTTGGCATGTGTTTACAGACAAATTGTTATATGTGTGTGGAAGGGTAGTTGATGCCTCTGAATGCCAGTGATCAGCGTGCAGGTTCCTTGTAATTACCATTTATCTCCTCGGAGATGGTCACAGCCTCAGCTCCAAGTGGGAGCCGATCACTGTACTCTGACCCCACTTCAAATTCTTCTTGGTTGGTCTTGGATTCTGAACATGGAAGGGTCTCATCCAACACATTTTCCTCCGGTTCCCCTTCTACTTCACCTTCTGCTGGTGCAGCTTCAGCCTCCCCTTCCTCTGCTTCACTAGGGTTATAATTTTTCTCTGACTCCACGTAGGAAGCTCTTGGGTCAAAGTCAGCCGCCATGTGCTTCTCCATAGGATCAGGTTTGTGGGCCTTCATGATCAGTTTATAATTCTTGCCATGGTATTTATTAAGTAGATGGCAACAGGTAGCACCCATCAGTGGGATAGTGGCTAAGCCCAAAAGGAAAATGCTCACTACAATAATAATGATTAAAGAGGGCACTTCTTTCTTAGTAGTGAAGACCACTTGTACCTGGCAGTCTTCACCTTTGTACGTTAGACATACTGAGTAGTTGGTGCCAGGGGTTAATCCTCTGAACCAGTAGGAATTCATCCTATCTTCAATTTCTGACCACTGGACCAAAGAGTAACCATTGCTGCTCTCCTGGCAGAGATACAGCATCTTGAGGTGATCCTTTCCTGCACGTGTGGGGTATGGAGTAATTTGAACCTTAGCATCCTTCTCTGAAACATCTAAAGCTATAACACCGAGGTCAAATATGTGAGGTTTTAAGTTATCGCTTTCATTAAATGCATGATTTGATACGTGCTGACTATTCACACTTGACCCACACTTCTTTTCAAATCTTATTGGATGATCGTTTGTTTCCAATGTCTCTCCTTTATTGCCAGTTGTTCCCATAGTTTCCGAAGTGGGCATGACACCCTTATTTTTTTCTTCTCCTTTATCTGGTTTAAGCACACTGTTTACAGAGGTTTCTACAACAGGTTTTTTACCATCTGGTGATGTCTTTCCCAATATTGGTTCATCCACATTCTTGGTGGCAAATTTCTGGCTTCCTGCCACAGAAACATTGACTGAAGTTTGACTGCTTCCCATTTCATTGGTGGCCTGGCATGTGTAGGTCCCTTCCAACTTCTTACTCAGGTGTGGAATTAGTAGGGTTCCATTTTGAAACACCTGGAAGGGACCAGACACCTGAGTCTTATCATTTGGTGCCTTAATTTCAGTCTCTTGGGTGGCATTGCGGACTTTCCACTGGATAGTGGGCATAGGACTCCCACTGGCTATACACTGAAGAGTAAGTGTAAATCCATCATGAAGTTCTGTATTGTCCAAGTTAGGATAATAGCTCAGGTGCACAGTGGGCAAACCACAAGGCAACTCTGGGATTTTTGACAGAGCGGTACCACGTAAATCTTCTGGTGAAGCACACGTAATGGAGTCCTTCTCAGCCACAGTTATTTGGGCTTCATCTGTCCACTTTTTAAGCCACAGGAGTGAGCAAGAACAATGGAAGGGATTGTTATAAATCTGCATATGTAAGAGGGAGACAAGGGGCTTAAAGGTTCCCTCCCGAATGACGGTGAATTGGTTATTGTTGATCCTTAGAGATCTGAGATCCTTTAAGTTATGAAAGGCATCCACTGGTAGGTTTACCATCCGGTTGTTGTTCATTTTCAGAAGTTGCAAGGCAGGTAGGCTAGCCAAATCCTTCCATGGGAATTCAACAAGCTGGTTGTGACTGATGTCCAGATTTTTTAGTTGTGTCATTACAGTCAACGTCCCTTCTTCAACTACACTGATTTCATTGTGGGCTAACCACAATGACGTTACCTGGGGCACCCCCACAAAGTATGATCTTTTAAGTAAGCTAATTTTATTGGCCGAGAGGCTCAGAGTGGTTATATTGGAAGGGAATCCGCTTGGAACCTTTTGAAGCTTTTTATACGTGCAGTCAGCAAACTGTTGGTTATATTTATCCACACAAAGACAGGTATCGGGGCAGCAAAGAGTTGTCGCCAATAAAGATGAAGTCACACACAGGAGTAGGAATCCACCCATCGTGTCACCTGAAAAACAAGTCAAAGGTAGAAAAGGAACAGATATTTTTGTTATAAACATAGTTCATGGCAATAAATACTTAAAAATATAATTTTTGGTATATATGTATGAATACAAGAAACTAAATGATTTACTTGGCATTAGACTTTCAATCCTTTCGTCTGCCATAATATTAGGTAATTGACCCATTCTTGTAATATAATAAAAATTTGAATTAATTTTGCAAAGCACCTTAGTTAAACTCTCTCCACTCTACAGGGATCCCCAGTGCACTGGAGATGGCAACTGCATGAGACTTAAACTTAAATGTCTGTCTGATCCATCTAATAGGAACTCATTAAAAAGAGTATTTGTCCCAACCAAAGAATTAAAAAAACTCTATAAGATATTAAGCTTCGTAACAAGTGGGGCAGGGTTTTCAGGCAAGAAAACTCAACTGCTGTACCACATCCGGTGGAAAAAATGTGCGATTGTGCACTCACTATACAGAATGCAGATTAGTAGGTTAAATAGTGCAGTAAGGAGCAAGTCAAGTCTTTTCAAAGATCATAATCACTTAAGCTTCAGCAATAAAAGGTTAACGTGACGGAAAATTACGTCATGTGTCCTTCTTAATAATAGACTGAACATTAGCTGTCTCTACTTAGTCTTACCATATGTATATTAGGGTTACTAAAATGACCAGATCAAAGATAAAATTGAAATTTAAACTCAAAAGTAAAATTTAGAGCCATTTACACCTGTTGAACTCATGGCTATCATTTTGGTTTAGTGGAATCATGAGGCATGACGTATTAGTGAAAAATAAAATTAAAAGTAGATAGATTAGCCAATGTCAACTAAAGGATTTGAAAATGTATATTCTGTCTATAGGAATACACGCAGAAAAGTAAATTCATGCCATTGATATTAAACTGATAATAAAAGTGACAGGCCAAAAAAGAACCCTACCAATTTATAATAATAATCATATAATTCAGATGCACCCACCAGAAACAAAGGAAAGGATATGTGCATGCCCTTTGGTTCTGATTATTACAGTAAACGTCAGGCTTAAGAGAGAAAGCGGTGTCTGTATGATCTGTGGATGGAACCCTGAATATGGACTGTCATATCTATCCATGTGAAACGGAGAGCCAGCAAGCCAGTTTCAATCAGACCCCAACATTCTGTCTGAAAAAACGCAGAGTCTGAGCAATACACTTAATTATACAGACCAAGAACATAGGGATTACAGGGGGTAATCTGTGGGTGATTTTTCTGTTCCAGACTCTATTATACACTGGACTCTCACCAACGATGAAAACTTTATTAGATACTGTTAAACCTTTTTGTAAGCAATATGCTAGTGAAACAGGTAACTCTCCCAGACAATCTTGTGCCAAATGCCGTAATCTAGGGGTTCTGAAGGTATCATAAGAAACCATAATGTCAAAGGTCTCCAGGACAAAGATAGCATGATTTTATTCTATACACAAGTCACTGTTATGAATTTTCTATTAAATGATTTTTCAAGTTAGTTTTAAGGCAAAGGTTTGTTATTCCCAAGGGAGTTCTGGGGCACATATGTCAAGTGGAAGTTACCTGAGTTTATGGACTAGACTTGAACTTGGCGAAAATAATGCTGTTCGGCCGAACAATAATGAGCCATTAAGTGTACTGAAACATATTGAAGTGATAAAACTCAATAAAAACAAAATAGACAAAAAAAAAAATAATAAGTGTACTGCAAAATATATACATAGTATCAATATTATGTATATTTTTTGCGGTACTCCAATAGGTGCATTTTCCTAATATTCGGTTCACAGATCAAAAAAGAAAAAGTAGACAATAGAGTGAAAAAGAGGAGGCTCATTACAAATATTCTATATATTTATATATTATCCATATGTATTAGCTGTATAAGTTATAAATATGTAAATATATTGCTCCAGTTTTTTTCAGTCTATTGGTCACATCTCACTTGGTCGGTGAATGAAATCAGCATTTAGTGGCTGTTTCATAGAATGTGACGGCAGATAAGAACCATTCGGCCCATCTAGTCTACCCATTTTTCTAAATAATTTTCTATCAATCATCTGCCCAATTTTCTATCAATCATCTTTATTTACCATTGATAATCTCTTTTGTTGGTGCCATGGGTGGAACTTCAAATCCTGAAGCAAGCGAACACGTTTGACCATTGTCTTAGTTGTTTGCTCTGTTATACATCTGTACGGTGCTTTGGAAAAGCCGATCAGCCTAAATTTGGACAAATTGCCAATCTGCCAAAATTAAATGCACGGGTCTATTAAGGACCCCATACTGAATGGTGGATGCTATATTTATATACAAATTTGTAAGGGCATAAAGACTTCGATATAATGACCGTGTATACTAAACATGAAGATACTGCATCAATAAAGAATAATGGTGATCACAGATCAAATCTCACCGACAGGCAAGCACAGACCCTCCGCAGGAATCCATGGTAGTACAACCTCGAAAAAAGAAACATAGAATTGAAGCGGCTCCTAGGTGATACTGTGAGCAGCACAAAGGCAGAACTAATGACAAGGGTACTATTCAGTAACTGCTTGTATCCAAGGCCAACACACAAAGATGTATAAACTGTGCTTGGAACACAAACACAACAGTGGGTTCTCTGCACAATGGATATTATTAATTACGGTCTTATACATCATCATTCAATCTGTTTTCTGCATCCAATTGGATTTACATTGAAATGCCTTCAACCCACAATATCTCCTGCAAATTATTAAACACAATTGCTTAGTAATGTACGATGCTTTTTATGAAATTCTTTATCTGCTGTTGTTCCAAGAGAATGTGGAACTCCTAATATGAAGAGATTGCCATTTTTGGCACAAATTGAGACAAAGAAAATCCTTCTGGATTCCAAATGGTAATCAGATTTATACTTGGATCTACAGGCTGTTACTCCACATTGTAGGGGACCAGTTCTGGTATGGGCACCCACCTCTTGGGAGCCATTATTCAGCTGGAGTCATCAGGTCAGTTTATTACTCTACATGTCTCTGTGACTGTCATGGGTTTAGGGTCGCATGCGTCAGCGCCCACAGCATGCAACACCTCCAACAGAATGCGCCACCGCTCACAGCATGCGCCACCGCCCACAGTTCAGGACATGGAAGGGCAGTCTGGGAAAGGAATGTCTGGGAATGTAATTGGTAATGAAAATAAACAATTCGGATTCAATACATGGAATGGCTGTTTTGTTTAATTATATAAATTTGACACTAAAATATTTTCTTGTAAATTCCTGGAAAGAAATAAATATAATGCAACAAATCAATATATAGCTAATACTGCTGAAGGTCCATCATATTATAATAGTAGTATATTATTCTGGGCAGAGAGCCATATTAGCATTTTCCCTTCTACAATCTGTATAAAACGATTTGTACACAATCTAGGCAATGTGCCAAGTGGCAGACAGAACAATGTGATAAATCAGAGAGGTTATATCGTATGTTGGGAGTCTCTCTGCAGTCTGCAACACCCCACCACCCACAGGACATATTGTTACCACTATCCCAATAGATACAATATAATGATGACCAGTCATTGGCTCTCCAGTTATCATATACTGTACTGCATTCCCCATAATCAGCACACGGACTCTACAGCAGGGGTGTCAGTTGGCCTGTTTCTGTGATTCTTCTCTTGCACATGGGGGTAGAATGAGGGGTCACACTGCATGTAGGTACTAGGTAGGTATATTGGAATGATTAACTCTGTGAGTGCCAGCGTTGTGGCCAACGTACTGTAAAGCACCCCCTTGGGAACACACCGGGCATACAAGGGGTTAAATCCCCCTGGTGAGGTGCGGGTAACATTGCAAACGTTTTGTACATCAGCCTGCGGGTAACATTGCGCACCTTTTGTATATGCTATACATAAAATTGCGCAGGCTTTGTACATTGCGCTGCGTCAAAGAAATGAGCCCAGACCCCATGTACTCAGTGCCAGACTATCCCTCCCTGCCTCAATGTACAGACATCCCCCGGCCAGACACAGGACAGCCCAGGACAACAGGTGCCTGTGGGATGTCAATGCATTTATCACCACAAAGTACCCCCCTCCCCTCCAGCCCCCATTAACTGCACTCACTGCTAATCCAGCAATGTTACATGGAGAGAGGGGGGCTCCTGTCACTGGGAGAAATATCTATATTATCTTAGTACAGGCTGCTATCTGTACCATGACAGCCATGTAATGACTGGACCCCCCTGCCCTGCCTAATGGGGAGACATCTCACCTTTAATATAGACACACAATGCAGCGTGCAAAACACACAGACACACAATGCAGCGTGCAAAACACACAAACACACAATGCAGCGCTTCTACCCACAGTGTAAAACACACAGACACACAATGCAGCGTGCAAAACACACAGACACACAATGCAGCACTTCTACCCACAGTGTAAAACACACAGACACACAATGCAGCGTGCAAAACACACAGACACACAATGCAGTATGCAAAACACACAGACACACAATGCAGTATGCAAAACACACAGACACAATGCAGCACATCTACGCAAAGTGTAGAACACACAGACACACAATGCAGCACTTCTGCCCAGAGTGTAAAACACACGGACACACAATGCAGCACCTCCACCAAGAGTGTAAAACACACAGACACACAATGCCCAGAGTGTAAAACACACAGACACACAATGCCCAGAGTGTAAAACATACAGACACACAAAGCAACTCTTGCACTCAGCGTGTAATATACACAGATACACAATGCAGTGTGGTAAACACAGTGTGTAAAACACACAGAAATACAATGAAGCACTTCTACCCATTGTATAAGCACACACCACACAATACAGCATTTCTACCCAGTGTGTTAAAAAACACAGACACATAATTCAATTCAGTGTGCAAAACACACAGACACACAATGCAGTACAGTGTGCAAAACACACAGACACACAATTCAATTCAGTGTGCAAAACACACAGACACACCATGCAGCACATCTACCAAATGTGTAAAACACAGAGACACACAATGTGATGTGTAAATTACACAAAAGCACAATACAAGTATAATAATGGCAATATAAACTCAGAACTAATTATAGCTAATATTAGATCCTATAGCTAATTATGACGATATAGTCGGTATAGAAAGGCTTTATACAGTATAGAATTATAAGAAAATAAGAGTTACTTTTACTACAATTCAATGTATTTATAAAATATCTTTCTCACATATTTAAATATAAATGATACCATATATATATAGTTCCAGTTATACATCGATCTGAATACTGCATTAATCCATGTGATTTAATATTTGAAATGAGAAAACAGTATAAATACTGTGTATTCGTTCAGTATGTATAGCCCATGTAATATTAACCGCTTTTTATTTGTGTTTAATCAATATATTCATTCTACTTTAAGATAATTCTGAAAAAAAAAAAAAAAAAACGCATTCACACAGCTAAATTCTTTCTACCAAACAACTACAGTTCACGGAATGTTACAATACACGGCGTGGGGACTTCCAATGAATTAATATTTAGCGAACAATATATAAAGATTGTCTTGAAATTGTGTGCTGTGAAATATCAATTTCACTTTATTGATAAAGATAATATATTGAATATATTGTATATTAACTAGTAGAACATTAATATGATATATAGAATATATATATTAATAATATATATGTGAATAAAATGTATAATGTATTCCTAAAATATATAAGAATGAAAACCTATATCGTACAAGTCTAACCTAGATATATATGTGTGTGTATATACTGGAAGATCTTTTCAAGCAGATTATCAGATTTTAAATGCTCCTGTCTGTTGGATAGATATAATAATTTTCATGTGAATTTATAACATATTAATAAATACTTTTTAAAATAATAATAAATATATCAGACCTTTGTATGTATGGTTTCTTAACGAATACCTTAAAATGTTATATGCTAATAAATAGCCGTGTTACACCATATGTATGTGTGTGTATATATAATATATACACACACATACATATATATACACTCACACATATATATATATATATATTTAAAGATTTAATTAGATTATTAACAAGTACATATATGGAATATAATTGTATATATTGTTGCAAAATTTAATTACATTGAGCCATCCATTTTTTCCCAGTGTCCTCTATGACCTTGAAACAATTTCTTTAGAAACAATTACATTTCAGTGATTTCAATTTCTCTGAAAATCTCCTTAACCCCTTGACCCCCTAACAATCCCCACCAGTCCCAAAACATACCCCTCACTGGTGCAATACTTAATTCCATTCCATTATACCTGCCCCTTAATTCTCTAGAACTCCATGTCCTCCTATGGAGCTCTCCTTTTTATGCCCATATTAAAAATGTTACTGCTCCCCATTACCTATAGGCACATATCTATTAATTTTCTTCGACAGTTTTGGGGTGAATCAGTTCCCCCTCACTTTGCTCATATTGTCCTTGATTCCCAATCTTCCCTACACCATCACTGGTCCCCCCCCCCAACTCCCCACCCTCCATTCCCCATATCTCCCTCCTCCCTTATAATTTTCACATTCCTCTTTTCCTGTAATCTTCAAGCAGTTTTCTGTTCTAGAAAATGTCACCTCAATAATAGCTTTTCTTTTTATCCCTTGAGAGATCACACTGTTGCCCACATCTCCACTGTAAAAACCTTTTAAAACGTGACATGCTGCCTGAGGCTTGGAAGGAAATGTGCTGTTTTTCTTAATCCTTGTTTTTCTTTCACTACTCCCTCCTTCCCCAGATCTGCCCATCACTCACTCTCCTCGTGCCCTGCCATGCTCATTTGCCAAATTAACCTTAAATTCTGCATGGACAAAGGAAGTAGGTTGGAGGACACAGGCAGGCCGTCCTGCTCTGAATAGCCCAGAGGACCTCATGCTGAGAGGGCAGAGAGGGACTAATGCAGACATGCAAGAGAATTATACATGCATTAAACCTACACAGGGAGAAGTGGAGAGAGGGTGGTGATGGGAGGGGGATAATTGTGTAGATATTTGTATAAAAGGTCAGATTTGTAGATGGATAGATTCCTGATAGATGGAAATGCAGATAGCATTTCTTTAGAAATATCTATGAAAAGGAATTCTAGTTTTTATGAAAAAGTGCTTTCTGTGAACATAAAAAACAGACCATCAAAATACACTCTGTAGACAGACAGACAGACCGATACATAGACAGACAGACAGATAGACAGACAGACCTATAGAAAGTTAGATAGATAGATAGATAGATAGACAGATAGAAAGATAGATAGATAGATAGAAAGATAGATAGATAGATAGATAGATAGATAGAAAGATAGATAGATAGATATAGATAGATAAATAGATAGATTAGATAGATATGTGTGTGTGTGGGGGGGGGGTGAAGGGCCTCCCCCCTTCACTCTCCCCCCCCCCCCACACACACACACAAGATGCGTGTGTATTTTGTCTTTATTCCCTAAATTGTACAGCGCTACAGGACAGGTTGGCATTTTATAAATGCGAAATAGTCCTACTAATTAAAACATGCTATTGTTATAGTGAAACACACATAAAACGTACTGTTTGTGCATGCCTACACACATACATACATTGTGTGTGTGTGTTTGTGTGTGTGTATACAGACATACATGTATATGAATGGGGAAATGTAGCAAAAATCATAGACACGTGTGTGAGTGCAGTAATATAGATGGATATATTTTTAAATTATAATAAAGGGAAGATAAAAAAATGTATGAACATTCTATGACATAATCTTGGAGTTCTGTGTGACTGGGCAGTATCAGAGAGTATTTGTGTTACAGCAATATTTACACGTGTGTCTGTGTGTGTTCTGCCCCATGACCATGGATTAATATAAATAATAATAAAAGTACCATTACAGTAACTGGCTGTGGATGATAGCTCTATTCTACCCTCATGGTTAAGTGAATTCAGCCAGCCATAAAACACACCATGACTCTCTCCTATGGGAGGAATAAACTGGTAGAGGCTCATTGAATTCATCAGGAGCTGTCCACAGTACTGCAATAAATTCTCCCTGATTAATTCCTAGCCACTTGAAGGAGCACATTGTCACAACCTCAACATGTTGCTTTTGTTGGAAGTAAAATCTCCTCTGAGGATATTCTGCTGATAAAAATCAGCTCCTGCAGCTGCTAACCTGATCCTAGCACTTTAATCCTTCGAAATATTACTGTTCAGATCCCTATCTGATGCAGCCTGTGTGTAATCACATCCTTTCTTATCCCTATAAACCATATAAACCATGCTGACTGCAATTTCAAACACTCAGAAATACTCAAAGTATACACTTTCGTTGAACATCCATTCAGAAGGACTTGGTTACACTTAGCTGTGTACCCATGCATTGCATCACGTTTATGGCTATTTACATTAATATGTAGGCAGGTGAATCCACAGGTTTAAACCTTTTATTTTTTAATTGTCAAAAGGTGAGCAACACATAGCTTTGTACTGAGTTACCGAAAGAGTTAAAATGTATCCATAGATGAAGCTATGAATCCAGGTTGCTGTAGATTATAGATAAATATCCCAGCTTGTCAAACACCATACAGTATATATATATATATATATATATATATATATATATATACATATATTATCACACAGAAATAATTCAAAATCCAAATGTTAAGTAGATTCTCAAAAATGGAAAAGAAATGGATAAATGCATATATTGTCTAAATATGTATAATTCTGTTATCCACACATATATTCATTAAGGTATTTATCATTTGAGAGGCTCTAGAATACATTAACATTGTCTTCAAGAATATTGTTTAAAGTTACAAAGGGTTAACTTTCACCTCTTCATCTTGCCCCACACCTCCCCATCTTGCCCCCACCACAGCCATTTATTGCACCCCTGCTCTTTATTGCCCCAACTTCTCCCATCTTGCTCCCACCCTGCCCTTTATTGCCCCCACCTCTCCTATCTTGCTCCCCCTGCCCTCTATTGCCCCACTACTCCCCATCTTGCTCCCACCACTGCCCTCTATTTCCCCACTACTCCCCATCTTGCTCCCACCCCTGCCCTTTATTGCCCCCCACATCTCCCCATCTTGCCCCTTTTAAACTACTTATAATTTCTCTCTTACCCCTGTCTTCCAATCGTCAATATCAGAACAAAGCCTTACCTCCTGTATCCACCTTTACGATCTGTAGAAGAGGGTGCAGTCAAACAGGTTATCCAAACTTTAAAACCTGCCAAAATCTTTTTTTGGGGGGTGGGGGTTCTAACCAGGCAGAGCAGCCCCTTCAGGTGAAGGGGTGTGGGTTTAACATACCCCTGTCAGCCTCAGGTTATTAGGATTGGAAGGGATAACTAGAATTTTGTAAGGGTCCTCAGTTTCCCATCAATAAACTGTGCAGTGTTCTCAGATTGGAAGTCCACTCCCACAGCCCACCCCAAGCAGATCCTGAGTGGGTTAGAGCTGCATGGCCCCCCCTCCCCACCACCATCAAATGGAATGAAACATTAATGTGTCCCTGCTCTGCACCCCTCCCTTTACATCCATGTGCCTGGCTGCACCCCTCCCTTCCCTGCCCTCGTGCATTCCCTGCCTTACTGTCTTCAGTTTCTTGTTCCTTCTAATTGAGTGCAAATAGCTCCAAAGCACAGAGAGAAGGATTCAGACATAAAAGAGAGATTTTTAAAACAATATTTATTGTAAGTCTAATATCTCTGCTGATCACCATAAGGTGCAGTAGAATTTATGTCAAGATAGAACTCCATATGAAAATTTCAGGGCATAGTGAAAACCAGACACATGGACTGATAGACAAGACAGACATCCCTGGCAGACATCTGTAACACCCAGTGATTAATTCCAGCAAACCTAGCTTGGCATGGTAGAGGTTAAACTTCCCTCCTCCTAACCCCTTATACATCATTCCTTCCAGGAATTGATATAAATAATTGATTTTGTTACCAGATTTTAATTTCTCGACAGTTCAGCAGACTCCTGGGAGAAGGAGGTGTGTGTGCTGGGATAAGGAAATGTGTGTCCAAATACTCACAGACACTTCACATTTACATATAATTATTATTGTCATTTATTTATGTACTAACAGCAGATTCCACAGTACTGGACACATTAATTAAAGGGTAAGGAGGCTTAAATTAATAGATAGCACACAGATAGGTTGATGATAGATAGATAGGTAGAAAAATAGAAAGAAAGAGTGAGAAATACAGAGATAGATAGATAGAAATAGATAGATCGACAGAGAGATAGAGATAGAGAGATAGATAGATAGATCTGTATGTCTCTCTGTTTATCTATCTAGGAATTGCCTGTAACTGTTTCTTATTCCCTTGGCTCTACTGCAAAACCTCATAGATGCTTTAAACAATGAGAATGCAACCCTCAAACATGTCGAGAATAATATCTCCGAGCTGGTTGTTTTCTGCCTTTACAATGTATGTTTCCAATGCCTTTCATTGCGGATCACACACTTCTTCCTTTAGGCCTGGAACCACCTTTATGTGTAAATGTTGTAGAATATTCAGATGGTTTATATACCAAACGCGTTTTCAGCAACAAGTTCTTCACCATATTTTAAATTACATCTGTGTGAGCACAAATATATACATATAAAGAGAGAGACATCATAGTATACCAAGGTCAATAAGACCAAAGATCAAGTTGTTTATTAATGTCTCCCAAACCGTGAAATGGCATTACTTTACCCCCCAAAATATACTTCACTGTTATGTATATGTTATTTTACATTTAATTTTAGAGTTAGAGTTAATGTGAGCATTAAGGTAATGTAGAGGCTAATGGTTAGTGTTAGAGTACTGTTTGGGTTAATGGTGAGTGTTAAGGTAGTGTAGGAGTAAAATTTTGTTGGTAGTGTAGAGTAGTGTATTGTAGTGGTTAATGTTTAGTGTAGTTGATTATAGGGCTTACTGTTTTAGTGATAGCGTAGTGTAGGGGTTAATGTTTAATGTTAGTATAGTGTGTGGGTTAATGTTTACTGATTGCGTGGTGTAAGGGTTTATGTTTAGTGTAGTGAAGTGTAGGTGTTTATTTTTAGGGTAGTGTATGAGTTAATAGTTATGGATAGTGTAGTGTAGGGGTTTATGTTTAGTGTAGTGTAGGTGTTTGTTTTTAGTGTAGTATATGAGTTAATAGTTCTGGATAGTGTAGTTTAGTGTAGTGTAGGGGTTTATGTTTAGTATAGTGTATGTGTTTGTTTTTAGTGTAGTGTATGAGTTAATAGTTATGGATAGTGTAGTGTAGTGTAGGGGTTTATGTTTAGTATAGTGTATGTGTTTGTTTTTAGTGTAGTGTATGAGTTAATAGTTATGGATAGTGTAGTGTAGTGTAGGGGTTTATGTTTAGTATAGTGTATGTGTTTGTTTTTAGTGTAGTGTATGAGTTAATAGTTACGGATAGTGTAGTGTAGTGTAGGGGTTTATGTTTAGTATAGTGTATGTGTTTGTTTTTAGTGTAGTGTATGAGTTAATAGTTACGGATAGTGTAGTGTAGTGTAGGGGTTTATGTTTAGTATAGTGTAGGTGTTTGTTTTTAGTGTAGTGTATGAGTTAATAGTCATGGATAGTGTAGTGTAGTGTAGGGGTTTATGTTTAGTGTAGTGGTAAAGGGGGAAGACTTTACTGTAAGGTCAGCACTGGGACAAACATAGAATAATGAGCAGATCACATACATACACACATGCGGAAAGCGAGACAGATTAATATGTGTATGGTTTTATGTTTTTGTGCCGGATACATATCCTTTCAGGCAGAAAATAATCATATTTGCAAAGTGCCTGCTATTTTCTCAGCTCGGGGGTCTCTGAATAGACAATGTAATCCTGCCTGCTTCACACCTGAATAATCAGAAAAGAACTAGAAAAAGAGTGACAGACTAAGAGAATGCAACAAGAAGAAATACATTGAGATACAGACATGCCATCAGTGACTTTTCACACAAGACACACAGACAAAAGGGTGAGATGTTCATTCTACAGATAGGTGCAATCAGCGGAGTCAGAGTGACAGCTCTTAGAACATTACAGAAGGGAAATGGAAATGATTGGAGACAATTGTTCCCAAAAAACAATATGAATTCTGTCGGGTAAGTCTGTCTGCAAATAACAAGAAAGCCTCACAAAGCCCATAACTGGCTGAAACGTAGGAAGATCCACTGCAGATGGTGGAATAAAAATCACTAACTGTACTACTTTAAGATTTATTTTCTGGAGTTTAAGGGCCTGGTGGGGAGTTTCTATTGCTACCCCTTTGCACACCAGGTGAGATGCAGAGTGGACCTATTTTCCTTTTTTTGCAAATATGCCTATTTACACATAGCTGGACTGAGAACGCTCCACTGTATAAGGAAACGTGCTACCGGTATACATTTTCACCTTTTGCTTAAATTATTTGTCCAACTCATTTAATGAATACAGAGCATAGAGCTCGCCGTGCAAAATAAGCATACATGGACGCAAGGGGTGTGCCAGGGTGCACCGTAATGCAGCGCCAACATCTCCTCCCAGATCAGGTGACATGTATTATATTTGAAGAACAAAAAAAATCATGACTATTTCTGTATACATCAAGTTATCCTTAAATCAAGTTATTATATTCTGTACCTCAATTTTTGTATTATTATTTTAAAGTAAAGTTTAGATTTAGTAAATGTTTCTAGTTATGTGCAGTGCAGGCCTATAAAAATAAGCAGTATACTCGATAATAGCCTAATGTGGTATATGTTTACATGGCACAAATCTTTACCCTCGTGACAGATCATCTAATAGTGCCCCATGCCATGCCCCTCCAATATGAGAGTGAAGTCAGCGGCACCTCTGTATTTAAAAGATGCACCCACGGGATTATTCTTATTGATTAAAGTGTGAATTGTCAGAATTTAAAGTGAATTTCAAATTTTAGGCCCCAGAAGATGAATTAGAAAAATTCAACAAAGGGTGTGTGTGTGCGTGTGTGCGCGTACGTACGTGCGTGTGTGCGCGTACGTACGTGCGTGTGTGCGTGTGCATGTGTGTGCATGTGTGTGTGTGTGTAATGTCATGAGTGTACCCAAGATAAAAGATATTCCATACTGTATTTTGTTAAACATTTACAAAAGCTGACATAGTATTCCTGTTAATTCACACTTTATATAAATAAATCATGATCAATCTGTAATAATTCTGAATCCTCCCAAATGATCCAGCTCTGTTCAGCCAGCATTTTAAACTGGCATACACAAAGAATCCAATTAGAGAGCACATTATTTAAATGCATCGATTTCATTTATAACCTCTTATTAGAGTTCCATTATCATCTCTCCACAATTTCTAAAGCAATCCGATCATTTTCTTTTGAATCCAGGATACACGATTTGCACCAGTTATGACAGCGGTTGTAACATAACTGTGTTCTAGATAACTGTCTGTCTTCGTCCATCCTTCTGTTTTCGTCCATCTGTCTGTCTCCGTCCATCTGTCTGTTTACTTGGCCAGCGATGTATTAGAACCTTTTTCACAATCACTAGAAAACTGAATACCAATCCACTTATTACGCAATTTAGTCTAACGTCGGCCTACCGTGTTGATCTAAAACAATGATGACTGATAACATTTTTCCAATTATGGGAGTTGTTCTAGAGAGAATATTGCTCTTCTGTACATCATCTTCACTTAACAGTGACAATAAAAATGCCCATTCATATTCCATAATAGGATTCCCTATGAAAAGCTAATGTTTCTTCAACATGTCCTTTGCCGCTAGGCAGATTTAAAAGTTTGTATCATCTTTTAAAACATAAAATTCTATAGCACCGGAACGTGTGTATATGATGTGTATATTGTGTGTTTTATGAGTTATATTCTGTGCATGCTTTTCTGTACCGTAATAATCAGTCTTCCACAGAGCACGGTCTTTATGTTGAGTTTTATCTATTACAATCTATTTTATAGTCTCGCAGTGTGTTTAACTGCTCCAGAGAGTCATAAATATAAAGAGCTGTATACAGGGAGTTTATAAAGAATGCCAGAGGAAAGGCAAGGGGAAAGGGGGAGAGGATGGGGAAGAAAAGACAGTGAGAGATTGTAGGACCAGGAGGAAATTAGACAAAGTAATTAAATATAATATGATGGGTGCATAGCACAAGCATAGAATTTACAGCTTGACATGGAATTAGAAAACATTTTTAAGAAAGAGTGACCAATATTTATGAGTGTGGCCAATGCTCATGTAAGCAGACTATTAAAAATATTCACATTTCAGAATGTACCTGTATACTTGAATTCCATACATAAAACATTTATTGGTGCATGCACCCACAACATGCATTTTTTAATACAGTAGTGGTGATGTTAATCCCTAAATCTATACAAAATGCTAATTATTAATGAAGGGAATAACAGAGTTAACTCTATGTAACCCCATGTAGGACCAATGATATTTTGTGCCATAATTATAATGTACCCCATAAGTACCTCATTGCTCATTAAATGAGAGATACATTTCATTAGTATATACAAAATCCAAGTACCATAACCACTAGTACCCTGTGTAGTAGTTTTGGTGCCAGGTGTGTCTTGGCACCCACCCATAGTAACTTGACAAGCCATCTTAGAACTAATCCGGGTCCCTTGGGCACCTGCTCTGCATCCAGTGTTCTCTTGCCGTCGATTCTGGGTGAGATCCCTCAGCTTCTCAACCAATTAGAATGGGCCTGCATGTCCCTGTTTAGTTGAGTGGAGCTAACCAGATTTTCCTGCTAGGAGACTCTGAATGCAGGGTGGCAAAAAGTTTTGGTAAATTACTCTGAGAGGGTTCTGGGTCAATCCTTGCACAATATCCACTACAGTGGACACTAGTGGTTATGTTGCGTTCACAGTTTATTTAAAAACTGGTTTGTTATACCAGAATAATAAGTAATTTCACTTGGTTTAAATTACCTGCTTTAAGAAAAAAATATACAAGCCTACAACTGTGTCAAAGCACGCAGATAATAGTTATTCACCTCAATGCATTGTACCAGCCAAATCCACGCACAATTTGTATTTTACCTTTATTATTTTAGGTTATATTCTGCAGGATAAAAATAGAAATTCCAAATATAACGTCAATTCTGAGATCTGAATTGTATTAATGCATGGATGTCAGCACAGATTGCAACAAAGCAGATATGTAATATTTACCACCTTTAACAAGCATTAAAAAAAAAAAAATAGCAGAGGAGAACAGTGGAATGCGTTGTCATGGCAAGTAATGTATATCACTTATCTATAATACAGGATTACAGGATGCCTGGATAGCTACGAAAACAATAGAATTATTTTGAATATCAATTGCAGTTCAGGGACAGAAAAATAAAATCTTGTTTACTCAGGGAAAAGTATTTGTCAGCTTGTCGCAGAAATGTCGAGAATAGAAAGTACTAGTGTAAGGTTACATACTGGGTCTGATGCTCCACCATTAATTTAGCTGCATTTGCATTATTTTGGGCGCACCTTAGTTATTTCAAACCTGGTGATTTCTAGAATGACGCAGTTTGTGACATTAGCGTATTTTATTTAGTGTGGTTGCAGCATCAAAATGTCAGAGAGTTGCATGTGTCCAAATGATGCAGGATGACGACATCAGGACCTTATACTGCGTAAACCCATTTATCCTTGGAAACAGTGTCCCTTTCATGATTTCTGACCCCTAAACACATTTCCTTGTACGTTTAACTATTTTTGTGCTATGATGATGATATTTTCTGGTATCCTTGACCTGACGTTGTCCTTTGACTTTGCTATTGCCTAAATCCTGATAGTACACAGTTATTGCTGGCTCAATCTGGCCCAGACTTTTAATAGTTAACCAGGATAATGTTATTTGGTGAAAGATAATATATGTCTTAGATTGGATAAACACCTCTCCTCGGGCATATATTATAGTGGAGCGCTCGAGTGATATATATAACAAATATTATTTACTTATGTAGAATATTGCTCATATGTAAAAGAAAAAAGAGGAAAAATAACATAGTATAATTCTATTAAGTTCATTTCCAAACAATCTTAAGTAAATGGGTTCAACTCACATTGATAAGAGCCTATGGTAGGACAGGCTCAAATCACACACGCTCCTGTGCCGTCTGGTGGCACTTTAACCTTTGGTCGTATAGAAGATGATCGTCAAAGAAAGAGATACAAATACAAAGAACTCTCTGGTGAAGTATATTGTGACTGATAAAAGTGTCAAAACACAAACTTTTGTAGGTTTGTCAGTGTAAATTCTGTACCGTTGCTCAAATAGCTTGTTGGTATCTATATGCAACAAATTGACATTGTTTTGAAAAGGCAGATCACCAAAAATGGATTTTGTAAGCTAACTTGTAGGCTATAATGAAGGCAAGAGTGGTGCCCGGCGGACCCAAGGTATGATGTCAAACATGCCTGGAGGGCACTTCCCAGAGCGTTCCTTTAAGTGCAGAGACACTGGGCAATGCCGAGTAGGTTATTTTGTTTACTTGCCAGGAGAGGAGCAGGTGGGACAGACAGTGAAGGTAAAGAACAGCTTCTTACACTTCATTTTAATTTTTTATTTAATGCTATCATAACGCATGCTATGAAAATAAGGCAAAAATTATTATATTATATAATATATCCTAAAGCGCCTAAATTCTGAGCTATATTTATAGCTCAGAAAATTGTGAGTTGCCATTTGGCCCTTACTTTAAATTTATTTTTCACCAATGCACATACAATCTGCACTATGTTATGTATTTTTCTCTGTTTTACCTTAAGGTTAACAAGAAATAATTGATTAACATAGAAGGAAAAATTGGGTAAACTTTTTTCATATTCAATTCTGCACATAAGCGCTACACCGGTACTGCCTACTACTTTCTATCACTTTTGTTTAAAAGATTTTCACGGTGGTTAGCAGCTCTTTGGATTATACACAAATTTTAAGATACTACACTCAAATAGCGCTGATACTCTCTTGTTTTATATTATATAATATATATATATAATATATATGCAAGTATATATATGTAACAAAAGTATTATAGATCCTAAGCTACTACTAGAAGGGCTTCCACGAGCATTACCTCGTCTGTAGTCTATAACAACTGCACCAGTTTAGTCTAAACTAGTCATTAGAAGAGTTAAATTTGTTACAAAGTGTGCATTTATGAAGAATCCTCTTAAAAAGAACCATTTTTGGGCTGGATCAGGGCTTTATCTCCTTACTCTTTCCTAACAAGTGTAATAAGATGAATCCTTAGACATCTTTGGAGATCCATTGGAATTCATGGAACCAAGGAGTTATCTCAAGGTTGCAAGTTGGGAATTGTCCTCTAGATCCTAGCTGCACCATAGGTTCCCTTGTGTATTTCTATTTCACCTTTATTTGAATGTTGCCATAGGATTTGCCAGCTGGATTACGAAGAAAAATAAACAACCTCTAGCATCTATAGTTCCTCTAGCTCCTACATCAAAATTCAGCCATGCATATCAGCAGACAATGCAGGAGATTCTATATAAACAACACGTCACTGTAAATGGGGGTCATAATGTTCACGCCTATCACAAATGCCATCTGGTATAAAAGATGTTACACAGATAATTATTTATTAAGTGGTTGTTTAGAAAGCGCCAACACCGGAAGCTGTGACATACTGATATATAAAGTGAGACAAGTCAATTTGAAATTTATCATATGAAGATTATTTTTATGAGCTAAGGCATCAACGTCTCATGATATATGTTTTGTCTGACTCTGTTTGCGTCTGCATTATATACCATTTTAGTGTAAAGGAAATCCAGTTAACATGCTTCATTGTATTATAGCCAGATATCTCCACTACATAACCAAAAAAAGTTTTATAGTTCTAAATTATTCTAGTGGACATTTATTATAAGAGACTGTAAAATATCTGTGACAGACCACTCGGTCACCTCAAACTAGTACAGGGCTCTCTAACCACCACTGTGAAAGATCTCCCGGTCAGCACAAACTATTACAGGGCTCCCTAACCACCACCTCCCTCAAAGGACCTATAATTCACTTTAACTACCCAAAGTGCACCTCCCTCCCTTGCGCCCTTCACTGTGGCATCCTAGACCATCAGGAGACCCCAGGAAGGCTTCAGAAGTATGACGCATCTGACTGGGACCAATGGCCGAATATCGTGAAACTCTAGTTCAGATTGTGTGCTAACCATGATCTGTTGAAACTTTAATGTGAGCGCTCTCGGTCCCAGCACCAGCTAACAGGATGCCTTTTGGAGGGCAGATAAAGGAGGTGGTGAGACACCCTGGACTTAAGGAAACCCCATTTACCCACAAAAAGTGCTGTGGTTTTTGGTGACCAGGACCTACCTCTGAGTGTCATGAAACGCTGCGCTGGATTGGAGGCTAGCCAAGACCTGCTAAAACTTTGAATTCCATCTATTTCAGGCTAGCCACATCTGATGCAGGAGCTTTTTGGACTAAGTGGGCACTCTTGAGCTATGCTACCTTGGGCCAACAGTTGGGTTGAGCACACCACCAGAATGATGGGCCAATCTAGTGCTTCTTATAGAGGTATGTTAAAGTATGACAGTTGGGAGGTAATATTCCCAGAGGGCTTTGATGCATGGCTTTAAGCTGCATTTACAAGCCTTCTAATTAGTTTAATATTGGGTTTTGTGAGATAGGATTGGTGGAAAGATTGCAGGCACTATAACAACTTCAAAAAGATGACGTTGTTATAGTGCCTACAGTATCCGTTAAAGGCCAAAGTCTGGAAGAATACTTGATGAAGAGAATTTTTGCAATTTGGCTACATTGTCCTTAAATTTAAAATTTGTTTTGAATTACCTACAATTTCATATTAGTAAGTAACAGTGTTTTGGGTACGGTCTAACTGTGCATGATGACTTCCTCATGTTAACGTTGTTTCTCTTCATTATAGTCATTGTGAGACTGTATGGACTTTGGTTAATGCTTGAATCAGCCAGGACACGCCAGATCAACTTAAATGTAAACTAAACTTGGCAGGCAGGCAGGCTTACTCAAGGAAAAACAGAAATTGCTACTGCCATCTGATATACCTACCCGTCAGCACTTATAACGCACTCAGTGAAAAAGCCTATAATATATGACATCAACAAAAACTTCCCTCCTAAAGACCAGTTTGAACGTTGGAAGAATGGTGTTTTGGAGTGTGTGTGTCTGTGTCTTAAAGATTGAGAATTGGGGAAAGAAAAACTGGAGGGATGGAACTTAGAGGTGCAAACCCCAAAAAAGGGTTGACATGATGGACCTGTACTGCGTGGATGATTATTGTGACATTAAGGGGGTAGCATTTATTGTTGCTTGTATTTTGTGTGTGTATTTAAAAACTTTATGGCTACAGTTTGTGGGAGACGGAGGTAGACATGTCTTTAAATAAATCAGCTGTAAACGGAGATGCAATAAGAGTGTGTCATGTTATTATAATCTTCTATTGCTTTTGTCATGCTTCATTCATTGTTTCTTTTCTTTTGTATGTATGTACAACATTTATTTCCATTGTATTTCATTCAGGTAAAACATGGTATATTTCCTTTCTCTTGTTAATGAATAATATAAATGTTTGATTAGGCATTTTGAAACTCTGTAAGTTCATTGCCATCTAACTGCCCACATCATGCCTCACACTGAGACAAGCAAATAGTGCAATCTATGGATCTCCTAGGAAAGCAAGGAACCTATATGTTGATGTGTATTGAGTTAAATTCTCCTACAAGCTAGAAGATTGGAACATCATGGTGGCCTCATGTTCAAGTTTCGCAAAGTCTAGAGCCGCCTCTGCATAGGTGACTAATATAATGTTTCCATTTCAGCTACGTTTACTTTAAATTTCATATTCTCTTTGAATCCACTTGGAATTCTCACTTTGTAGAATAACCCTGTTAGAATTTCAGGTTTGTTCTCCTTAGCAGCACACAGCTGTCTGTTGGTATTGTGGTTGGAGATATATTTCGGGTTTATTACAATAGTTTTGTAAGATAGTAATACATTGAGGGGGATTATTCACTTAACACTGAATTACAGGGAATTATTAACACCTTTTTTTTTTTTTTTTAAATGGATCCAGAGCATCATATGTGGAAATAAAAAAAACCTTGTAGAATTTTGGCAACTTTTAATGTCATCTAAAATTCATCCTAATTTACTGTTTACTTTATAAACCCCTGGGTGAAACCTTTAACAAATATATTTTAACGATCAAGAAAGAGTGTTAAGAAATTAGATTCCAGGCGACAAAAAAGAGAAATATCAATTTCAGACACAGATATTAAATGAAGATGAGTGGCTTTGGTTTCCTGGAAACAGTAACCTGGCACATTATTTGGATCAGTAAATGAGGGCACGAGTCCCTTTATTCAGATCATCATTAAAATCTCAGCAATTCAGCCAAGAGACACAGTTGCATTATCCAAGGAGTTTCAGCCACAGTATGAGAACATTAATCATTCCTAGAAATCATATTACATATGCATCACGATAAGAAGCTAATAAATGATACTCTGTCAGTGCTTAGTGCCAGCATTGAGTCTCGACAGCAGTATATTTTAAGTGAACCTACCCCATATACTAATACCTGTGCACACCCATCTCTGCTTCGTACTATCACACCATCTACAATATCCTGCAATCTAACCCATCATAGCTTCAAACCCCTCCCAGGGCCGAATTTAAATGTCAGGTGCCTGTAAGCATGTCACCTGCTCACCTCACCCTCTGTCTCCCACCAAAAAAGAAAAAGGCAGATAACGTGAGTTTAACAAATTTATTAACTAGACATTGCAGGTGTGAAAAAAAAATCTATATATTCAAATTTGACAACTGGATATGCCTATATGTTTCTGCATATTCCTGTTTGTGATGTATTTTGTTTGAATCTCTGAGTATAATGAGTGTATGTAGCTGTGTAACTGCATTCAGGATTAAAGCGACTCTGTCACTGTCTGAAAGCCCCCCAGCCAGGGCCGATCCTGGGTGGGTGCATAAGGGGAGAGGAGTCCTGTCATAGGGGAGCCAGGAAGTTGCCGACTGGCCACCCTAGGACGCCACCGAAGTGGCGCTTATTTAGTAAGGCAGAGTAGGCACCTGCTTACCTGGATGGCAGGTGCCTACTCTGCAAATATATGTTGGGGGGAAAGAGGAGTCAGGTGGAGAGGGAGTGCTGTTTTGCAATTCCTCACTCTTCCCTCGCAGGCCCTCTGTGATGCCGGGAGCTGGAATATGATGTAATTCTACCCCCGGCATAATAAACAGCATGTGTGAGAAATGAGGAACTGCAGTGAATTACAGTCCCACAGTGAACCCCAAGGAGAGGTAGGGAGGCTGGATGCGTAATGCCCAAATCCCTTTTAGTTAGTAAAACAGTGCAGTTTTTAAGAAACTGCAAAGATTACATTGCAGAACTAAGACTGTCTCTGGTGGCTGTCAATCAGACAGCCACTAGAGGCACTTCCTGTTAGTTAAAGGGACTCTCCAGTGCCAGGAAAACAATCCGTTTTCCTGGCACTGGAGGACCCCTCTCCCTCCCACCACCCATCCCCGGTTGCTGAAGGGGTGAAAACTCCTTCAGTGACTTACCTGAGACCCCCGGCGATGTCCCTTGGCGGTGGTTTCGGGTCGCCGCCACGCCTCCTCTTCATCACGTCAGCCAACGGGGGAGACTGATCCCATCCGCCGGCTGAGGAGACCTAATGCGCATGCGTGGCAATGCCGCCCATGTGCATTAGAGTTCTCCATAGGAAAGCATTGAAAATGCTTTTCAATGCTTTCCTATGGGGAACTGAGCGACGCTGGAGGTCCTCACATAGCGTGAGGTCGTGCTATGAAGCAGGAAGTGCCCTAGAGGAGGAGCTAACCCTGCAAGGTAATTATTGCAGTTTATGAAAACTGTAATAATTACAGCTGCAGGGTTAAGGGTAGTGGGAGTTGGCACCCAGACCACTCCAATGGGCAGAAGTGGTCTGGGTGCCTGGAGTGTCCCTTTAACCCCTTAAGGACCAAACTTCTGTAATAAAAGGGAATCATGACATGTCACACATGTCATGTGTCTTTAAGGGGTTAAGCGACTTTTGGTCATCTAGCTGACACTGGACGTCCTTATGCAGTGCGTCAATAAAAGCATTGAAGGAATGCTTTCCTGTGGGGACGGTCTAATGCTGTCTCTGTGCCTGTGCCTCAGCCCCTGCAGAAGATGTTGGAGGATGGGGGTGGGGGCTGCGAGGTAGGGGGGACAGAGGGCATTATAGTGTAAGGAATACAACTTTGTATTCCTTACTCTATAGAATCCCTTAAATATCATAGTTAGTTTACATAGGGTGTTCAGTGTTAGGAGGATTAGAAGCTTAGAATACTTAGAGTACTTAGTATTGGGCTACATGGGGTGTTTCATTTTTAATTGCAGTTAAACATAGGATTAAGGTAAAAGGTTTTGTTTCAGGTTTAGGCTTTGAGTTATTAAGTTTGGACTAAAGAAAGAGTTTGTTCAGGGTTTGGGAGGGATTCATTTTATGGTTAGGGAAAAGGGGTTTTTAGAGTACTGTCCCGTGCAGTTTGAAGTTATTTGCAAAGTACTCAGCCTCTTATGAGGTTCTGATAAGTCCCAAGCCACCCCAAAAATACAGAAAGTCAACTGTATAAATGGCCATTGCAATTAAAATGACTTGGTCCAGGTGTGATTGGCCAATTGGGCAACTGGCAACATTTTGCTTACATTAACCATTTTCATTGTTTAAAATATTGGTGGGGTATTATTATGTTTAAAATATGCACATTAGTGTAAGTCCTTTTTTAATTTTCACAGTAGAAGTTTAAGAAAGACAAAATCAGGGACCTATTCACTAAATGTATAATTCCTTGTAGTAAATTAAAATTAGAAATTTCGGTTCTGCCAAATCAACCAAAGATAGAATATTTTTGGGGACCAAAATTCTGCCAAATGTCGAACATGTTTGCCGTTGCACAGTTAAGTTACATAACTCGAGTATTTTTTGACTTGGAAATTTGACTGATCACCCCATCCAAATTTATCTGAATTGTAGTTCAGCCCAAGTCTATTTAAAAAAAAAAAAGGTAAAAAATTAACAAAATAGCCAAACTGTGACTATTGCTCAGTTGGACAGTTTTTCAAAATCAGCCCAATTATTAATTCTTCATAACTACAATTATTACAGTTACTACATCTTAAAACACCTGGTGAAGATGTAAAATGGCTTGTTCCTATACCCTTAAAATACATTATTCAAGCCGAGAAATTTATATATATATTTAAATAAAAACAGAAAACACATGTAAATGGCAGAACAGACTGTTCCTTTCTCTAAATAATTAAGCTTACTTATCTTTCTGAAGCCATTTGTTCTTAATGTAAGTTGTCATCTATAAATAGTGTGAGTGACAAGTTAGTTGAGCTAGCAAAATAAATCAAAGAAATGCTGAACGACTAGTAAGTGTACAGATTTTTCATGTAAAATTAAATATAAAATGAATTTACAACATCAGGTCCCAGCCTGGTCATGTTGCCGCAGGGCTAGCCCCTGTATCTATGCCACATTCTGAACCCTCTCCCTCTGTTATAGAACACTATGTAAACCAGAGCGGATTCTGGCTGTGGCACAGGCATTCAGGAGATCCGCCATTTTGGGATTTGGGATATATGGAGTACTCTATGCGCATGTAGGTCCCATTCTGCCAGATTAGGGGCACAGTAGTGCTTGCTGGGCAAAGCCTGTGTTACTTCTCATTTATTATGAGAAATAATGGCATGACTGACATTGCCATATGTGCACTACAAGATTATAAAACATAAACTGCTCCTTTTGCCATAACAGGCAGATTATGTAATATATATGAAGAGGTGCATAATGGCGATTTGGTAAATATATAGTATTCACAAATAATTCAACTTTTTTCCTTGGTTTGCTTACACACATTCCCCCACCACATACACAAGTGCCGCTCAAGCTGGCACGCCCAATTGAACACCCCTCTCTCAGAGAGTCTGAGCCTGATCAATATTTATCAGCAGAGTCTGTAGGCTGAGAGAGGATCAATATCCTCCCACATGTGTCAAAGATCCGAGTGCTCGGAATGTCAATCAGTTCTTCCCTCCTCTGCTGGTACCATCCCTTCCACACACCCGGCTGATCTGTACTCCCCCCCACCCCCCAGCAATGACCCTCCCCAGGCTCTTAGCTTTGAAGCTTTTCTTTAGAAATTAAATATTAAGAGACAAAACCTTGCATTTGCTGAATAAGCCTCTCTTCAAGGACACATCACTGGCCGTCTCCCAACACGTGCAGATTGGCCTTCCTTTATCCAATTCCCCTCCATGCATTCTTTCTAGAATTTCACTCCAATTCCCTAATTATTCCTCCTTCCTGTTCTGTTCTTGAATGTCCACTTTACTTCGTATTTCTATATATTGCTTGTATTCCTCTTTCTTGCTGTGAATCACTCTCCTATTTTCTCTCTATATTTTCGTTAACTCTCCCTCCTCCCATTTTTTTTCTTCAGTCCGTCATTTGTATTTCATTCTATTTTCCATTTTCTACTAGAATTCCCTTTTTTTCCTCCTCTTTTTCTCCCCCCCTTCTGTGCCATTCACACCTCTTTCCATTTCCCTCTGCCATTCCGTCTGTTCATCAGCATGTGTTTACCCCCCTCCCTTATTCAACAAAAACCTTTACTTCTGAAAGAACAAAAAAAATCAGTCTAACCATCCATTCTCTGTAAAATGTAATCTCTCGCTGTCTTTTTATCACCTCGGATTTCTGTTACACATTCACTCTCACGTTCACATAATCCCTTTCGTTGCAGAGGGGTCCGTAACTCATAGCAATAGCATGGTGAACAGTGCAATGCATTTCGGGTGCGTGGGCTGCAAATATGCTTTTTTATCCTACAATACCCACTAACAGATTTCCGCTGTTCTTACATACTTCATAGAGCAGATTTTTCTATTGTTTGTTTTGTTTTCAATAATTAGCTTTTAACTTCTTAGTAAATTTATCTCGCCACAAAATTATCATTCACATGCATATTATTAATGCTTAAATGAGTAATCAGAGAGGGTGAACTCTACAATGCGAACGTGGCAGGGGATATGAATGGCCAAGTGAAGAATTTTTGTTTTACATTTTCACCGGGCATGGAACTGCAAATGTTTGCCACCTGTATTTCCCATAATCCTTTACTATACATCCACAACATTGTTGATCTTCACCCAGCAAAGAAACAGGTTTTTCTAACAGGGCTCTGTATATGACAAGCAGACTGGAAAAGCCAGTCCCTCTTTCTCTCTGGGCTGTATGGAAATCGGCAAGGTTTAAAAGAATTGCTGTCAGGGAGGGCTCTGGATATATTGCAGGAGTAATGTGTTGGTTACAGCATCAATCTGCAATGCTGTTTTTAGTACAGATGTCTGGTTTCAGCCAGGTAGCTGTATTTACTATTAAAGAGCAAAGCCTTACGAGGGCTAACATTTAGAATTACAATGTTTTTTTAAAAAAAGAGTTGGCACTTAAAAATTAGAAGATCACATTTAATATTGTTACTTTGTATCGTCTTGTAATTTATGTATACGCATATGAATAAAATATCTAACTATAAAATATTAGAAATATTTTATGCTACACAAAATTCTGATTGCACAGTGGATGATATTAGCTATAATAAAATATTCATTATCAAACCCCTGGCTAATCTCACTTAACATCGTAAAATAATAAGGGTACCAATGCATTGATCCATATGGTTAAACAGACCCAGTATAAGATTATAATTACTAAAGATTATTTCTTGTGAGAATGTCTTACAATTGTGTAAGAAAGTCCTAACAAAGCAATGTAAACATCCCTGGATTTCAATACAATTGTCACAAGATCATTCCTGGAACGTGCCAAGCTGTGAAAGTAACCTAACAAAACAATATGTGGGATGTGTCCTTTCTTAAAAAGGCAAATGAGGCAGAATAGAACTGAATGGTTAATATTTGAATGATGTGCATTGTGAGCAGGTGAAAAGATGGAGATTCTGGGTTGCATGAATTGAAACCACAACAACTAAACTGTCTAAATGCACGTTAAGTTTACCTAGATAACTTATAGTATAGAAATACAGGAAACCTTTCCTCTCTTCGCAAACTTATCACCTCACTTGGATTCCACTACCACCTGTACACTGATGACACAAAGATATATCTCTCCTCCCCGGACCTCTCCCCTGCTGTTCTGCTACGTGTCACTGCTTGCCTTTCTTCCATCTCTGATTGGATGTCCTCCCGGTTTTCTAAACTCAATCTCTCGAAAACTGAACTTCTTGTCTTTCCTCCTGACAATAATGATCCTCCTCTCTCGCTCTCCCTTCAAGTTAGTGGTACCCACATCAGTCCATCCTTGCAAGTGCGCTGTCTTGGCGTTATATTTGATTCTGGCCTCACATTTGAGCCTCACATCCAGTCTGTTACCAAATCCTGTAGATTCCACCTTAAAAACATAGCCCACATTCTCCCCTTTCTTACGCAGGATGCTACTAAGGAGCTTGTCCATGCTCTAGTAATCTCTTGCATGGATTATTGTAACTCTCTCCTAATAGGTCTTCCCACAAGTCGTATTGCCCCGCTACCGTCTGTAATAAATGCTGCCGCCAGACTGATTTTCCTCTCCTGTCGCTCCTCTAACACCTCACCCCTCTGTCAGTCCTTACATTGGCTTCCAGTATCCTATGTGAGTCACTTCATAGTACTAATCCACACCTATAAGGCACTAACCAATTCTAACCCCTCCTATATCTCTTCACTGATCCGCAGGTATGCCCCTTCTTGGTCTCTCCACTCTGCCCATGACCTTCTCCTGACCGCTGCTTGCACCCGTACGGCTAACTCACGCTCAGGGCCGGTGCTTGGATTTTTAGGTACATAGGGGAAGATGCATTTTTCCGCCCCACACCTCCCCCCCCCTGAAAAAAAAAAACATCTTCACCTATGTGCCTCTTAACCAGCCCCTCTCCCCTCCCTGACCATTAGTAGTCCCTTCCCTTCCCTGTCCCTTAGTGTTCTTCTCCCCTCCCCCCTTTTCCCTGTCTCTTGGTGTTTCTCTCCCATTCCCTCCCTGTCCCTTGGTGCACCCAACACCCCTTTAGTGGTCACACTCCCCTTCCTGGTGTGCCTCCTACCTCTATTGTTGCATTGCCGAGTGGAGCAGATTCCCTAAAGGAGCTTCAGTTTTCTGTACCCGGCCGGACTGACAGGGAGTGCTCTCTCTGTGAGCACCTCCTGTCAGTCTGGCCAGGTACAGGAAACAGAAGTTCCTGTACCGCGCTCTGCTCCGCTACACTCTGTACAAACTGACAGTCACACACTCAATGACAAACACACAGACGTCACTGACAGACACAGACTCATTGATCTGACACACACTCATTCATTGACACGGACAGACCCACACTGATTGACACTCATTGACAGACACACTGATAGTCACACACAGACTCAATGACAAACATACTCTCACTGATTTGACAGACACACTCATACACTCACATGCACACACACTCATACAATCACTCACAGACACACACACTATCACTCAAACACACACACTGTCACTCACACACACTGTCACTCACAGACACACACACTTTGTCACTTACACACACTTTGTCACTTACACTCACAGACGTACACACTTTGTCACTCACACACACTGTCACTCACAGACGTACACACTTTGTCACTCACACACACTGTCACTCACAGACACACACACTTTGTCACTCACACACACTGTCACTCACAGACACACACATTGTCACACACACACTGTCACTCACACACACTGTCGCTCACAGACACACACACTCTGTCACTCACAGACACACACACACACTGTCACTCACAGACACACACACACACTGTCACTCACAGACACAGACACACACACACAGTCACTCACAGACACACACACTGTCACTCACAGACACACACAGTCACTCACAGACACACACACTTTGTCACTCACAGACACACACACTTGGTCACTTACACACACTTTGTCACTTACACTCACAGACGTACACACTTTGTCACTCACACACACTGTCACTCACAGACACACACACTTTGTCACTCACACACACTGTCACTCACAGACACACACATTGTCACACACACACTGCTCACAGACACACACTCTGTCACTTACAGACACACACACACTGTCACTCACAGACACACACATTGTCACACACACACTGTCACTCACACACATTGTCGCTCACAGACACACACTCTGTCACTCACAGACACACACACACAGTCACTCACAGACACACACATTGTCACACACACACTGTCACTCACACACATTGTCGCTCACAGACACACACTCTGTCACTCACAGACACACACACACAGTCACTCACAGACACACACACACTGTCACTCACAGACACACATCACATACATTCACTAATTATTTTATAAATACATATTTTCCACCCAGCCTCCCTACCTGGAGAGCTGGTGTGGATGATGTATCTGTCCCTGGGGCTGCTGGGAGGCGTGCGGCAGTGCTGTAATCAGGCGCGGCGAGGGAGCTCTAATCTCCAACCTTTGCTCCCTCGTGGGCTGCCTACTGATGCCGCGGGAGCCGGGTTGATGACATCATATTCCGGCTCCCGCGGCATCAGCAGACAGCGCGCGAGGGAGCAGAGGGTGGAGATTAGAGCTCCCTCGCCGCGCCTGATCACAGCACTGCCGCGCCGGAGGTCGAGATGGTGGCCTGGCAGGAGGGAGAGCTTCCCTCCTGCCGGTCACTGAAATATTGCGCCCCCAGAGCCCTTGCGCCCTAAGGCGGCCGCCTGTGCCGCCTTATGGACGCGCCGGCCCTGCTCACGCTTGCAGGACTTCTCGCGGGTGGCTCTTTTTCTGTGGAATAGCCTGCCTTCGACCATCAAGCTCTCCCCAAGTTTACAATTGTTTAAAAAGTGCCTCAAAACCCATCTCTTTAGGAAAGCTTATTGCCTCCCAGAGTAATCTCTACCTCCCGTAGCTGTCCCTTGCTCTCTCCTAAAGGGCAGCACTCTTTTCTCTCCTCCAGCTCTGCTTCACTCCACCTTGTTTTATTGCTACCTCCTGTCCTGTTGAGTTTTACGCCCCACCTTCTATAGACTGTAAGCTCCTTTGAGCAGGGCCCTCTTCAACCTATTGTTCCTGTAAGTTTTTGTAATTGTCTAATTTAGTGTTAAATCTCCCACTTTGATAATATTGTAAAGCACTACGGAATATGCTGGCGCTATATAAATACCAGTAATATTAATAATAATAGATTCCATTGCAATGTACGTAAAAACAGAAAGATGGACAGATGTGAATTTATGTGTACATGTACTATTCAACAACAGACAGAAGTACAGACTGACAGACAGAGAGGCAGACACACACAGATAGATATGCTGGTATGCTCAAGATAATTCCTCTCCAACACTGAAAATATGTGTATGTATCGAACTAGCAGTTTATCTTTATCTAAGTCCTTTTGTGCTAAAAATGATCAAACAAAAACCTGCTAATAAAAAAAAAAGTAACATTCATGAAAAATAATGAATGTCTGTAGCCATTGTCTATGTTATACCACTGTATTCTATGTTGTTTAATTTTATTCTACATTACTAATTTTATCTTACAGTATTTTCTTTGTTACACTCTATAACGCATTGTTTTCACCATGAATGGTATACGATTATGTACTGTTTATCATGTTTTATAACTGAAAACCTCTTAATAAAACATTAATGAAAAAAAAAATAGTTTGCTTTAGGGGGAGACTCTGTTTAACCCCTTCCATTCAAATCACGTGTTTAACTCACTATTAAATACTGGGAAATGAAATTTAGGCACTAACTCTCCACTCCATTAATCTTTGATTTAGTGCTGTTTTCAACCTGCAGAGAAACACATTTCTTTTCTAGGGCCATATGCTATACCTCTACATCTCTGCAGAGGGACTATGAATTGCAGCCCGTGCTTCTTCTCCCACACTGAAGGTCAGGGAGGCGTGTAGAATCCGAGTACATTACATTATTGCAGGTTCCAATACTAGCTAGCTGCAATGCCCCACATTGTACAAATGTTTGATGCAACTGTATATTTTTGAAAAGGATGGACAGATGAATGATGATTTAAAATTGTGTAAACTTATGTCTTTTACATTTTTTTCATGTAAAAACTAAAAAAAAAGTTATCTGGGCATTATCCCAATTCCCTATGCACATTTAAATATCAGGAGATTTTTAGTATCACTCCATTGGCCATTAACTAAGTATATAGTTTTTCTTCTAAAAAGTATCTATGAAATTCGAAGAGCGAATGACTAAAAACCAGAGCGTTCCTACTCTGTGATGTGATTCATGTTTTTTCATTCTTCCTTTCTCTAATTCCTCCGTATCTCCTCTCTCTCCTGCATGCTTCCTCTAATTTCATTTTCCTGCTTTCAAACTCTCCCTTTGCTCTAATCTAATAGCTTTTTTCCCTTCCTGTGTCCCCATCGTGCCTGATTGCTAGACCAGACTTTTTCCTATGGGATGCTGCGCACAGGGTGAGAAGTGTTAATTGGAAGATACAGCCGAATAATGGAGAAGGCTGTCTGTCAGCTTTATGATAATCCAAGTCTCAATGACATTATGTAGAGTCCAAAAGCTCTTACAGCGCTGTGTTTTTCCCCCGTCATATGATAAAATGTTAATTTATTAACCAAACAAAAGGGCATCGATGTTTCAATTCAACCAACAAGACCTTTATCATCTCTTGCTTTTAATTTGTTATAACATTACATCTTAATAAAATGGGATTTATTCACTAAACAGTGGTTTCTGGAGAAAAATATAAACAGGAAAAAAAGCCAAGTTAGAAACAGAAGTATATTGAAACATACATCTTACAGCTTTATTTTGTTTCTACGTTTTTACATGTTGTTTTTTAATACGTGATTCACATTTTCAAAAATAAACTTTTCATAAAACCTTATATGGGGAAGATGTTTGCACTGCTGTCCCTAGATAACTGATCTGAAATTGCAACTTCCATTTTTTTTTTATTACGCTTCTAACAGTTAGAACCCGATTAATGAAAATAAGCAATGCGACTCAATATATAAAGCATGCAGACATTGTCACGAAGCTAGTTGACTAAACGTATAAAAAATAACATCAAAATATTTATCAAGAAATATTACATTTAGCTTTCTCTAGTTTGTACCCATAAACCAGAGTCTTGATGTTAGTAAATAATCTACTTGACTTTGACCATGGTATGATCTTCGGTGCCAGACATGGTGGATCCAGGAACACAAAGACCATTTATCTTCTAGAATTCTAATGCACTAGTGAGATTAGATTTTACAGATTACGGTGCAATAAATAAAATATGGGATGACCCACAGTTGTGTAGGTAAACACACCTTGTTAATAAGAGGTCAGACTGCTAACTGGCAGAAGGACCACAAAAAAATTGTCTCTGAATGGCCAACACTTCGAACCTTCAGGTGGATGGCTATGGCAGTGAAATGTCATTCAATGACTGGTTCCACTTTTGTTGTGCCAGGAAGATTAGACTATACTGGGCACCAGACTGGCAGAAAAATGTTGCCTGGTCTGACAAATGTTGATTTCTGCTTCCATATGCAGATGGTCAAGTCAAAATTTGGCAGAAAATGAATAAAACCATCCCATCAACAGTACAGGCTGCTTCTATCTGTGTAATGTTGAGGGTTTTGATTTCCTGGCCCCGATAACAATTGAGCATCAATGCAACAGCGTTATTGCTAACCACAAACACTGTGCAAAATGTTAGTTAATAAAGTATCATGAATCAAAGCCCACATCATCTCCGACCAGTTCCATGAATGTCACAGTGACTTTGGTTTTATAGTTTAGAATGACCTGAACAGTCCCAAGATCTCATTCCAATGGAGAACCTTTGGAAGGAGGTGGAATGGAATCTGAACAACATGATAGCCAGACAATCAGGCGGAACTGTACAAAAATCATGAATAAGGAAAGATGAAAATACCAAAAAAAAACTCTTCTTGAAGGCTTGTTACTAAGGGTTCTGGCTATTCAGGAGGAACAAGAGGGCTCCATCAGGTAAAAGGTTGTCCAAACACAAACTAATCCAGGTATACCAAAATCAGGGACCAGTGGCGGTAGTCACTGTGAGTATATGTGTACCAGCAAAAAATAATTCTACCTTATATTGGGTTCCAATAAGCCCTTAACTGTTAAATGCCAAAAGGGCATGGATTCCTGTAGACACTAAACTGCAATGCTCTGCACAATATAAGGAGTAAGCCAGGGTCACACCCTAAATACCATTACCCTTCTCATGACAGATGACCTAATCCTTTAACAGCTGCCCAGAAGGCACAGACAGGCTGCAAACAGAGGTTGGGCAGATGAGTCCAACATGTGCACTGTGTGCAAATATATATAAAGAGTAATGGTGACTCACTAATTACCACTCAGGCAATTTAGCCGTTCACAGGAAACTGAATATAATAATGATATCATTGTTACACCAATGTTAGAGTATATATACACTAGTTAAACCGACAGCCACTTACAGGTAAAAGCAAAGTAAATAAACTGTGTATACAATGACCTGTTTATTTATATATATCTATATATACATATTATTGGTATTTATATAGTGCCAGCTTATTCCGCAGTGGAACAATAGGTAGTTGGGGACCCTGCTCAAACGAGCTAACAATCTAGAGGAGATATTTAAACATATGTATATGTCATTATAAATGATGCAGTTTTTTACATCTGGATGTATGATAAATATGATTATATATGGTACTGTATCTATGAATGTAAATATGTCCTTGCAAAAAGTCATTAAATTAAGCGTATTATTTTCTATATAAAATCGCACTGCAGATTCTTTCCCCAATTAATATTCATACTAATTCTCTAATTAGCTTGTTGCTGTAGAGCCCTAAGGGGAATTGTGGCACTGAGACCTATTGAAGTCCCAGCTCTATATTTTATACTCTGTTTACAAAGGGATGGGGGTAGTGAAGTCAAATTAACACTTTCCTTTCCTCTGGACTTCTGATAGAAAAAAACACTTAAATTAGAGCTTTCCACAAACTATATAGACTATACAGTAATCTAGAACGCCTGCCAAGAATTTAAGAATAATGAATGCTAGAGGGCTTCATAAGACACAAAGCAACCATGCCTAATTAGACGTGGAGCCTAAACCATCTAATGCAGCCTAATTGATGGTCAGCTGCCAGTCATTTGTTTGAGTGATACAGATTTGCCAAGTGTAAGTTTGTGTGAAGGTAAGGTGCTGTTTTAACCCAGACCTGCTGTCTCTCCACTGCCCCCTAGTGTTTATTTGATGGTGATGCACTTTCATAGCATCGTTAGTGTCATCTCTCACTTCAATTCCCATAACTAGCTCAGATTAATCTGTTTGTTCAGACACCGCAGAGCTGGGAGCGGCAGTGGAAACTAGCAGACTGGCAGCGTTTGTTGCAAATAACATATGGCAGGTTTTTATACAGCTGATATATATGCATAGTCAGGGCTGAATTTCCCATAAGACACCGCTCAGACTAGGCTAGAGCACGTTTTCTATGAGTGCCACGGACATTTTTTGGGGGGTTCAAAGAAAACATCCCCAGAGCCACGGCCTCCCTACCGTGCACTTAGTGACGAAATTAAATTGGAAAACAGCTGCAAACAGATGTGCTGCTGAAGGGAGCTTGGATACATTGTACAGCGCTACGGAATTTGTTGGCGCTTTATAAATAATGTTAAAAAATAAGCATGAAGCTTGTAGAACATTCCCATTGATTACCTGAACATCGGGGCAAGAGGATCAAGAAAGCACATCTGTTTGTCCATGTGCCCCAGACTGAGCAGGATTGTAGTTTAATGTGATTATCGGCTTTTAGTTTATTCTTTTTTTTTTTTTTATTAAAGACACAGTTGTCTATTATGGCCATAAGGATTTACCCACCTGGAATCCAGCATCGGGTGAAGCTCCCAGTGCTGCCTTCCATGCACACCATAATCACTTCATGGCAGCTAAAGTAACCCTTTAAGCAGTGTACATAGCTGTACTGCTCTTAAAATCAGATGTAAATATATATATATATATATGTTTTTTTTACAGGGTTATACCCCTGGTCCATCTCTTGGCCATAATTTGGGCCATAATTATTTATAGCGTTAACCCCATAAGGTTAACTAGCTCCCATGTATATATAGATCATTGTTCTCCACCCTGCAGGCTGCACGATGAAGAAAGACAAGAGGCCACATACAAAGCCTCTGTTGTTACTGGGGAACCATTTTTTATTATTTATTTATTTTAATAGAGGAATGATCAACTATCCCTAAGGATGCTGAGCATGTTACTGCATGTTCAGAACATATTATATGTGACACATTCTGTGGCCTCAAAGGGTTACTGTTGCTACCAGTGTTTGCCTACTGACATCTTGCCTGGTTTAACGCATTTTCAGCAGTAAAAGGGCTGTTTGGAGCCTGTGAAATCGCAGCGCAACTTTGCAGTGACACCAAAACAAAATCCACACAAAACACATTGAGGTGTAGTGGATCCAGCGGTCAGAGCCCTGTGAATTAGAAGCAGCCCTACCAAGAAATTAAAGATTATTAGACTGTGTAGACTGCATCTAACAGGTGTTCAGATGGGAATGAGAAAACTTTATTGCATCTGAAAATGTATTGACAGGCGCACAGTCTGATTTACTAGCATAAACGCTAACCTTAGCCTGAACCCATTAAGACACGGACACAGGTTATACTGTTGGGAATATAAGTCCGCAGCTTTATTAATTATTAATTAATTAAGGAATAACAATTATGGTCATTGCCAACAATTATTATTAAAGCCAACATCCCCCCCCATATCCATAACATACCCCTGGCAATGACCCCACAATAATAACAATAAATAACAATCTAATTAACATATTAACACACAAACTGGGCGTCCAATATGACCACATTTCCACCAGATTAAATTGTAAGGGTGTATCAAGACACCGCTACACCCCCAGGTTTGGAGCCACAGACAGGCTCGAACCTACCAACCAAGTGTAACACTGCCTTATCCACACTAAACCTCAAGATGCCCACTTCCTCCTCCATCTACCCCCTGATTTAACCTGGCCATTCCCTGCCGCTGTGAAAAAACGGGTAGAAAACTCCCCTAGCTGCGCTGATCCATGGGCTACATTGATTAATTCCAGTAAGTGTTAAAAGAGTGAACTGCTATTTGTAGCTGTAAATATCTGATTTGTCATGTTTGTATGTGAGATCACCAGTAAATCAGTGCTCCAGGAAATGCTGTATTCCAAGACCAGCAGGATTCTAGAACCTGAGAAGGCTCGTATAATTTGTGGACTTTTCCATGTTTGTAAAGTATGGGAAAGAGTTGGCCTAAAGTAAAATGTGGAGATGTTTGGGTTCCATCGCCATAGCTATTATGGAGGTATTTATATGACCCTAGATCAGCTTATAACTTGGCACATGTAGATGCTGAATCTGTCAGGGTTATTCATAAAACTATGCATTTTAGTGTATTAGAGGAACACTCTGGGCACCATAACAACTTCAAAAATTCTCAAAACAGCTTGAAAAATATATGCAAACGTGTCAGTGGCTCCTAGTCCTAGGATTCCTGATTCAAGTCATGGACTGCGATGGAAATAGCTGAGCAGGGTGACCAGGCCTCAGATTCAACACTCTGAGGTTAAATCAATCGTCAACTTTATTCACAACCTCATTCCGATTAAGTTGTTATGGTACCCAAAGTGTCCCTTTAAATCTGAATTGGAAAATTCAGGCTAAAATAGTTGATTTGGAAAGAATCTCATCTCCACTTCAGGCACAGCTTGACTATTTTTATCTCTGTTCCCATAAAATAAAGCTGTTATTTACCTCTAATCTAGTGCCTAAATGGTCTCATTACCACAGCTCCGCTACACCCCAGGAGATTCTAACTAGGGGAGATCTCTATGACCATTCCAATTCTTGACATAGAGAGGTCCTACAGCATGTGAGAGGCACCAATAGAATCCCACTCATAGAGAAGCATTGAAGCAGATACTTCTCGCTGAGAAGTCCTCACTATCTCTTTGAGCAAGTGCTCTTTAGATTGTAAGCGTTTGAGCAGGACTCTCTTCACCTGTTTTTCCTGTATATCAGACATGTGTTGTTAGAATTAAATGTTTGCCTTATTAATCTGTTGTACATTGCTACGGAATACGTTGGCTCTATGTAAATAATTGTATTTGCATTATTGCTCACAGTCGTCAATCAGATTTTTCTTGTTTGTGATGTTCCTTTAAGAAAGAGATAATACATCATATTTATGGACATTTTAAGAAACACAAGGTTGAATTCTCTACGATGAAAAATGTGGAGATTTAACAAGGAAATTACAAATTTATAACCAAAAAAACTGCGCAGATAAAATAGATTATAATGGTATCTGGCTATGACATAAGGGGTATGTTAAATATATTCTTCCTAGTACCTATTCAAGCCTTCCTCCCAAAGTTGTCGATAAATTCTACCGGCGAGCAGGTACTCGCTAAAATGCCGATTGCTAAGTACCAGCTACTAGCTCCTAATATTGTCTATTACAGCTGCTAAAAGCTACTTAGCGACTGGTTTCTGTCTTGTTTCCAACCCTTCTTTTTACAAAGAAGTTAAAGGGACTCTCCAGTGCCAGGAAAACATATCCATTTTCCTGGCACTGCAAAATTCTGCAATGCCCCTCTCACTCCCACCCCCATCCCATGTTGCTGATGGGGGTTAAAACCCCTTCAGTGATTTACCTGAATCCAGTGCTGATGTCCCTCGGCTCTGGGTCAGGCTCTGCCCACGCTCCTCCCCAGCTGACGTCAGCTGGCGGGGGAGACCTAATTTGCATGCGCGCCAATGGCCACACGCGCACTAGACCTACCCATAGGAAAGCATTATTCAATGATTTCCTATGGGGATTTCGGCGACGCTGGAGGTCTTCATGCATAGCATGAGGAAGTCCAGCGTTGTTTAAAACACTTTTCGTGTTCTAGGAACACTGAAGTCCCTCTAGTGGCTGTCTCATAGACAGCCACTAGAGGAGGACTTAACCCTGCAAGGTAATTATTGCAGTTTATAAAAACTGCAATAATTACACTTGCAGGGTTAAGGGTGGTGGGAGTTGGCACCCAGACCACTCGAATGGGCAGAAGTGGTCTGGTTGCCTTGAGTGTCCCTTTAACAACTGGCTCTTATGCCATTACATATACAAATACATATTAAAGCATATTAAACCATTCCAAACAGCAATAAATGTAAAAGTCAGACACGATAAAAAACATAAAATTCGTTTTTTCTAATAAAGTGCATGTGTCATTTAAATGAACAATTCACTTTGCAGAAACAAACTTCAAGAATTACATAGATATGTATCTGGTATAGAATTTAATCAATCACCATAGAACCAATTCCAAAGAATTGATTGACAAAAATAGGTTTTTATCTTCATCTATACATTTGCTAACAAATCTGCTATCACAATGTATAGGCAGAATGTTATGTCGGCATGACAGCTTAATTACTGACACAGAGGGAAATTAGCTCTCAGTGTATTTCCTTATCACACAACCCCTGGATGTAAAGTATGTAGAAGGTGTCAGGACCACCTTATGTGTTTTCATGGAACCATTACGTTTCCAGTTCAGAGAATGACAGTGTAAGGAAGGACAAGTGGTTGCTCTCAAACGGCATTAGTGGGCCCTATGATGACAATACTACATATTGTGAAGGATCTAGGGGGACGGTGTGACACTTACCATAATAACTCAACAAATATCTATAATACCCCCTCTTTTTTATTTTTCAAAAATATTTATTAATTTCTTTTGTGTAGTGTGACTGCAGTATAGATTAAATGTGTAAACCTTTGCCAAACCACAATCCAAACAAAAGTAGAAATGTAACATATAATAGATATACATGTACAGTAGAATGTTATTATAAAACAACTAAAACGGCAATAAAATAAATTAAATGTTAAAATAAAAGAAAGATTAATTGTTGAAGTGGGGTGGGAGCAAGGGGGTGAAAAATAGAAAACAAAGAGTGGTTTTGGGGCATGGATGGCCTCGACCTAACCATTAGTTACCATCTGTATTAAGGTGCAGATATGCCCGTCGATGGGTATACATTTACCTAAAAGATTTTGATGGCAGATCACCAGATGGTGAGGTGACCCTTTTTCCCCTATTCCCTTCATGACAAGCAATGTTTGTTCTCTTGAAATAATATTGCACAATCTTTGCATTAATCCTTCTCTTCTATGCAACCACAATCCAATTTAGTCAATCACACTACTTTGTAATGTATGGAACCATTCGCATTGTCTTTTACTTATGATCACGCCATACACTGCTACATCTGTATACAACAAAATAGGAAATATTATGCTAAAAGGAAAAAAATGCAAGACAACATAGTATATAACTGTGTATGAAGAGTGATGATCAAATCAAATGGGTTGTTCCTCTGATCTAGAGATCTCCATGAGCTCGTAACAGTGGTAGAATGTGTTTAGCTCAGAGAAAGGAAAATTAAAATTGAAGTACAAATAGAAGGTGTAGCTTTGAAACAATTTATTGACTTTGGTGGTAGTTAAAAACAGCGAGTGTAGTTTACAAAAGTCAAGACTAGATGTCCAACGCGTTTCGTCCCAATTAGGGGACTTCTTTAAGGACCTTTCGTTCACAGGTGCCAAAAAACAATAAACATTGTTACATCTGTACAGTTATGGTATTTATTATATTATTGCACATTCAGGCTTAGCTTAGTCTACATACTTACTGGTTAAAAGGTTGAAGGATGCAAGTTTCAGGCAGTTTCAGGCCACTGCTGTCCGCCACGCGTTTGTACTCTAGCAGCAGCGAGGCTCCTTGTTAATGCTGGCTAAAAGCAAGAACTCACGCAAATGTATTTTATATAACCTCTTCAAATCTCTCAAAGAGGATATCCTTTAGCTGAAACACAGAGAAGTTACAATGGAATGTTTGATTGTCAGCAATTTATACTTCAGATACCGTAGGTTGGAAAAGAACATCCACATTCTGTGCTGAGGTTAAGATATTATTACGCAACAACGGACTGACTACACAACAGATAATTAAATAACCCATTCACTACAGAGGGTTTGGTTTTATTCCATTATTATGAAGGACCTGTAATGGAATTTGGTTTTCCTTTAACAGTAAAATATCAATATCATTGATTGTTCCATCATGCATCTGTTCCTATCTTTTCTTTAAGCAATACTACTTGGTTGTTAATACGTACATTAAACATGGCAGACAAAATCTACACAGACAAAAACAACTCAACGCAATTTAAACGTTTTACACAAGATGACTCTACAGTCTTTGTTTATATTACGGCACTCTCTAGGCACTATCACCACTTTAGCTCATTGTAAAGATTATGGCGCTGTGAGTCTCCTCATTTCAGCAACAAGGATAATAACGCGCTTCCCACATTGTGAACACAAATCTGTCCAACCTTGGAGAGCAGCAATAGTCCAAAAGCACTTTGGGCTGGGTTAGTTCTTATTTTCTCGCCCTATCATTGTGTGCAAAGTTGCAAAATCTCCAAACGATTTGACAGATAGTCTCATAGTACCATAAGCACTACAGTAAGCCAGTAATCTTAGAAAGACATCTACAATGTAATGAACTATGATACACTTTTTATGTATAAATAAAACCGCATACTTTTAAGAGGAACTGTCACTTCTTTAATTTTACCAGAACATAATATCTAACTAAATGTTAACTATTAATTGTGCTATTTTGTTTTAATTCCTTATATATATCTTTTTATTTTCACCTCCATGCTTTGCTGAGCAATCTCAGGTAAAGTATGCAAATTGGTTACATTTTGCAGCGTGGTATGTACTGTATAAAATGCTCAGAACATACGTATAATATTTCACCATTAGATGTCTGACTCCCAAGGGTTCATGGGCCAGCAGGGGCACACCAAAGCCTTATAAAACTTTAAGGTTTTTATTCTGATATTTTATTTTATTTTTATAAAACAAATTTGGCTGACATTAAGTTGAAAAAAGTTGATTTATGGCAAAACTCCAAACATACTAACCACAAATAGCTGACAACGGAAAAACAAATATTTCAACAAACAAGTAGGTTAACTGTGAAGGTTCAACAGTAAGTTAGATGCAAGTTAACCTAGTTGGAAGCAAGTAACTTCAAACTAGTTCGAATCAGGTAAAGTTAAAATTATACATTGGGGAGACTGCACACATTTACATCTACATTTTTGGCAAATATTTGGTGTAATTTATTAAATCTGTCAGTTTGTTTAGTTTGTTGCTCCTTATATACCATAAGCAACATTTGTGAATATACACTATTTTTTCAGCAACGTAACCAGTATATAATTCAATCTATCCCCCAATTTTTTTTGTTTCACTTGCTTTTTCCTCCTAAAAGTGGTGGTCTTGTGAAATAGATATATTTGTGTGTATAGTTATGGAATTTACTCCCCACCACCATCTTCCTCCCAAAAAAGGACTAAATTCACACCCATTTGCCTAGTGCCTCCAGCCCAGCGCCCTTCCAAGCAGCCCAAGAATCATCATAGATGCACTTTTAGAGGCATGGTAAGCCTGACCTGGAGCAACCTCCAAATCCTCTGCAACTCTGGATCGGATCATGGAATTTCCACAGTCCGGTCAAATTTGTTGAAGGCGCTCTCGGTCCCATAGCTACCTATCAGAGCAACATTTCAAGAGGTGATAGATGAGAAGGTGAGGCATCAAACGGTACCCAGGCACAGACACCTAGGCGCCAGGTGTGTTAACAATATGCCTTATTCTCCTGGGGACTGCCTGTTGAGGACCGAGGTAAAAAAATGTGTAATTGTCCCAATAAAATCAGTTCTATTTCACCCTACACAAAGTCTCTGCTAATCTGCTATAAGCACCTTACTATGCACTCTGAGCTACAATCACTGAGGGAAAGAGAGACATTGGTGGCGACACTCAGGTGCCTGGTGAGTAGGCCACCACAAAATTCATCACTTTTTAGGTCACATTTAGAACTCTTTAATAAATACAGTCTGAATGATGATGGTTTTTAACCGTAATAATTATTTGGGTGTTTACAGAGACACTTAAAGCATGTGTAGTGACTTGCTTTAAGTTACTTTAAAGATAGAATGTGGATTAAAAACAAAAACGGTTTAAAAGTGTCTGTAAAGGATCTTTACACTTCATAAACTTCAGCGCTATGGAATAAGCTGGTGCTATATAAATCTTTTTAACTGTAAAACATGCTACACAATGCACTATGAATAGATGAACTCTGGCCACAGACCTACATATCACAGAGCTTTAAACGATCATCCTTTAAGGAAGGTAAACCAATAAACGCATGGGTGAAAAAACATTAATTATTCCTTTGCCTTTTCTTTGATCTTTTTTCACAGGTTGATATTCCATCGAGGAAGAAAGCCGCATGAAGAAGAAATCTATTCTAATTTTCGTAATTATTTCAATTGCTCAATATATAGATTTTCTTTTTCTGTATAAGAAGACACCGTGTCATTTTTATATAACGGGGCACTTAAACTGGGTTTTGCTGATAACGTGAAATGGACATGAGAATTAGTGAGATCATTGAAAGGTGAAGAGACAACCTAGCAAAGTATTGAGAAAATGCAGAGCAGCATGAGGTTGTAAAGAAAGATGCACCAGTGGTGGGATTAAAAGAATAAGTAATGCCACTTTATTGATCACTGGTGAAACCTCATTTAGAAAATGGTGTCCAATTCTGAAGACCTTGTCAAAAGGCCATAAATAATGTAAAGACAATTTAACGAAGGTACTGTAAGACACACAACAACACATCATACCATTATAGCTTGAAACAGTTTAATACGTACACTTTGGAAGAGAAAAAGGGAGAGAAAAAACATAAACGAATCTTCCATTATATCATCAAATTAGATAAAACTGTAAAAAAACTTTAAACCAATATAATGTTTTCTCCTACTGGGTATTGGGCAACTGCTCAATTATGAGTTAAATCGCATTTATGTCTGCTTATGCAGCCCCAGCCACAACTCCCCTGGTTGTGACTCACACAGCCTGCATGAAAAGAAATGGTTTCACTTTCAAATCAGATGTAACTTACTTTAAAAGTTTTTATCTCCTGCTCTGTAAATTGAACTTCAATTATATACAGGGGACTCCAGTAGGGTCTAATAAGCTATGAACAGAGCAGGAGATGTGAACTTCTAAATTAAACAGTATTTTCACTACAGGAAGTGTAAACATTAGATGACTCTCTGCAGGAAGTGTTTGGGAGGCTGTGTAAGTCACATGCAGGTATGTGTGCCAGGCAGTGGCGTACACATGACCCATGGGGCCCCGGTGCGAAAATTGATCCGTGGGCCCCCCCCGCGCTTATTCGGCGCAGGTCGCGGCCGCAACACGTGGCGGCCCCGAGACCGCGGTATGCACACACACTTAAAGGACCACTACAGACACCCAGATCACATCAGCTCAATGAAGTGGTCTGGGTGCCAGGTCCCTCTAGTTTTAACCCTGCAGCTGAAAACATAGCAGTTTCAGAGAAACGGCTATGTTTCACTGAGGGTTAATCCAGCCTCTGGTGGCTGTCTCATTGACAGTTGCGAGAGGAGCTTCCGCGATTCTCACTGTGAAAATCACAGTGAGAAGACACCGAACGTCCATAGGAAAGCATTGAGTAATGCTTTCCTATGGGCGGTTTAAATGCGCGTGCGCGCCTCTTGCCGCGCATGTGCATTCGGAGCTGAGAGGCGGAGGGATCCCCAGCGCCAAGGGAGTCCGATGCTGGAGAAAGGTAAATGCTGAAGACACACACATTCTCATGAACAGACGCATACACGCTAACTAACACACACACTAACACACAGATACACAAACACACAGATACACACACACACTGACACACACACACACACACTGACACACACACACACACACACACTAGCAGACACACACACTAACACACACACATTTTTTTTTTTATTTAATCCCCCAGCCTCCTTACCTTTTGGAGTGCTGGGGGAATTCCCTGGGGTCCAGTGGTGCTGCTGGGCTCCTGGGCGGGTGGCCGGTCAGGCAGGCAGGCGGGCGCGCGAGGGAGCACTCACTGCTTCCTCTTTAGCTCCCTCGCACGCAGCGCAGGGATGCCGGAGCCGGAAGATGACGTCATCTTCCGGCTCCGGTATCCGTGTGGTGCGCGAGGGAGCTGAAGAGGCTGGCCCTGTGGCTATATACCGGGTCGCAGGGGCGGCCGGGCCCCCTGGTGGGCCGGGCCCGGTCGCAGCCACGACCCCTGCGACCCTGGTATGTACGCCACTGGTGCCAGGGCTGTATAAGCAAAGTGATTTAATTCCTAAATGGCAAAGATTTGAGCAGTGAGACTGCAGGGGCGTGATCTATACACCAAAACGGCTTCATTAAGCTAAAGTTGTTTTGGTGACTATAGTGTCCCTTTAAATATTTCTTTATATATTCTATGCTAGTAGTTTTTGGTGTATATATATATTGCTACTGTTATTGTATATTTCTATAAATTTTATATTTCCTATCATATACCCTATATACTTTACCCTCAATTGTATCACTATCCTTTCCTGCTACCATGTCTGTAAATATGTAACACGGGTGCACTCAATCAGTCTTGATTGTTAACTTCAAAAACAAGTGAGCTTTAAGGTTTAAAGCACCATTTGTAGGCCGGTCTGGCTTTCAGATGCCGTTAGCAAGCTATGCGGCGTGTGCCACTATCAGTGATACAGGCCCAAATAATAAAAAAATCCTCTAAAATCTGCTTGGCAACCAGCGGGGCCGCACTTATCCTCAGTTAGTTTATATGCCAGTTGACATAG